GGTGGCCGTCATGCTGTATCTGCTGGACCGCTTCAGGTGAGTGTGGCGAGGCTGACGCCTGCCCAGGGCTGCGTGCCGGGTAAGGGGCAGGCAGGGCTGCCTCTCCCGCCCTCTCCCGCCCTCTCCCGCCTGCCCTCTGCCTCCCGCAGCCCCTTTGGCCGGTTCAAGGTGAACAGCGAGGAGGAGGAGGAAGATGCGTTGACCCTGTCCTCAGCCATGTGGTTCTCCTGGGGGGTCCTTCTGAACTCTGGCATCGGGGAAGGTGAGGCCAATGCCTGGGTCTGTTGAGCCCAGCCCCACTGTGTGCCACCGCTGACTTGGGCCGCCCACAGGTGCTCCCCGGAGCTTCTCTGCTCGCATCCTGGGGATGGTGTGGGCTGGCTTCGCCATGATCATCGTGGCCTCCTACACTGCCAACCTGGCAGCCTTCCTGGTGCTGGACCGGCCAGAGGAGCGCATCACTGGCATCAATGACCCCCGGGTGAGGCCTGGCCCAGCAGGGGGATGGGAAGGGAGGTCAGCGAGGGCTGTTGGCAGGCTGTGCGGGAACCGAGTCCGAGTGCTGCCCTCTGGCCCTGCAGCTGAGAAACCCGTCAGACAAGTTCATCTATGCCACGGTGAAGCAGAGCTCGGTGGACATCTACTTCCGGAGGCAGGTGGAGCTGAGCACCATGTACCGGCACATGGAGAAGCACAACTATGAGAGTGCGGCGGAAGCCATCCAGGCCGTGCGGGACAAGTGAGAGGGCAGCTGGGTGGGAGGCAGGGTCCTCGAGGGGCGCTGGCGGCCCAGCCCCCAGCCTCGACTCCTTCCATCCCACAGCAAGCTGCATGCTTTCATCTGGGACTCGGCGGTGCTAGAGTTCGAGGCCTCACAGAAGTGCGACCTGGTCACCACGGGCGAGCTGTTCTTCCGCTCCGGCTTTGGCATCGGCATGCGCAAGGACAGCCCCTGGAAGCAGAATGTCTCTCTGTCCATCCTCAAGTGAGTGGGCCTCGCGGCCTTCCCTCCCTCTCCCAGACCCCCAGCACAAGTGGACCACCTCTCTGAGGCGAGCGCCCAGGTCCGCTGCCCTGTCCTGGACACCCGACTGGCCACAGACCCCACGCCCCACCACCCTCCTCTACCCCACCCAGCCTGACCGCGGGGCCCCGCCCGCCGGCCTCCCCACTGCCCAGCTACCCTGACCAGGTCCCACGAGAACGGCTTCATGGAAGACCTGGACAAGACATGGGTGCGGTACCAGGAGTGTGACTCACGCAGCAATGCCCCTGCAACCCTCACCTTCGAGAACATGGCAGGTGGGCCCTGCCGTCCTCGCAGTGCCCCCAGTGGCCCTGGTGGGCGTGCAGAGCCCGCAGCTGAGGAACTGCTTCCTGGCCCACAGGGGTCTTCATGCTGGTGGCCGGGGGCATCGTGGCCGGGATATTCCTCATCTTCATCGAGATCGCCTATAAGCGCCACAAGGACGCCCGCCGGAAGCAGATGCAGCTGGCCTTCGCCGCGGTGAACGTGTGGAGGAAGAACCTGCAGGTAGGGCAGGACACCCCCCGAGGCCTGGCCACGGCCCTCCCGCGTCCTCTTGGGCCGAAGCGTTGGCTCCAGCAACCAGGCGCCCATGGGGGCAGGCCTGGAGCCAGGGCCAGGGGCAGCACTGCTGGGGACCACCCACGGGCGGCCACCTCCTGCACGCTTGGGCCCAGGGAGGCCAGGCACCGGCTCCGAGCTTCCGCCTGGCCCCTCTGTCTCCAGAGCCGCCCTCCCGTGCCCATTCTATAGGAAGGTAAACTGAGGCAGGGTAAGGCAGGACCCACCTGGGTGTAGCTTGTGAGTCTGAGATGTCTCTTGCACTCCGCCGCCCCCCGGCCCTCCAGACGCCTTGGCCTGCACCCTGCTGTCTTCTGTCCGCATGACCCCGGTCTCGGTGGGCGGCGGGCCCCCGCGGGGACGGGCTGGGCAGGGTCTGTGCAGCCGAGAGCCTGCGCTCACAGCCCGCCCGCTGTGCTCCATCTCTTCTCTTTCTCTGGGCACCCCCCAGAGCCCCCCGCCTGGGCTGAAGCTGCTGGCCGCAGAGCAGCGAGGGCAGCCCCGAGGCCACTGGCATCTACTCACTCTTGCTCTTGGGACCTGGTCGCTGCTCTCACGTGGGCCAGCACTGCCCATCCCGTCCATCGGCCACTCCAGCTCCATCTTGCCACCCTCCTTCGCTCCTCGGCCCTGGCCTGAACCTCGGTGTGCCCCCTCCCGCCCTTCCCCTCGGGCCACCAGGAGCCAGGGAGACAGGCAGCGTCCCCGAGGAGACACGGACGGGCCCCCAGTCCAGCCCCAGCGCCAGCAAGGTCAGGCCCAGGACGGGCACCTGCCCGCGCGTCCATGCCAGCGGTCTCTCAGCGCAGGCAGGCAGGAGCGAGGGCCCGGCCGGCCGGCCAGGAGCAGGCCAGGGCAGGCCCCAGCCGTCTAATCACTTATACATATTCATTTTAGGATAGAAAGAGTGCTAGAGCAGAGCCCGACCCTAAAAAGAAAGCCACATTTAGGGCTCTCACCTCCACCCTGGCTTCCAGCTTCAAGAGGCGTAGGTCCTCCAAAGACACGGTAAGGGGAGACGCCCCGTCCACGCCTTCGCCTCTTCTCTCGCCCTCCGTGTCTGTCCCGTGCATCAGGCGTCCCTTCCCGCGCCATCCCACCTGGCCACTGTGGTCCTTCCACCATCGCTCTCGGCCGCGCAGGCTGCCTCTCTCCACCGCGGCTGCCCCTCGCAGCCGCGCCCGCCGGCCCCGGCCACGTGTCAGTCTCTGCGTCAGTCTGCCGTGCCGCGGCGCTGCTGTCCTGTCTTGGTCAGCTGCCCCAGGGCCTGGCCGGGGCCCATCGCCCAGGCTGCCTGCGCGGTCCCTTGCCGCCTGGAGAACTCCACCTCTGTCACATGTCTGCAGCCTCTTCCCGGGGGCCCCGCCGCCCTCTCTCCCTCCCTGAGGCGTCTGTGGAGGGGCGGCGGCCATGTCCATCCGTCCGTCTGTCTGGCCGCCAGCCCTGACCCCAGACACCTGTCTCACGTGTCTCGCCAGAGCCATGCCTGTCACACCGTCCATGTGATCTGTGTGGGTTGGGGCTGGGGGCCGGGCAGGCTCCACCTGGGTGGACAGCTGGGGCCATCAGATGGGCAAGGGGGGACTCAGGAGACAGCCCCTACCCCAGGCTGAGCAGGGGTCAGCGGGAGGCAGGCCAGCAGCCCCCAGGAGGTGTGAGAGCAGGTGGAGCAGCCGGCAGAGCCCCCAAGGGAGGCCTCCACGGAGACCACCCCAGTTCCCGCCCCGCCATGCCCTGGGTGCTGTGGACACTCGCCCCCAAAGGCCCTACAAGGACCCAAACTGGCGAGAGACTCCTGTCCTGGGTGGGACACTCGGAGCGCAGCCCAGCCTCTGCCCAGAGGCCTCTCCTACAGCCCCGGACCCCTGGGGAGGGCATGGGGGGGGCGTGAGCCCAGGTTCCTGTGCACAGGGGGGCAGGTGCAGAGGCGCTGGTCCAGGAAAGTGGCCCCAGCCTGAGCCCTGGCCCTAGAGGGGTGCAGAAAGAGGAGGGTCAGCGCAGGGCCAGAGAGGAGGAGGAGTGGCCCGGCAGAAGGGCGCCCAGCTCAGAGCAGCCATTCTGGGGGTGGGGGGCAGCTGAGAAGGGACCACACGTGACGCCAGCGATGGCCACTCTGGGCACCCCTGCCCGCCCGCACTGCGGCTGCTCACCCCGTAGCGGGCCCCTCAACCGTCTCCTGGGATGTGTTTCCAGCCTCCCTGACCAGCCCTGGCACCATGTGGCAACTGGGGCCGACTGACTTGCAGGGGTCTGGGGGCACTGCTGGGGGGATGCTGGGTGGGGGAGGGCAGCCCAGCTCCCGCCCTGCTTTGGGCCGGGCGGGGGTGGGGTCCGCGTGGCTCTGAGACCTCGCCCCTGCCCGCAGCCAGGCCGGGCGCTCAGGGCCGGGGTCCCTGGCAGCGGGGGCCAGCGGGTATTGATTGTTGGTTCTTATTTATAGAGCACCGGGGGTGGACGCGGCGCTTTGCAAAAGCAAAAAGACACGGTGCTGCCGCGACGCGCTATTGAGAGGGAGGAGGGCCAGCTGCAGATGTGCGCCCGCCATAGGGACAGCTGAGACGCCCTGCCCGCCCTCCCCCCTCCCGCAGACACCCGGACCGCGGCCTGGCCACGCACAGTCCCGGAGCACCCAGGCCGCCTCAGGCCGGCCCACCAGTCCAGGCCCTGCGCGCGCCCGAGCCCGGGCTAACGGCCGCCTTGTCTGTATTTCTATTTTGCAGCAGTACCATCCCACTGATATCACGGGCCCGCTCAACCTCTCAGATCCCTCGGTCAGCACCGTGGTGTGAGGCCCCCGGAGGCGCCCGCCTGCCCAGTTAGCCCGGCCAAGGACACTGGTGGGTCCTGCTGCTCGGGAAGGCCTGAGGGAAGCCCAGCCGCCCCACAGACTGCCCACCCTGGCCTGCCTGGCGGGCAGCCCCTGCTGGACCGAGGCGCGGACCAGAGCAGCTGCCGACGGAGCAGAGCTGAGCTGGCTGGGCAGGGCCGCGGGCGCTCCGGCAGAGGCAGGGCCCCAGGGTCTCTGCGCGGTGGGGGCCGGGGGCTAGTACGCTCCGCTCTGGGCGGAGGCGGGAGCAGACAGAGGCCCCACAGGGGCGGGCCAGGACCTGCGCCGCCGGCTGGGCTGCGGGGTCGCTCGCAAGCCGCCCCCTCCCGCCTCACTCTCCCTCCCCGTCCCCTGGCTCCACGCACGCCTCCTGTCATACCCCGCGGCGAAGCCGGCCCTGCCCCTCCAGGCAGACCCGCGACCTCCGCTGCCAGTCGCTCGCCAGGGCCCCCCCAACCCGCCCCCCGCGACGCCCGTCCTCGCCCCGCGCGCCCCCGCCCACCCCGGTGTGTGCAGTGGTGATGTCAAAAGAAATGTCACGCAGTGGCAGTGTCCGGTGTGGCTTGTTGGCGCGGCCGGGCGCGGTCAGGCGCTCGCGGCGGGCTCGGGCGCTCGGGGCGGCGGGCGGTGGGCGGCGGCGCGGCGGCGGCGGCAGGCGGCCAGCGCGGTGCCCAGCGCCAGGCAGGCGGCTAGGCTGGCGAGGAAGGAGCCAGGCCCGAGCGCGCAGACCACGGCCAGGTCCCGCGCGGACAGGGGCCGCGCGCAGTGGCGAAAGGCGGCGTCGGGGAGGGCGGCCAGGGGGCTGGGCGGCAGGCGGCCGGGCCACACGCACCGCGGCGTCTCGGTCCCTGCGGGAGAGGCGCTGTCAGCGGCGGCCGCCGCCCCGGGCCCCCCGCCGCCTACCCTCCGCGCGCGTGCGCGCGCTCACCTGGCGGGGGTCGCGGCTGGCGGCGGAGCCAGGCGCAGAGCGGGCGCAGTGCGCAGCCGCACACCCAGGGGTTGCCGGGCAGGCGCAGCGCTCGGAGCGCGGGCAGGCGGCCGAGCACGCCGGGCGCCAGCGCCGCCAGCGCGTTGTTCTGCAGGCTGAGCTCGCGCAGCGCGGGTAGCGCGCCCAGCGCCGCGGGGTCCAGGCGCGCCAGCCGGTTGCCGGCCAGCGAGAGGGTGCGCAGCGCGCGCAGCGGCGCAAAGGTCCCCGGCGCCAGCGCCTCCAGCTGGTTGGCGCCCAGGTCGAGCTGCTGCAGGGCCGTCAGACCCCAGAAGGCCCGCGCGTCCACCACGAGCAGCCCGTTGTCGCGGAGGTCCAGGCGCAGCAGCGCGCGCACGCGGTTGTGGTCCAGCAGCAGGGCGCGCACGCGCTGGTCCAGGCCGGCCGGCACGGCGGACAGCGCGCGCCCCGAGCAGTTAGCCTGGCCGCCCGGCGCGCACGCACACGACGCGGGGCAGCCGGGGGCGACCCACGGGCCCGCCCCGGTGGGCACCTGGGCCCGAAGTGGCCACGGCGACAGCAGCAGCAGCAAGAGCGGCGGGAGAAAGCGAGGGCTCCGCAAGTGAGCCCCGCCGGGTCCCGTGGAAGGCGGCCGCTGCCGGGCGTCTCCGGAGCTCATCCCTCTCGGCGGCACCCGCACAAATAGGAACTCTACGGCTGAAGCGCCCACAGTTCCGGTCCGCAGGCTGGTCCCGCGCCCAGGGCAGGGACTGGGCACAGAGCCAACGCCCAGCGCTGCCAGCCACCTGTCCCGGAGCTCCGGGCTGGTCTTGGCTCTGCCTCAACTGAGGAACTGGAGATGCCCCCCGCCCCAGGTCCTGCCTTCCTCCCCACCCCCCGCTTGGGGCCTAAGCACCCCAGCCCCCCAAACTCAGGGGTGCCACGCAGGGTCTCACCCCAAGTGGCCCACTCCTCGCCCCGGCCAGGATCAAAGTGTCCCTTACACACTTACAGTGTCCCCACGAAGGGATGGTCCCATCCCCGTGGAGGATGACAAGCAGGGGGCCCAGGGACAGATCCTTGGGCGTGCCTGAGGTCAAGCAAAGCGGGCCCCACTGTCCCGGAACCTCAGAGGTGGGCAGGGGCGGGCCTCGGGGTGGGGCCAGCAGGGACAGGGCTCAGGGCCAGCTCTCCAGGGAGGGCTGGACATCAGGAAGGGGGCCCGAGCTGAGGCCCCAGGGGAGGCCTCTGCGAGCTGAGAGCTGAGACCGGGTGCGTGGCCCTGCCCCCACAGCACATGGCTGACAGCGGCTGCCCGAGGGCAGGGCACAGCACAGAACCGCAACACAGCGTTTATTTCCTCCCCCCCGCTGACACAGCCCTACTGAATTGGGGGTGCGGATGGGGGTAGTTCCTCTAGCCGCTGGGGTGGGGCCCCGGAATCCAGAGGCTCGTCCAGGTTCCCCTCCAGGGACTGGATGGGCAGCTCCTCGGGGACCACCTTCAGGGGCGTTACCACGGACACGTCCAGCTCCTGCTCCTGGTCCATGTGGTGGGACTCCACGTGCACTGTCTGCAGGTCCATGTGCTCTTCCTGGGCCCCAAAGTGCCCCACCAGCCTGCACCCCACAGACAGCTCAGCGGGCAAGATGGGCCCAGTCGTGCCAGCCACCACCCGCCACGGGCATGGTCCTCCTTGCCTTCCGAGCCACTCACCTGTTGCCTGTGTTTTTGGGACGCATCTCGCTGGGGGACAAAGCAAGGTGTGAGACCCGGAACCCCAAGCATAGGAGCCCAGAAGTGCCCTGGCTTTCTCCAACCCCCACTCAGTGGCTCTATGCCCTGCCGCAGCCACCAGGGCTCACACACCCCTTGGCTCTGATGACGCCAATCGCCACCACCACCAGGGCACAGAAGCAGGTGGCACTCACTCCCGCCAGCACCACCAGCAGGGTGATGAGCGCCTCGCGGCTGAGGCCCAGACCACACTCGCAGGGTTCAGCTGCGGAGAGACAACAGGGACGGCTCTACACCACCCAGCACACAGAGCTGGCCAGGGGGCTCGGGCAGAGGCGGCACCTGCAGCCGGGCTGAGCCACAGGGACAGGCTGATGAGGCCCAGGGGCCTGCCGAGCAGGCGGCAGGCAGGCTGGGGACAGGGGGACATGTCCAGCCCCAGCCCCACCGCACACCTCTTGACGGAACCTCGGGGGTCAGGTGCTGACCTCACAGTGGAGCTGAGGCGGGTGGGGGCAGGGCCCACTGGCCCATCCTTAGTCCAGCTTCAGGCAGATTGCCCCAGGCCATGGGGGCTTCAGCTTAGGACCTGGGCATCAGCCAACCTGGGTACCGAGCCCCTTTCCCAGGGTGGGAAAAGCAGGATTTGGGGGGCCCAGGAGGGTCCTGCTTATGCTGCAGTTTCCAGGTCCGGGGATCTTGCCACAGGGCTGCCCGAGAACTCCCATCCCCAGGAGAGGGTCAGCAGCCGAAATCAGGTCGCAGAGCAGCTCCCCAGGGCTCCTCCCTGCCCCCTGCCCTGATGTCCAGCCTGGCATGCTAGGGCAGTGGTGGGCTCCTCCGGGGGGTCCAAGCACAGCCTCTGAAGCTGTCACTGCTGACCAAGGCACACCCTGGCGCCACCTGTCCACAAGCCGTGTGGACAGGGCTGAGGCACAGGTGTGCCCTGGCTCAGGCACCTGCTTATCCAGTCCAGCAGGTTTGCATCCTGGTCAGGATGACAAGGCACACCCAGCCCTGCACTGCCAGAACCCTGGGCACTAGTTGCTCACTTCCTTCTCCCACGGACACAAACAGCTCTCTAGAGGAAGGGAAAGTTCTGGAAAGGCTGCGCCTGGGGCCATGGAGATGGGGCCTGGCAAGTCCTCGGGAGGAGGGGCAGGGCAAGAGCACTGGACGCAGAGCCCAGGGGCTTCTCCCACACTCCAGGGTCCTGTGTGGTGCCTCCCCTGGGGCCCAGGTACAGCCCAGGCACCTCCGCCTACTGGACCGAGAAGTCCAGTTCCTGTCCAGGCAGAGCAATGGCAGCTGCAGGCTGGCGGCAGGATCCCTGCACTGTCCCCACAGCAGGATGGTCAGGCCACCCCAACCGGGACCACAGGCCAGTGAGGGACATGCAAAAGCAGAGGCCGGGGCCACGAAGAAGCGGCTTTATTGGGTGAGGGGCCACTAGCTGCAGCCCTTGGGCAGGCGGTAGACGCCCGCGGCGTAGAGTAGCTGCTGGTCGCGCACCTTCCTCTGCAGGAAGGCCTGCAGCTCCTGCAGGTCGATGTCTGCCAGCGCCGGTCCGCTGACCACAAACATGCGCAGCATGCTGTAGATGCGCTCCAGTGACAGGCTCTCCAGGTTGGTAAGCATGGCCTGGATGTAGGTCCAGAAGAGCTAGGGGCCGCACGCGTCGGAGGGGTCAGCGGGGTGGCCGGCCAGAAGGTCAGCCCCACCCCATGTCCTCCCCGGCCCGCCCTGGCCGCCCCGCGCACCAGCAGCTCCTCCTCCTTCTGATCGGCTTGTGAAGCCATGCCTGAGTCGCTCTCATCGTCACTGTCCGGGAGCACCATGCTGTCGCGGTCCTGCGGCCGCTCCTCTTCCACCACCGAGAAGGTGCCAGCCGGCTCCTCGCGCAGCACGCCCTGCTGTAGCCACACGGACATCCGGCGCCGCAGCAGCGCCACGGGCATCTTCACCACCTTGCTCAGCTCCTCCAGGGTCCAGCTGGCTGCAGAGGGGGGCAGGTACATTGGCACTTGCGACCCCCGCCCTCCCACAGTGGAAGGGGCAGGGCGGGCATCAGGCCCCAGGTCGGCGGCCTCACCTTGGTCCTGGAAGTAGAGCAGGACCACCGCCTGCACAGGGGTCACGGCCACCGAGAGAGTGCGGTCAGCCAGCTCCACGTCCATGGTCACCAGCCCGAGGGTGTGCTTCCAGCTGAGGGTGCGCATGGCCTGCAGGGAGGGGGTCAGCGCTGCCCGCCCAGCTCCCAGCGAGGAGGGGCCCAGGCCTGCTGGAGGGCAGACAGGGCCGGGCCGGCAGCAGTGGGGAGAGACAGTGGGAACCCAGTACGGGCAAGGGCGGCCGGCAGACAGCACTCGGGCCAGCCCAGCCCCAGGGCTCCCAGGGTGCTTCTGGGGCTGGGCCCTGTCCGCCACCAACCTGGAAGGTGAGGGTTGCAGGCTGCAGGCTAGGAGGGACAGCAGAGCCCAGGTGCCCTGAGGGGCTTCTGGGGGCTACATGCGACTGCAACCAACCGCCTCTCCCTGACTAGCACCTGCACTGCGATGTGGAAAGGGCCTGCATCTCGGGGGCTTGGAGGGGAACTGGTGTGCCCCAGGTGGTGACCCCATAACTCCTGCCCGGGGCGGGTGGGCACAGGAGGGAGACAGAAGCACAGCCCTGCTCCCCCAGGCCAAGAACTGAGGCGGGCATCTGGCACACCGTCTGAGGTCGCCAGGCTGGGGGAAAACACACCCAGACACATACGGACCCCCACCGCCAAGAGTGCTGCACTGGCCGGGACGGGGCGCAGGACAGGTCCTGCAGAACAGCTGAGGCTTCCTGAGGGGGGACACGACCTAAGACTGGGCACCAGCGGGGGGAAGTGGGAAGTGGAGTGTGTGTGTGCAGAAGAGCTGGGGCCAGGGCTACCTTCAGCTTCTCGTACTTCTTGCAGTACACCTCCAGGGCCTCCCTGATGTCCTCGGGGACCTCCAGCTTCTCCTCCTTGAAGGGGGGCCAGAACTCACTGGAGAGGATGACGGCGTAGACCCCAAACGGAGGCTGCTCCTCGGCCGGCCGCTTCTCGTCCTCCTCACGGATGTTGGCGTTGATGCGGCGAGAATCGGCCATGTCCTGGGGAGGCGGCACCACTAGGGCTCTAGAGGGACCTGGGGCGGCCGGGAGGGGCGGGGTCCGAGGTGCGGAGACAGGAGGCGGACTCTGGGCAGACCGACCTTCAGCATGACCTCGCAGAAGTGCATGGGGGCCTCGCCAAACCGCAGCTTCAGCAGCTCCACGTTGCGGATCTCCCTGGAAAGACAGTCTCTGAAGGGGCTGAGTCTACTTCGGCACCCGCAGGGAGCACAGCCAGCCTGGAGGTCCCTGGGGACCCCCTTCCCAGAGTCTGCACAGGCCCACAGGGGCTGGAGGTGGGGAGGTTGGGGACACTGCCCCCTGGGGGCCAGCGCAGGCCATACCGCTCTGGGCTGAAGCTGAACTGGTGCAGCAGGCGGTCGGCCAGCAGTGACCGGTACTCGTTGATGAAGAGGTCCTTGCTGCCATAGATGCTAACCAACAGGCTGATGATGTCCGACGAGCGCCGCTTGGAACTGGACTTTCCTGAAGGGGGAGGCCGGCAGGGTGTCCTGCTAAGTCTGTCAGGCCCGGGGGGGGGGGGCTCCAGTATTGAGGCAGGAGGGGGTGTCAGGAGCTGACCACCTCCTATGGGCCGAGTGGACAGCTCGTGCACAGGGGAGCACCTGCCAGCAAGGACAACAAGCTGGCTGGGGCCACTGCACTGACCTGGATCAGCGTCCACAGGGTCGGGGACCCAGTCCTCAGGCTCGCCGGAGTCGTCCTCACTGTCCTGGCCAGTCTCCAGGCTTGCCGGGTCTGTCTTAGATAGCTCCACTGCCAGGTCACCCGTCCCGTCCGAGTCCCCAGTTAGCCCAGCCACGATCTGCCGCACCGTGTCTTCTCTTGTCCTGTGGGGAAGCAGCCACCTGCTGCCCACACCTGCAGGCCAGAGCCCCTGTCCGCAGCACCGGCCTGGCACACACTGAAGAGGCCCAGGAGAACTCCCCTGAAGAACCCAAACCAGGCTCCAGGCACGAGTGACGGAGCACAGCCTACAGCACTGTAAGCGCATCCAGCTGTGGCCGGGGCAGCCATGCCTTGGCGTAGGGTGGGAGGAGGCCTCTGTGGCCCCCAGTCGCTCACAGGCTGCTCCAGCGGCTGGACAGCTCGTGTAGGAGGGAACTGCGCAGGGACAGAGCAGGTTGGCACTCACCGCAGGTACCGACGGATGGGCTCACAAGCCACCTCCAGGATGACCATGGAGGGGTCCAGCACACGCAGCGCCTTGATAGCAGAGATGTACAAGGTGATGATGTCACACGTGTTGACACCTGCTGCCAAAGAAGAGTGTCGGCAGGCGGCACGCAGGGACCAGCCCCCGGCTGCGGCTCTCCGGGACTCATCACCCCCCTTCCCCAGGGCCTTCCCAGAGGCTGGCTCTGGGGCCTGGGCACCACAACCCCAGTGTGGGGCCCCTCGAAGCCCGTCCCCGGCGCTGCCACAGCACCTGGGTGCAGCAGCCTTGTCTCCAGGGCAGCCTTGAGTGACGAGAGCAGCAGCTGCCGCTGATCTGTCCTCTCCAGGCAGTACTTGAGGTCCTCCACCGCTGGCCGGGAGTCAGGAAAATCTGTTGGACAGGACGGACCAGGGTGCGCTCACACACGAATGCACACAGACCCGGGCGTGCACACAAGCGCACGTGAATTCCTGCACCATGCGGGAAAAGCGGGCAGGGAGGCACCCAGTGGGCGGAGGCCTCGCCACCCCCGGGAGAGACCCCCTCCCTGCCATCCCAGCAGGACGGGCTGGGGTAGGGGCGGGCAAGACCTCGGATGATGCTGAAGAGCTCCTCTATGCGCAGGCCAGCGTAGACGCGGTAGAAGAACCGCTGCACGTGGCAGCGCCACCTGCGCAGGGCACTGCCGGCCTCGGGCGGAACAGGCCTGGCCGGGCAGTCTTGCAGGAACACCTTGCCCAGCCAGCCGACCACCCTCTCGATCCACTGCAGAGGAGCACAGGTGAGGGGTCGGCCACGGTGCAGGCTGCCCAGACGGACCACACTGCCTGTCCGCCCCCCCTAGGGGGGGTCTTGTCCACTTTAGTTCTGGGGTGCTCCTAGCAGTGAGGAATTTCGGCCCCGGCCCCATGAGGCTGCGGGGGACCATGGCAGGATGGCCAGGGTCTAAGCCACTGTCCACTCCGCTGCCACCACCCAGACTTGACAACAGCTAGTCCGTACCCTCAGGGTGATGTGAGGGGAGCTGGTAGTAGCTACCAGGGCTCTCTGAGACCCACCCTCCCACCGCAGGACACCCCTAACCCTGGCTGCCCCGTCACGATTCCAGAGCCCCATGGCAATGTCACGCGGGAAGGCGGGAACCTTCTTCCCCTGGGACCTCCACTTGCCTTGTGGAACTCCCGGAGGAAGGAGCGCTCATACTCGCCCCGGCAACGGTCCTCCATCCTCTCCCGCGTCACCTGGTGCAGGGTGGCGGTCACAGCCTCAGCACTAACGCGCTCCAGCAGACTCAGCCTGTGCCTAGAGGGAGAAGCACCTGGAGCTGCAGCCACACCCCCCAGAGGCTCCTCAGGCCGTCCCCACCCTCAGCCTCAGTGCGCAGAAGGCCCAGCAGAAGCAGTGCCCTGCTCTTCCTGCCGCAACTTCTATCCCCTGCAAGAGCACGTTGCAGACTGGAAAGTGAGCCTAATGCATGCCCAGGAAAAGGAGACGAATCAAGGGCACCCCTCGCAGTTAAGAGTAAGAACAGCAACTCCCCCAAGCACCGGATAACACCTGAGCAGGGCAGAAAGGCCCCAGCCAGCAGGAGTGAGAAACAAGTGGTCAGGGACCAAAGATGCCGGCACAAGGACCTAGACACCTTCCGTTCCTCCTGCCACATCTGTGATGGTGACAAAAGGCTCCAGGAGCCGCAGCCAGGGCACGGGTCTTACTCACAGAACCTGGCTGAGCTGGTGGAACTGCTCCAGGGCTTGCCGGCACCAGCAGCGCTGCTTGTCACTGCCGCAGCCCGCACACAGCGGGCTCTGCAGAAGCCGGTAGTACCGGCGGCGGGCGTAGCGGCTGTCCAGGTCGCCCTCCAGCTCTGGGTCGGTGCCCCCCTCGCCTTTCCTCTTACTCTGCATGTAGACTCTCAGGAAACGCCCGTACAGGCGCTGGATCATGTCCTGGAAAGCCCTGGGGGTGGAGAAGAAGAGCACGCCCCGCAGCGTGGTGTGCACCTTCTCCCGCAGCCCCTGGGCGCCGGTGCCCATCAGCAGGCCCAGGCGGGTCCACTTCTCCAGGAGCTCCAGGCTGCGCAGGTAGGGGTCCAGGCGGCGCTCCAGCAGGCCGAAGGCATCCAGGAGCAGCTGCAGGCACTGAGGCTCGCCGGCGCCGTCCTCGCGCAGGGCCAGCGCGCCCCAGAACTCGGGGGAGACCTGGGCCTGCAGGTGGTTCTGCAGCACCTCCACGAACCACTCCTCCAGCACGGCGTGCAGCCCGTGGGCGCGCAGCACCTCCAGCGCGGCGCGCAGCTCCTCCTCCCGCGGCGGCGCGCGCGGCCAGGCGGCGGGGGGCGGCGGGGGCTGCAGCGCCGCGGGCGGCACCAGCCCGGCGCTCACGGTGTCCCAGGCCAGCAGCAGCTCCCGCGAGGGCCCCGGCCCGCCGCCGCCGCCGCCGCCGCCAGCCGCCGCCGCCGCCGCCGCCGCCATGGGCGCCCGGTTTCCGCGGCGCGCGGCGATGACGCTAAGGGCGAGCCGGTGACGTCAGGCGGGCGCGCCGGCGGGGCGTGCGCAGGCGCGGGCGCGGCGCCCTGCGGGGGGCGATGCGGTAGCGGCGGTTGGGGCCGGGCGCGGCGGCGACATGACCCAGCAGGGCGCCGCGCTGCAGAACTACAACAACGAGCTGGTCAAGTGTGAGCGGCCGCGCGGGGGCGGGCGGGGAGCGCGGACGGGGGCCACGGGGCACCGGGCGGGAGGTGCGGGGTGCCTGGCGCGGGGCGCGGGGCGGCGGGCGGGGCGGGGGTGGGGCGCGGCGCGTGGGGCGCGGGCGGAGCCACGGGGCACCGGGCGGGAGGTGCGGGGGCACGGGACGCCGGGCGGGAGGTGCGGGGCGCGGGGCGGCCAGGGGTCGCTCGCCCGCAGCTCCGGCCCGCGCCCGCCCCCCCAGGCATCGAGGAGCTGTGCCAGAAGCGCGAGGAGCTGTGCCGGCAGATCCAGCAGGAGGAGGACGAGAAGCAGCGGCTGCAGAACGACGTGCGGCAGCTCACCGAGAAGCTGGCCCGCGTGAACGAGAACCTGGCCCGCAAGATCGCGTCCCGCAACGAATTCGACCGCACCATCGCCGAGACGGAAGCCGCCTACCTCAAGGTGCGGGGCGGGCGCGCGCGGGGCGGGGCGGGGGGCTCGGGGGCGGCGGGGGGCGGGCCGATCGCAGCTCCCTGTGCCCGCAGATCCTGGAGAGCTCGCAGACGCTGCTCAGCGTGCTCAAGCGCGAGGCGGGCAACCTGAGCAAGGCCACGGCGCCCGAGCAGAGGAGCAGCGCCGGCAAGGACAGCTAGGCGGGGGCCCCGGCGTCCCGGCTCCTGCTCACCCCCCTTGCTTCAAGGTCGCCCCCATGGCTGTCCCCACTTGGGCCCCCGGCCAGCAGCGCCGGCTACTGGAGCGGGGGTGGCAGTGCCTTCTTGCGGCGGACTGACCCTAAAGTGGCCAGTGGCCCTCAATAAAAATCATTTTCCTAGAGCCTCGTGCCGGTCCCCTCCAAGAGCCTTCTCTCTCAGGCCGCTGTCCCCAGCATACCAGGCCCTGAAGCCCACCTTCTGCTACCTAAATCTGCTCCAGGTCTCCAGCACAAGTTCTGAGTGGGGGGCCACCCTTTCCAAACACGGTCCTCGGAGTCACCGCCCTTGTCAGGGTCCCGAAGTCCCCGGCCTCATGATATCCCCGGTCCAGCCCTGGCCGACTCCCCTGGGCTGGCTTTGTCGGTTCCTGTAGGCAGCACCGTGCCAACTGCACCCGTGTTGCCCAGGGAGTGGTGCAGAGGCCAATTCTAGCCAGTGCCCCCTCAGGGACTCCCACCGGAGAGGCACAGGGTTAGTGGGAGCCCTGACCACATTGGGCTTAGCCATCCAGCGGGGCACCTGCTGCACCATGTCCCTGCCACCACCACAAGGAAGGCAAAGCGCTGGTCCAGTGTAGTTTATTGAGTCCACTGTTACAAGGGGTTTGGGGGAGCAGAGGCCTGCAGGGCGCTGGTCACACCTCTGCAGGACTTCCAGAGCAGTGCTCCTAGGCAAGGTTAAGGAGGCAGGATCTGCACCCCAGGCTGTCTTGGCCTTGTAGCTGGATGCAGGCTCAGAAGTAGAGGGCTGGCTCACTGCGGAAATCTGACAGGTCATCCTGGCCAGCTGGGGTGAGCTAGAGAGGGCAGAGGTCCGGCAGTGAGGCCTAGCCCCCACTCCGGCGGGCACACCCCTGCCCCGCCCCGCCCCACCCCACTCACCATGACCTCCTTCAGTGGGGCTTCTACCTGCCGCGGGGCTGGCTCCAGTGCCGGCTCTTGCCACTTGCTGAAGGCCAGAGAGTGCTTGGGAGTGTAACTGGACAGGCCTGCAGGCCAAGGAGGCAGATGTGGGGCCTGGCCTGGGTATGCCCACCCCACTCCGCCCCCACCAGAGGCCCACATGGACTCACAGGTGCCATCAGGCAGCAGGGGGCTCTCTGGAGCCAGGCTGCCCACAAACGTGGCTCTGGGCAGGAAGAGCTTAAAGGGCTTCTCCACACCCCCATCTAAGCAGGGCTGCTCTTGCTGCTGCTGCTCCTCCTCCTCCTCCTCCTCCTCATCATCATCATCTGTGGCCTCCTGTGCCAGTGAGCTCTCAGAGGGGTATTCAAATGTGGTCTGCAGACTCTTGTCGTTGAAGGAGATCTTCATCTGGGGGTGTGAGGTGGAGAAGGTGGGGCAGGGCCCGCCACACCCCCGCATGCACCACCTGCCCCTGCTCTCCAGAAGCCTCTGACAGCTGGGATGGAGGCTTTCAGGGGACATGGCCCAACCACACCCCCTGCAGCAGACTGCCCCGGGCGCCATACCCTCACTTCCTGCAGTTCCTGTGGGCACCATGCAGCCCGCCCCACCCAACAGGCTTCCAGAGCTGGTCACCTAAAGCCGGTAACCTACTTCCCCTGTTCCTATCCCTGAGCCTAAGACCGGTCAGCACCCACAAGCCTGCTGGGCAGCAGCGGGTAATGAATACCAGCCCCGCGCCTACAGCAGACGGAAGCTGCCTGGGACTCGAAACCCTAAACTCCCAAGCAGGCACGGGACACAGTGGCCTGCTCAGGTTCCTCCTCCTCCCCGGAAGGGGCCGGACAGGAGCTGGGCCCCCAAGCAGGGCAGAGCACCCTGGGCGGGGCCACAGGCCCAGCTCCTGCACCACCCCCACCCAGCTCCAAGACACCTGCTAGACACCTGGCAGACTGCGGGCCAGTGCAGGGGAGAAACACCCAACAGCAGCCCCACAGTCGCCCCTCCCTGCCCTATGCCCGAGCCTCCAGAAGTCCCCCAGCAGCTGGCCCCGGAACCAGGAGGGGCAGGGCAGGCGCCAGGGGTGGCTGCCAGGGTGGGCGGATTAGTGCCCTCATGGCAGCACATGACCAGCTCTCGCAGGAGGCAGAGGGGGCTGGGCAGGCTCAGCCACGGAGCCTGGCACGGCCTGGCAGCGGGCTGGCAGCATGCGGGGCGGGGCACGGAGGGCTGTCCGACCCCAGCATGGCCCTGGCTCAGTCACCGCCTGCTTCCCGCCGCTCCTCCGGGAAGCTGACCCTCCGCTGTTCCCAGACACCCTTATGACTCACGGGGACAGCAGCCTGCCGGCCCTGGATAGACCGGAAGGGCCGGTCACCTGGCCCTGGGACTTTGCTCCTCGCAGGCAGCAGGTGGTCCTGGCCGGAACTGCCCAGCTTCCACAGGCCCCTTTGTTCTTCCTCCTGGCACGCCCAGCTATGGTTCCAAAGGGCGCCCACCTGGACTCAGGGCTGGGCCCCTCCCAGCAGCTCTGCCAGCTCCCACCCACCCTCCACCTGGGGGGGGCCACGCCCAGGCCTGGAGCTGGGGAGCTGGGACTGTGAACACAGCTTTCCGGGGAACCTTTCAATGCTCTGAGGGCGTGGCCAGTCCTCAACTCCGCAGACCTGGCCACAGAGGAAGAGTCCGTAGGAGGTGCGTCCAGACCAGCCTTGCGGCAAGAGTGCCCTGCTCCTGGGCATGACTGGGCTCTATCCCACGGGGTGGGAGGGGCAGGGATCAGAGGAGGGTGGCCATCAGATGGGCGGGGCAGGGGGCCCCAGCATGGCTGAGTGGGAGGGGCAGTCCTGCCTGAGCTCTGGTGAGGCCTGGGGGGCAGGGTGAGGACGCTGCCAGGCCACACATCTGCCATCTGGACCCCCGACTAGCACGAGGACAGGACAGGCGTGTCTCAGCCACTTGCGCTGCTTCCTGTCCCTGTCCAGTGCTGCCCGCCTGCCCTGTCCCTGCACCTGGACATGCAGAGCCCCCTGCTTCAGCCCTCCTCCCTCCTTGGGACCAAAGGTCGGGCAGCAGGGGCAGGAGGTGGGGCAGGGGCCAGGGCGGGGCCAGGGACACCTCACTCAGCAGATGGTGCTGGCAGGGGCGTCACTGCGCTCACCCAGGAGGCTGGAACCAGGCAATGCCAAGGCCTGCCTGTGGCAGGAAGTAGGAAGGGGTCAACACGCCAGGGGCAGCAGAGACGCCCACCTGAGGGTGGGCTCTGTGCCCCTCTCATCTCTGCCCTGCACCCTTGATGCGTGTGGGGGCACTTGGACCTGCCCCTGGGTCTGACAGGTACGGGCCAACAGGAGGAACCCCCAGGACTATTTTCCTGTTCCCAGGCCGCTCATTAGCGGCAGGGTGGGGCCGCAGTACCCTGGACGCTCTGCCCCAAGCCCACCCTCCCGGACTCACCAAGTCTCCTCACACTTCCCAAGGGCCATGAACACCCAACAGACTTGGCCAGCCCAGACCTGGGCTGCAGAGCCCTAGGCGGTGTCCCCACCCCGAGGTGGGGTGAGCACCTCCAGGCAGGCTGGAAACCCTGCACAGACTGGCTGCACGCCCCCCCACCCCTGAGCCCCTGCCCACACTCACCTTCTTTCTGGAGCTGCCCGCCTTGGCAAGGCAGGACCTCTGCAGGGACAGGTACCCGCCGACCACCTCGATCTCGTGCACGGTGGGATACCGCGGCTTCAGCGTGGCCCCGGGGGCACTCTCCTCTCCCTCAGCTTCGGGGCCCCTGGGCTCCCCGCTGGCCTGCACACTTCCTGGGTTCCTCTTGGGCACTACCAGGAAGGTGCTGCCGTCTCGGTGCCCGGCCCCACAGGGATGCGGGTGGTACTGAGGAGGTGTGACAGCCCCTGAAGAGGGCAGTTTGGCGTCTACGGGAGCCTCATCCTCCGAGTCCACCTCGTCGATGAAGGTGACGGGCAGCCCTGGCTCCCTGCCACTCTCGGACCACTCGGGGCCCCTGACGCCCTGGGCAGCTTGGGGTTCAGCAGGAGCCCCTGGGGACGGAGATGGAGAGGGCAGCGGCTGCCGCAGGACAACCTGGTCCACGAGGGCGGTGGCTGGCCGGGCACGGCCCAGCTCCTCCGGCCCCAAGGGGCTCCCGGCACCATTGGCTCCTCCAAACTCCGGGCAGGCGGTGCCCCGGCCTGGCCCTCCGGGCGCGCCGGCCTCGGGAGCGGCCGCTCCAGGCGCCTTGCGCTTGGGGACCAACACGAAGGAGTTCCTGGAGCCGTCGCGCAGGCCAGCCGGGGCCCGGGCCTGAAGGTCCCCGACGGGGCCGGTGCACAGGTCCGGCCTGGCGGCTGGCCGGATCTCAAAAGAGTCGTTGGCGCTGCTGGTCCCGGAGACCCATCGGCGCTGGCTGGGGGTGGCACTGGCGGGCCCGGGCGCGGGCGAGGCCGGCGTGGCACTGGGGGTCCGGTGGAGAGGGGGCGATCCTGACCCCACCTTTGGCTTCCGCGCGGCCGGCTCTGGCGCCGAGCCGTCCAGGCCGTTGGCGGCGCCGGCCCGGGGCTCGGGGGCGGCGGGCCCGGGGGGCGGCGGGCGGGCGCGGTGCAGGCCCCGGGGGTGGACGGTGAAGGTGTTGCTGCCCGTCCGGAGGAGGAAGTCGCTGTGCCGGGCGCCGGGGCCGGGGCTGGGGGGCGCGGGCCGCGGGGAGCGCTCGGCCGGGCGCGGGGCGGGGAGCGCGGGCCGCGGGGCGCGCTCGGCCGAGCGCGGGGCGGGGGGCGCGGGCCGCGGGGCGCGCTCGGCGGGGCGGGCGGGCGCGTCGAACTTCTGCAGCAGGCGGCTGACGCGGCCGGGGTCCGGCGGCGCCTCGTACACCACCACCTCGGCGGCGCGGAGGCGAGCGGCGGGGCCCGGTGCGACGGGGGGCGGCGAGCCGGGCGCCGCCTCGATGATGACGATGTTCTCGGCGCGGAGGGTGCGCACGGCCGGCACGCGGCGGTACAGCTCCAGTAGCTGCTGCGCCGGCCGCGCCCCCGCCGCGCCCGCGCGCCGCCCGCACGCGCCGTCGCGCAGCGGGCCCGGTCCCTCGGCTGCCAGCCGCGCGCGCCGCCGCTCCAGCAGCTCCCGCTGCCAGGCGGGCCGCCCCACGCTCGCCATGCCGCAGCAGCGGCCGCCGGAGCCGCGGCGGGCCGGGAAGTGCGGCCGTCGGCGCCCGCGCCGGCCCCGCGCGCCCAACCGCGCCGCGCCGCCCCGCCCGGCCCCGCCCCCGCCCGCAGCCGGGCCGCGCGGATTGGCCGGCCCCGGCCCCGCCCCCGCCGGGGCCTCACCGGGCCGGCCGACCGCCGCAGCCAGCTCCCATTGGCCCGAGCGCCCCGACACGCCCCCACGGCCACTTCCGCCTCTGCGCCCTGGGGCCGCGACCTCGGAGACGAAGACCAGCTGGGCCGCACAAGGCACTCCGGGCCAGACCCCTGGGCACTACCTGGTGGGTGACCTTGGCCTGGTCCTTCCTCGTCCTGCCGGCTGACGGCGCGGCGGAGAAAGGGTTTGCGCCCTCAGGCGGGCACAGGCTGCAGGCCGGTATCCCGCCGCCTGCCCATCTGTCATCTCTGGCACCGTGGGGAAAGGCGTTTCTCTGGAACCCCTATCCTTCATCGGTTGAAGAGCCCCCTACCCCACACTCTGCTGTCCAGTCACGGTGGGGACGTCCTCGAGGACGCAGTGACGGCGCACGGTGGAGTGCGGGAGCCACTGAGCCTGGGTAAGGGGTCCCGGAAGGCCGGCCGGACCCCGTTGCCCTGCCACAGTGCTTCCATCTGCTGAGCTTCCCCCAGCCAAGGCTGCTGAGGGGTGCTACTTAGCCACAGGCATAACCCCCCCTGCCCATGTGCCACTCACTCCCCACCGAGGCTTCAGTGTCCACCCTATTTTTTTGGCTTTATTTTGATTCGTTTTGGAGCCATACCCAGTTATGCTCAGGAGTTACTCCCAGCTCTGTGCTCAGGGATCACTCCTGGTGGTGCTGGGGGGCCATATGGAGTACCTGGGTACTACCTCTCCAGCCCAAGTCAATCATATTCTTGGGCAGGAGCCAATGGTAAAATTAAGAGGCCGGACACAGAGAGGTGCCACCTGCCCTCCCACCCACCTGGCTTTGGCTCAGCATCTCTCAGGGATAATCCTGCTGCCTCCCACACTGCTCCAGGGACCAGCACAGCCATCCCAGCAGCCACCCCTATTTCACACAACCTGACTCCCATCCTCTGTTAAGACAGAGAAAAGAAACCACACTCCCACCTTCCCAGATCCAAAGGTGTCCTCAAATCACCTTCCCAAAGAAAGTCTGTCTTCTTAGGAAGCTTTCATCAACAAGGCTTCATCAACAAGGTTACCAAAATCTGCACAACAGGACTAAAGAGGGACCCAAACAAGACACAGAGTCCAGAATCACACAAAGGAAAGCCCACACCCACTCGTTCTGCATACATGAGGCCTTGTTTGGGGGGCGGGGGGGCCACGCTCAGCCATGTTCAGGGATTACTTCTGCCTCAGTGCTTAGCAATCACTTCTGGTGGGCTCAGAGACCATATGGTATCCAGAAATCGAACCCAGCTCAGCTGCAAGCAAGGCAAATGCCCTACCTGCTGTACTACCGCTCCCATCCCTGCTTTCTGGCTTTACTGGCTCATGTACCATTCCTGGGAGGAACACTTTTGCAGCTGTGGGCTTGCCCGAGTAATGGGTAGCTCGAGTTTCTAGCCCAAGCAGAGGGCCACAAAGCTGTTTCATCTAACAAGGTCTGGCAAAACTGCTCTGAAAAGGACCAGACAGTAAACATTCTGGCCCACCAGTTTTCTCCAGGGACAAGATTGTCCTCCAGGAAGCTTGGCAGTACCTGGAAACACTCGGCTGTCGCAAGTGAGGAGTGCTAGCAGCTTGAGAGTAGACCCTGAAGCAGGGATACTGCTAAACTGGCTCCAAAGCTCAGAGCCTCTGACCTTTCTTCACACATACATACAAAATACAGCTAACAGGCCAGCAGCAGCTAGTCTGAGAGGCCCCATACACTGCAGGCCAGTGGCTCACACTCCTAATTTTACAATCCCTTGGAAGTGTAGTCAGGGACCAGAGCAGGTACAGCAGTTCAGGCACTTGCCTTGCACGTGGCTGACCCGGGTTCGACCACTGGCACCCCATATGGTCCTCCAAATCCCCCAGGTGTGATCTCAAAGCAAAGAGCCAAGAATAAGCCCTGAGCACTGATGGCTGTGACTCCAAAACCAAAATAAATAAAATAAAATTGTAAAGTCAGGGGTCAGAAACATAGTACAAGGGGTAAAGTCCTTGCCTTTCATGTCGTCAGTATGGATTCATATTTGCAGCACCACGTAAAATCCCCTAAGCCCCACTGGTGTGGCTTGAGCCTCCCCCTCCCCAACAAAAGAAGGGCAAAGTCGAGGTGTAGGAGGATGATTCCCAGGGCTAAAGTACATGCTTGGGTAAGTCCCTGACACTGCATGGGCATGTCCCCCAAGCACTGAGCTGCAGGTGGTCCCTAAGCATCAAGGATGGCCCACACCTGCCCTCCCCCCAGGTCCGCCCATAAAATGTCCAAGGGCTGGGTCAGAGAAAGTACAGGAGTCACTGTCGCTGTCCTACAGGAGGTAATTCACTGCCCTTGCTCTTACCTACAGCATCACTACTCTGGTTCAAATACCCAGCACCACACACCCCTGGGCACTGCCAGGGGTCACTCCTGAACACAGGGCCAGGAATAGTGGTCAAGCACTGCTAGGTGGGGGTCACCCTCCCCTCAAATAAAGCACTGTGTATTACACTGTACTGAAATACCCTATTTCAAAACTAAAGTCAAGGCTTTCGGCTCAGTGGCAGAGCACTCACCATGCACGTATGAGGCCGTGGGCTGCACCCCCAAACATCTCAGCCACAACCAAAACCCAACAACTAAATGGAAAGTCATTCTTGGTCAACAGGCCAGTTTTCTGGCCCTGCTCAAAAAAGAGCACAAGTCCACAAGGACCCCACAGCAGCAGGCCCCACTGCCCAGCCTGAGCTGTCTTCACCTGGCCCGAGGAGAGAAGCAGTGACTCTGAAGGAGACCCACCGCCTTAGCCTGCCTGGGCGCCTGTCAGAGGCCTCAGCATGCCCTGGTGTCCCGCTCCCCAGTTCAAGCAGCCCATACGCCTGTCAGCAACACATTCTCTTATTTATTCTCAGCTCAGCAACGGTTCTCATTTGGCACCTGGCAAGCATTAACCCCAAGGCCCAAGGCCAACGGGCTGAGACACCCTCAAAGTTCCCAACTGCAGGTCCCCCTGCTGTGAGCATCCAACACTTCCACCTCTCTTCTCCCTAGGGAACAACTAGAGCCATCTCAGGCCCCAGCAATGTCAACCATGGGTGATGGAAAGTGAAGACACTGCCATCTGCTGGCACAGGAAGCAGAGCCACGCCGGGGTGCGCAGAAAGGGTCCCAAGATGCTTGTCCCCCAGACAACCGTCTGCGGGACTGGAATGAAAAGCAGGCCATCCTTACGAGTAGCACGTGGGCAGGACACATAAGCTGGTTTACACCATTTGGAGATCAAGCAGCCAAGACAATCTTGGGTAGCTGGAGAGATGGAGGGCAGGCCAGTGAGCTATTCGGTGGCCAGAGGTGATCCCCAAGTCTGGCTCTGTCGGCTCCGCACCAGGGCTACGGTCCCAGGACCTTCGAGAATATTCAAGAGCCCATCAGGATATTCACTTCCGCGTCATTCGCAACCGTCCGGGATCGGGGAATGTCTGGAGCTAATTCAGGAGTAGCTGCTCACGGCACGAGAGGCGAGGCAACACGTTCGAAGGATCAACAGTCCTGCTCAGGGAGCCACGCGGGCCCAGCATGGCGCAGGGCCACGGGACACCCGGCAGGCGGCTAGTTGACGCGGCAGGCGCGGATCATGAGCAGCTGCAGGAGGATGAAGACCGGAGACGTGATGAGCCCGAACCAGAGCTCCCGCGTCTGCTCCACCAGCTTCTGGCACAGCAGCATCTCGAAGACGAACTTGAGACTCAGAACCGTAAGAACCCAGAAGAGGCGGAGCACGGCCAGGCGCTTCTCCCCGTCCTGGAAGAGGCGCACGGACACGATGGTGGTGAAGTAGGTGCTGAGCCCGTCCGCGGCGAAGAAGGGGACGAACACGTTCCACCAGGAGAGGCCGGGGGCCAGGCCATCCACGCGCAGGGCCAGCAGCACGGAGAACACCAGCAGCGCCAGCAGGTGCACGAAGATCTCGAAGGTGGCGAAGCCGAGCCACTGCACCAGCTCCCGCAGCGAAAAGAGCATCGCGCCGAGGGCGCGCGGGCCGCAGCCCTGCCGAGCTGTGCCCCGGCGCCGCCCGCCCCGCGGCTCGGGCCCGGGACCCAGCGCAGGCAGCGGGAACGCCGGCCTCGCCCGGTCGCCATGCCCCGCCGGCGCACGCCTCGAGCGTCACTTCCGGGCGCCTCCGGAAGCCGGAAGCGCCGGCGCCGGCCGCGGGAGCCTGGCCTGGGAGGCGCCGCGATGCCGGACCCGCGGCTCCTGGTGCTGTTCGGCAGCCAGACGGGCACGGCCCAGGATGTTTCGGAGCGGCTGGGACGCGAGGCCCGGCGCCGGCGCCTCGGCTGCCGCGTGCAGGCCCTGGACGCGTACCCGGTGGTGAGGGCCCCCCGGGGCGCGCGGAGAGGCGGGGCGCGCCCGACCGTCACCGCGCGCGGCCTTACCCGTGTGTCTCTCCGTTGAGGTGAATCTGATTAACGAGCCCCTGGTGATATTTGTTTGTGCCACCGCAGGCCAGGGAGATCCCCCCGACAACATGAAGGTAAGGCTGAGCCCCCAGCTCAGACCTTCGCGCCGCCCGCAGCCCGCAGCGCAGCTGCCCCGAGTCAGCCTCGTGAGGCCGAGCGGTAGGACAGGGCGGCTCAGTCCCGGGCACCCCAGGTGGTCCCCGTAGCGCTGCATCGTCCGGTGTCCCCAAAAAGCCCCCCCGGGAGGGATTCCTGAGTGGAAATGCAGGCAACCTGCATTTGCGGGGGTATGCCGTATGGTCCTAAGCACTTGGTAGAAACAAGAGTAGTCCCTGAGCGCAGAACCAGGAGTGACCCCAGAGCATTGCCTGGTGTGGCCCCAAAAAACAAACAAAACGTGTTTTCTCAGTCCCTGAGGTCCACTGCCCGTAGCCAGACACTGAGGGGAGTGTGGGGCTGGAGGGGTTTTACAACAGGCCCCGGGGTCCTCTGGGTTCAACCCGCACTACAGAGGAAGCAATAAGAGAATTCGTGGCACTGGAGTCCAGGCAGATGCGGGAGAACGACGGTGCGGGGGGGGGGGGGGGGGGGGCTGGGGATGAGGAGGGGTTTGGGACTTATGGGCAGCCAGGCCTCTGCTGTGGAAGGCTGCAGGAAATGGCATGACGGACCTAGGCGGGTTTATCTACGCCGGTGCTTTGGGGGCATCAGGGTCCCAGGAAACCAGCAGGAGCCAGAGGAGCTTGAGAATGCCTGTTTGGGGGTCTAGAGGGACAATCGGGTTAAGATAGTTGTTTGTGTGAGGCCCTGGGTTCAGCTCCGATACAGTCCCCCTAGCACCACCAGGTAAGGCCCCAGAAGAAAAACGAAAAGAATGCCTGTCTTCAGGGTTGCTGGCAGTGAGGGTCAGGGATGGGGCGGCTGATGCTCTGGGTTGAGAAGAGAAAACTGAATTGGAGCAGGGATCCACAGGGCTGACACGGAAGGTGCTCAGGTGAGACCCCAGAAGACCCCCCTCGTGGGGGGGCAGAGCTTGCAGAGCCTTTGCCGGAGTGGGTGACATCAGAGCAGGGCAAGAGCAGGGAGAGGTGGCAGGGGTGGGGGTTACTCCAGGCTCCTTCAGGGGACTGCAGACCCAGAACCCAGCGGTGTGGAGATGGAGATGAGGCCCCCAGACTGGCTCCAGGAGAGCTGCAGGGGCAGCTGTGCCCCCCAGGGAGAGCTGTTGGTCCATAGACCGTGAGGAAAGATCCTGTGAGACCCGAAGGACAGGGGCAGGCAACCTGCATTTGCGGAAAATGAAGCTGAGATTCTGTAGCCCCTCACTAAGAGTAGGGAGACGGGGCGGAAAGGGAGGAAGGCACCTGGTCAGGCGGTTCTAGAAGCCTCAGAGCCAGGGAAGGAGACAGAAGAACCAGTCCCAGAACCAGCCCACATGGCACCTCATGCCCCAGCAGGCTGCTGGTCTCACAAGGACAGAACTGGGCACCGCTTCTCTCTCTGGCTCATCTTGGGCCCTTGCCCTCTGGAACCCAGAGCCAGGCACCAACAGGGTGAGACCCAGACATAGTACAATGGGCACTTGCCTGGATTCAATCCACAACATCCCACATGGTCCTGAAACCCCACCGGGAATGACCCCTGAGTGCAGAGCCAGTAATGAACCCAGAGCACTAACAGGTGTGATCCAAAAACAAAATGAAGGGCCGGAGAGACAGTACAGTGGGTAGGGTACTTGCCTTGCACATGGCTAACCGGGTTTGATCCCCAGCATTCCATATGGTCCCAAGCACTCCAAGAGTAATCACTGAGCACAAAACCATGAGTAACTCCTGAGCGTTGCCATGTGTGGCCCAAAATCAAAAGAAAGAAAAGAAATGCAGGTAGCACAGCCTCTCCACAGTTGCAGCCGGCAGTCTGGACTGAGCAAGGTCAGGATCTTCCTGCTCCGCTGGTCCTCTGTCCAGCACGTGGGGGCTAGTGCCACCTGAGTGTGTACCAAGGGGCACTGGTGACAATCTGCAGGGTAACCCTGGAAGGCCAGACCCCCAGAAGGCAGCCATGGGGCTGGGGGTGAGCTGGTTCCAGGAGAAAATCGCCCAAATGGGCCTGGGAGCTGAGGAGTGCTATGCCCACACCCTCCTCCTGAGTTGCTTTCAGGGAGCTTTTTCCCAACTTCCTGCCTTTGAGATGGGGTAAAGATTGGGTCTTGGTTACCAAGCAGCAAGGGAGGGGCCTGACCTGCGAGGACCACAGCTTGGCCTTATTTCTCCTGGTGCAGAACTTTTGGAAGTTCATATTCCGGAAGAATCTGCCGCTCACTTCCCTCTGCCAACTGGACTTTGCGGTGCTGGGCCTTGGCGACTCCTCGTATGCCAGGTGAGTTGGAGCATGGTACCCGCCCTGGGTTCCTGGCAGAGGGAAGGGTCATCCTTGGGGCCATGGAGAAGGTTCCTGCCGAGGGCCATGGCTCTTTCCTGAGAATTCAGGTGGACAAGGAGCCTGGACTGCACTGGGTGGAAAGGCGCCATGGGCACATCTCAGGTGCTTGCTTCCACCCAGCAGTGCGACCCCTTCTGCTCCATGCCCAGGCAGTGCCACCCCTTCACCTTCCCAGGAGCGATTTGCACGCACACGTATGCAGTGATGGAGCCGGGGCCACCCAGACCCCTTTCTCCTGGTGCTGGGAACCGAGGCCCGCGCTCCCCACTTGAGAGTGAGCGGAAGGTCCCAGGGTTGGCGATCTCACACTGGGCCCTGGAGAGTAGAGCAGCTCGTCCTTATTTGTGGGTGAAGTGCCCCTGCTGCGGCAGGTGGCTGTGGCCGGTGGCCCCTGGCACAGCAGAGGCTGGAACCCTGGACTGCAGAACGGAAACTGGCCAGGTTCCCACATGGCCTGGTCCCCTCTCCTCCACAGGTTCAACTTCGTGGCTAAGAAGCTGCACCGCCGGCTGCTGCAGCTTGGGGGCAGTGCCCTCCTGCCCGTGTGCCTAGGAGACGACCAGCACGAGCTGGGGTGAGTGGGGGGGCTCCCTCAGGGTGTGGGCACATGCGTGTGGCATGAGCACCTCCTCTCTCCAGGCCAGATGCCGCCATGGACCCATGGCTACAGGAGCTGTGGAACAAGGTGCTGGAGCTGTACCCGTCGCTCCTCGGCCTCCACATCATCCCCCCTGGGACCCCGTGAGTGCAGGCCCTGTCGGGACACCCCTCAGCCGGGCTCTGCCACCTCCTGACCAGTTCCTGCCTCTCCACAGCCTGCCCTCCACTTTCACCCTGCGCTTCCTTCAGGAAGCCCTCACACCTCTGTCGGAGGAGCAGCCTGTAGTTCTAGCAGCCCCCTCGAGGCCCCCTTCCGAGAACCAGCCCTTCCTGGCACCCATGATCACCAACCAGAGGGTCACTGGCCCCACGCACTTCCAGGACGTCCGGCTGATTGAGTTTGATATCACAGACTCTGGACTCAGGTGAGAGTGCCCTGGGGCCTGAGGGGCCCTCCTGAGCCCCTCGCCCCACCCTGACTGAAGCTGTACCCTCAGCTTTGCTGCTGGGGACGTGGTGCTGGTCTGGCCTGAGAACACAGCTGAGAACGTGCGCCGTTGCTGCCGGGCGCTGGGCCTGCACCCTGACCAGCGCTTCACACTGCAGCCCCAGGAGCCAGGTGAGCCCTGCGGCCCCCGGCTCAGCCCGGCCCCAAGCTCCCTCCTGCTGCATCCCCTGCTCCGTGTGCTGTCTTCCCTGCAGGCGTCTCCTGCCCTGTCCGGCTGCCCCAGCCCTGCTCTGTGCACCACCTCCTGTCCCAGTACCTGGATATTGCCAGCGTGCCCCGCCGCTCCTTCTTCGAGCTCCTGGCCTGTCTCTCGCCCCATGAGCTGGAGCGAGAGAAGCTGCTAGAGTTCAGTTCTGCCCAGGGCCAGGAAGAGCTGTATGAGTATTGCAACCGGCCACGCAGGACCATTGTGGAGGTGCGGGTAGGCGCTGTGCATGCAGTTGTGGGCCAGAATAGACTCAGACAGCAGGATCGCATGGGTGCAGCCGGTCTGCTGAGTAGGCAGGGATGCAGAGGTGCACATGGGTAGACACAGGTGTGCTCAGGTGAGGCAGGTATGTCGAGGTGGGGCAGTATGTATAGTATAGGCAGGTACAGTGCAGGCAGTGTGTACTGGGGGGGCAAGTATGGGCAGGTATAGGCAGGTACATACAGGTGTACACAGACACTGGCTGGCGTGTCCAGGTGTGTGTGCATGGCTGGTGTGCTGGCAGGTGCAGATATCTGAATCTCCCCCAGGTTCTCTGTGACTTCCCGCACACCGCCAGTGCCATCCCCCCAGACTACCTATTGGATCTCATCCCCCCGCTGCGGCCTCGGGCCTTCTCCATTGCCTCTTCTCTACAGGTGAGCACCAGCCGGCGGGGCTCCTTGCGGGAGGGGGTGGGAGGACTGTCCAGGCACCCTCCGGCTCTCTCGCAGGCACACCCAAACAGGCTGCAGATCCTCGTGGCCGTGGTGCAGTACCAGACACGCCTCAAGGAGCCACGCCGGGGCCTCTGCTCCTCCTGGCTGGCATCTCTGGATCCTGCCCAAGGTAACCCCTGCTCTGGGCCTGGGGACTGTCCGGGCCTCCCACATGGGCCAGTCCTGGTCCCCGAACCTCTTGACACTGCCTTCCCGGCGACAGGAGCAGTCCGCGTGCCCCTATGGGTGCGGCCTGGGAGCCTGACCTTCCCGGACGGCCCAGGAACACCCGTGATCATGGTGGGGCCAGGCACAGGGGTTGCGCCATTCCGGGCAGCCATCCAGGAGCGCGTGGCACGGGGCCAGAAAGGTAAGCACTGGGCCAGGTGGGGGGCTTGGCAGCTGAGCCCCACGGCCCGGCCCTGTCCCAGACTCAGCTCCTCCCACCTCCCACACTCCGCCAGGAAACTTCCTCTTCTTTGGCTCCCGCCGGCGGGACCAGGACTTCTACTGGGAGGCTGAGTGGAGGGCGCTGGAGGAGAGAGGCTGCCTGACCTTGGTCACGGCCTTCTCCCGGGAGCAGGTGGGTGCAGGGGGTGGGCGGTCGGGGCAGGGGCAGGGCACCAGCACACTCACCCCATGACCTGCAGGAGCAGAAGGTGTACGTGCAGCACCGGCTGCAGGAGTCCGGCCCGCTGATGTGGGAGCTGCTGGACCGCCGGGGTGCCTACTTCTTCCTTGCAGGGTGAGCAGGTCTGGGGTGCCTCTGGCTGCTGACCCCCCCGGGTCCCTCTCGCCCGCTGAGTGTGCCCTGCCCGCCCCACTAGGAACGCCAAGCTCATGCCCGCGGCCGTGTCGGAGGCCCTAATATCCATCTTCCAGGAGCAGGGCAGGCTCTCGGGCCCCGAGGCAGCCGCCTACCTCGCCAGGCTGCAGCGTGATCTGCGCTTCCAGATGGAGACGTGGGCCTGAGGGCAGTCCCCTCCATGCTGGACTCTGCCAGGGCCAGGGGTGCCCCCACCGTGACCGGAAGGCCCCAGGCCCTCCGCTACATCCTGTGGCACCCCGTGATGGGCTGGCTGCTTGGTGTTCCTCTCGTCTCCTGTGTACAATAAACCTGGGGTGCCTGTGTCTGCTTCACAAGTGCTCTTTTCTCACCATGTGGGCCTGAGACTCCCGGGAGGGCAGCTTGGCGCAACTTCCTCCGTGGACTGGGGCGGGTGGCCTGGCACCAGGACGCTCGGGCGTCCTAGCCAGGGAGCTGGCACCGGGAGCGCGGGCGGGGGCGGGCCCAGCCTGGGAGGCGCCCCAGTCCTGGGAGGGGAAATCCTGTTGGAGGAGTCTGTCGGGTCGGCCCTCCCAGACGGCACTGCTGCCCCGGCTTGGAGGAAGCCTACACCTGGAGCTGACCAGGCGCGGGGGCCAGGAGGAGGCTGCGGTGCTTGAGGTCAGTGTTAGACCCTGCCCACCCCGAGGGCCACACCAACTGCCGGCTTCAGACGTACCTCCGCCACCCTGGGGTCCCAGCCTGCCCATTCGAACATCTGCCTGGGGCCCAGGCCCCCAGATCCAGGTGCCCCTGCCCCTAGGCTCTCCAGTCTGCCTCCAACCCCATTGGGCCCCAAGTCTACGACGCCCTCTGAGGAAGGGACAGACAGCCAGGCCCCTCCAGGTGTTCGGGCCCCCGATAATGAGCCCCTCCTGGGGGCTGGGCCCATGGTGCAGGATGAAGAGCAGGAGGAAGAGGAGTGCCCTGTGTGCACGGAGCTATACGGGCTGGGCGAGCACCGCCTGACCCTGCTCCACTGTGGCCACGGCCTATGTGTGGGCTGCCTGCGCCAGTTGCTGGGCACAGCCCCAGGGGCAGACCTGGGCCGCGTGTGCTGCCCGCTGTGCCGCCAGAGGACGCCCATGCTGGAGTGGGAGATCTGCCAGTTGCAGGAGGAGCTGCTGCGGGCTGACGGGCCCCAGCGGCCCCCGCCCCCCGCACCCGCGCTGCGGGGTCCCGGGCCCTGGAACTCCCTCGAGCACCGCTACCGGCTTCACTTCCTCACAGGGCCCCTGGGTGGCCGAGGCTGCCTGCCCTTCCTGCCCTGCCCAACGTGCCTGGGCGCGCGGCTCTGGGCCCTCCGGGAACATGGCCCTTGCACCCGCCGCTTGGCGCTGCTGGGCCTGCTGGGCCTGGAGCTACTGGGGCTGCTGCTCATCTTCACACCTCTCCTGCTGCTGGTGCTGCTCTTGGTGCTGCTGGCCCGCTCAGGCCACTGAGCACGCCGCAGGCCCCAGGGAGCAAGAGCCCTCCCCAGCGGTCTGATGACTGGGGAGGGAAATCCTGAGACTGTGCCAGGCTTAACCGCCGGGAACCGTGTCCGGCCCTGAGCCTGCAGGGGACTCCACATGCTGCGACTGTGCCAAGGCAGCGCCAAGGAAGCCGGGGACAGGCGAGCACCGGGCCAGCTTGCCTGCAGATAGTGGGGCAGTGAGCACGAGACCAGCATCGGCGTGCTCCAGCCAAGGAGACCTGAGCTCCCAGGTCATGGCACAGGGCAGGGTCACCCAGAGGACTCTGAAAGGGTTGAACCCTGGTTCCACCCTGGTTCCACGAGTCCCCTCCTGGCAGGTGGCACGGCCCTACCTGCATGCTGGACAGCTTGAAATAAACGCAGCTGCCCCAGCCAACCTTGTCTCTGACCCTCTACGACCCAGGCCAGCGGCGCACCCTGCCCGCTGCAACCCCAGCTCCACTCCTGTGCAGCCTTCAAGGGGCCAGGCAGACCCCAGAGCTGTCCCCATGCAGCGAGTCAAGAGCAGTCCTCTCCCTCGGCCCACCCGCCGCATGCCTGTATGTGCCCATGGCGATGCCCAGGGTCGGGAATAAGCTGCCTTCTTGGGACCCTGCGGTGGCACCAGCCTGGCAGCGGCCGGGGCCCAGGCCTGGCACCAGACGCAGGCCTCAGTCCAGGGGGCACGGTGCAAACTTTGGCAAAGAGTTTTAATGGCAGAGCTGGTGGCAGCGAGAACGCCACGCGGCTGGGGGCCAGAAGCTGTGGTGGGTGGGGAGGCGGCGGGCGGCGCGCAGACAGGCCGGCGGTGGCGGGCGCAGCGCTACATGATGGAGCAGGCGGAGAGCGGGTTCCGAGCGTGGCAGGCGCAGGCGGCACCGCAGTACTGCCGGAAGGTCTGGTAGCAGCTGCCCTCCGGCTCGCCCCCCCAGGGGCCCCCCGCGGGGGCGGCGAGCGCCTCGGGGGGCAGGCGGCTGAGGATGGACGTGTTGACGGCCAACGCGGCCAGGCCGTAGTCGGTGAAGAGCACAGTCTCGCGGCGGCAGGTGGGGCAGGAGATGAACTTGTACTTGGGGCAGGACTCGTAGAGGATCTGCAGGCACTGCTCACACACCGAGTGCAGACAGGACAGCACGCGCGGCCGCCGCTGCGCCGCGTTGTACGTGTGCCCGCACGTGGGGCACTCCAGAGGCTCGCCGGCCGGCGCCGCGGGCGCCCCCGCGTACTGGTTGGCGATGACCTCGCCTGCGCCCGGCTCCGCGCTGCCCGGGCGCGGCCGGCGGGGCAGGGGCGGCGTGCGCGCCCCCTCCAGCGCCGGCACGTCCGCCCCGCACGCCTGGTTGACGATGATCTCGGTGTCGGAGGGCCAGGCCCGCTTGGGGGCCAGGGCCGGGCAGGGGGCGGCCTGCAGCTCGGGGAACTTCTCGGGGTGCACGATCTTCATGGCCTCCATCTTCAGGAGGACATGGGGGCCCTTCAGGCAGGACATGAGGAGGCCCGGCCAGCCGCTGCCCGCCTCCGGCCCCGGGTCAGCGGGCATCCGGCCTTCTCTGGTGACACTCAGCCTCGGGGCGTGCGGGGACGCGGCGCGGGGCTGGAGGGCGGGGGCGGGGGCAGCATCCTGGTCCCGCCAGGTCTGGAGGGGGCTTCTGGGGGCCGCCGGCGAGAGCGGGGGCGGCAGGCGCGCCCCCCGCGGCCACGGGGGCGGGGCGGGTCCAGTCCTAGGCGGAGGGGGCAGGGGGGGGCGGGGGCGGGGGCAGCCGGGGGCAGGGGGGCGTGGGGGGCCGCCCCGGGCCGGACGCCGGGCCCCAGGGCTCACCCAGGGTCTCCGGCCGCGGCCGGCGAGGGGGCGTGGGGGGCGCTCCCCCCGCAGCCGCAGTCAGCAGTGCCCGCGCCGAGGCATCCGGGCAGGCGGGGGCTAGGCGGGCGCCATGGGTCCAGGACGGCGCGCCCAGAGAGGGCAGCTGGCCTGCGCCCGGGCCGCGGGGCGAGCGGGGCCGCGGGCGCGGCGGGCGCAGCGGAGAGGCCTGGGCCGGGCCCGAGCTGCAGGTGAGACGGACGGGCCGTGAGCGCGCGCCGCGGCCGCGGCCCCGTCCGCGTCCCCGTCTCCCCGCGCCCCTCCCCCGCCCTCACAAAGGCCGGGCGCCGACCTCTGACCCGGTCCGCGCGCCCCCCGCGCCCCCCGCGCGCCGCCCGCGCTCACCTGCCCCAGCCTGGCGGCCCCGGCCGCGCCGCCGCCGCAGAGGTGGTCTCGGACGGGCCCGCCGCGACCTCGCGACCCGGCGACCTGGGCGGGGGGCGCGGGCGCGGGCGGCGGGAGGCGCGGGGGCCGCTGAGGGGCGCGGGGCTCGGCGCGGCGGCAGGTGCGTGCAGAGCGGGGCGCGCTCTGCGGCGGAGGCGCGGGGACCGCAGTGCGCGCGGCGCCCGCCCGCGCCCGCAGCGCCACCCCCCGCCTGGGGACCCGCGCGGGGTCCGCGGGGCGGGGCCAGCCTCTCGGCCTCCCCTCGGCCGCCGCGGGCCCGGCGCCGCGCCGGGGTCCCCCACCCTGGGCCCTCGGCGAGCCCCCGCCTCAATTCGGGAAGGAAAATCCTGCTTTTCTCTCCGTGAGGCCGCTGGCGGCCAGGCGCAGGGAAGACAGCCCTGGGGTGGTCCCGGGGTGGATGATGCTGGTGCGTTGGGGGGGTGGGGAGGAGGACGCCTCGCTGGGCGGGGGCCGCGTGTTCCCCGCCCGCGTTACTGTCTCCCCGTGTGCCTCCCCCGGCCCCCACGGGGCAGGTGGCCGAGGGTCCTGCTCACAGGTGCACCCACCAGGCTGTGCCCGAGCCGCATGCGCGCAGACGGGGGTGAGGGCCCCGTTAGGGATGTGGAAGGCTTAGGGGAGCGCGGAGGGCGCAACCCTGCGGGTGGGGCAGCCCCTCCAGCGTCCGGGCCTCCCCTGGCACATGCCCGCGGCACACGCCGGCTCGCCAACCGCGCCCCGCCCGGCAGACGCCCGGTGGGAGACCTGGCTGGCCAGCAGGGGCCAGGATCCCAGGATGGTGGGCACCCACCCCGCTGCCGCGGCCCATCAGTCGTGCGGCCAGAACTGGGCCCCACAGCTGCCCGGGCTGCTGCAGGCAGAGGAGCCCCGGGAATCTCAGGGTGCTGGGGAGGGAGCCCGCGTGGGTCTGGCAGGCTGCAGGAGTCTCCGTGGGCATTAGGGCCAGACTCAAGGGTCTGTGTGACCCAGGGCCAGTGTGTGGATCTCAGATTCCTCGCAGCTCAGGGACCGCAGCTGTGCCTGGGGCGAGTGGGGCAGCAAGGCTGGGATGGGCCCCAGCTCTGATGGCAGGACCACCAAGGCCGCGCCGGCCACTGGAGGTGCCACCTGCACAGCCCATCCTCCCACAGAACCATGAGGCGGAGCACCAAGGAGGCCCCGCCCCCGGCAGCAGGCCCCGCCCCGCCCCGGCCGCAGAGAAGCCCTGGAGCAGAGCCGGACAGCGGACCCCAGCGGCTCCGCGCATGCGCGGCCTCCCCCGGCGGCTGCTCGGGCGGGGACCGGGGCTGTTGGCGCCTGCGCACTGGGGCGCGGCCAGTCCCGTGGCCAGTGCTGGGCTAAGTCGCTGGAACGCGAGTCTGGGCTGGTCGGACCGGCTCTACGCGCCGGCCACCTAAGTCACCCTGGCCTCTGGGGCACGTCCGATTCAGGCCCGCCCTGCTTGGGACTTCCCCCCACCGCACCCGGCACCAGGAACCGGGGATAGGGGTCGGGCCGTCCCCGGAGCCACGGGGCTGTGCATGTGGAGGGGGGGTAGGTTCTTGAGCAGGGCCAGCCCGACCGCGTCTCCCGTGTCCACTGCGTGACCCTGCGTGCCACCTGACAGATGACAGGAGTGTGCCATGTCCAAGGGGAACGGGGCAGCCCGCACCCCCTCCCAGCCCACCAACCTGGGAAACCGTGATTTGGGGCTGACGGGCGTGAGATAGGCGCGTCTTGTTTGCAGAGGTGTGTCAGGTAGCGCCTGGGCCGCTGACAGCAGCGGGGGCCAGGCGTGTTGGTCTTTGCGGGCAGTGCTGGCATGTGGTCCCCACACTGGGGTCCGCCCCGGCCTGCCCGCTTGCCCTGGATCTCGCTGCTGCCTCCGCCCACCTTCCCGGTAAGGCACTGCAGGTCCCCCGGCCCGGGTGCGGGCAGGGCTGGCTGACCCAGGCTGACACCCGGGCTTAGCATGCCTCTGGACCTGGGCAGGAAGGGTGGGCCTGCAGGCCCAGCTGGCTGAACTGGGGCCTCCCAGGAGCGCGGGAACCCCACTGTGGCCGCGCCCCGGGGCCCCGCCTCTCCCCAGGAGGGAAAAGGCAGCAGCCAAGGCTGGGCTCACAGGCACTACGACCCGGAGCCCACGAGAGCAGAGGACCCGCGGCTGCTGGCGCCACTTCAGGTGGGTCCCAGCCTCCTCCCCATTCCTGCTCCAGTGCAGACCCCTGACCCACACCCTCGCCCGCAGCTGGCCCCTCACACTCAGGCGCCTGGGCCCTGAGTCCCTGCCGCCACCAACCCTCCTCCTCTGCCCACCCTGCCAGGCCCGCCATGGACCCCCATGAGATGGTCGTCAAGAACCCCTATGCCCACATCAGCATCCCCCGCGCTCACCTGCGGCCCGACCTGGGGCAGCAGCTGGAAGCAGCACCCTCATCCTCAGAACCTGGGCCCCTGCCACTGGGGCCCTGCGCCCCAGAACCCCCCTGCACTCTGCAGCTGAGCGACGCCAAAGGTGCTAAGGGGGCCAAAGGGGCTGCCCCCGTCCAGGGACAGCAGACTTGGCAGCCCTCCGGCAACCCCTATGGCAGTGGGCAGCGCCAGGCAGGACTGACATATGCCGGCCGGCCGCCTGTCGGCCGTGGGGACGACATTGCCCACCACTGCTGCTGCTGCCCCTGCTGCTCATGCTGTCACTGTCCCCGCTTCTGCCGCTGCCACAGCTGCTGCGTGGTCTCCTAGCCCGGACACTGGGCTGAGCTGCCTCCAGCCCCAGACGGGGGGGGGGGGGCCCTGCCCTTCTCAGGCCCCCGTGGCAATAAAGCAGCTGGAACTGTTTCCACGGTTGTTCTTTGTGGCGGCGCCTTGGGGACAGGCCCTGGGTCGGGGACAGCACAATCCCAGCGGGACCCGGGGGGCTGGGGCTGGCAGGTCTGGGAGGGGCCGCTGTGGCGGGTTTCTGGGACAGAAGCCCAGGCAGCCGGGAAGGGCCTGCCTGCCCGTGAGTCACCATCCCACCTCCATGCTGGCGTTTTTCTGGTTTCCCGCAGAACGCCTCCTTCCGAGCCACCTGTGGGTGTGGCCTCCGCCATCCTCCCTGCCTTTGGGGGTCCCCTGCAGCAGGCGCCCCCACTGGGTAGCCTGGTGCTTCTGGGCTGGGCAGAAGTGGCCGGAGGAGCAGAGTGAGCTGGCCTTGCAAGGCCAGCGGGTTCCGGTGCCCGCCCTCCATGAGCCAGGGTGACTGGCCACAGGGTGTGGGCAGAAATGTCACTCCACCCAGGCCTGCCACGCGGACCTGTCAGGCCAGTTTCCGAGGGGGAGCAAGGAGACATCCCCCAGGGTCCTGGGGATCCTGAGCCCCCTCTGGGCTCCCCGGGCTCTCATGTGTGTAGTCAGGACTTGGGCGGGCAATGTGTGGGTGTTGCAGATCAGCACGAATGGGCCCCAGGTGATGCTTCCCGAGCCTCCTCGGTGCATCTAGCCCTAGGGGTCAAGACCCAGGGCCTGAGGAGGCTGGGCGGCTCCTGTGGGGGGTGGGCTGGGGGGCCTTATCTCAGTGAGGCTGGAGGCCCCGATGGATCCAGTTGCAGACACTTTGTGACTGAGAGGGCAACCCCGCCCACCTGCCCGCCCGCCTGCTGACTCCTGGTGCCAGTAATGCGAGCCCGGGGAGGGAGTCACCACACGCACCTGGTCCCTCACCCCGGCCTCTGTGGAGCCGGGCAGAGGTGCCCAGGGGAGTGGACTCAGGTAAGAGCAGTCAGGGTTGGGATGGGGTGGGGCTGGTCCGAGAGGACATCAGATGCACTCCATCACCCCAGGATGCTGCAGCCCGGGACGCCTCCCGCCCCGCCGGCCCCCGAGGAGAGGACAGTTGCTGTCGGGGCCTGGCATGGCATCTGCATCGTCTGCTGCTCAGCTTACGACCTCTCCGGCCACCTGCCCCGTCGCCTCTACTGTGGCCACACTTTCTGCCAGACCTGTATGCGGCGGCTGGACACGGTGGCCCACGCCCAGCACTGGATCCCCTGCCCGCAGTGCCGCCAGAGTACTCCGATGCCCCGCGGGGGGGTGGCCACGCTGGACCTCGACCTACCTGCCTTCCTGGCTGTCAGAGCCGATCGGGACCCCCGGCCTTTCGCCACTCCCAAAGGCAGCTCAGCTGTTACGCAGCAGCCGGTGGAACCGGCGCCCAGCTCGGGACCCCAGCTGCACTTCCCCTGGGGGCCCCACTGTTGCTGGGGTTGCCGCAGCCTCTGCTGGGCACCGGGGGGCAGCCCAGAGGTCTGAGGTCAGGCCACTCTGCGCGGTGGCTGATGCAGTCCCTGGCAGCCTGCTCGAACCTCTGGGGCCCCCGCAGCAAGGACACCATCCGGTGGCATCACAGCCCAGCCCTAGCCCCCGGCAGTCAGCTTGACCTCGCTCTCTTGCTTGCTCGCTCATTCTCCTCCTCCTCCTCCTCCTGTGCAGTCCCCGCCTACACATGACAGAACCCCGGGGACCGGCATCGCCCCTGCTGTGCCCTGGCCATCAGGCAGCCGAGGAGAGGACTCGGGCACGGCTGACTCAGTGCTCCCAGCTGTCCTCTCCTGGCCCTGCATGACCTCCTGCCCACAGGAACCAGGATGGCCCTCTGTCTGGAGCCTTCCTGGAAGGAGCTGTCCCCTGGGGGCCCGCCCTGGGCAGGGGCAGTCAGAGTGGGGAGAACCCGAGAAAGTGCTGAGAGGACAGTCAGCAGTCTCCTGCCTGGGCAAAGTCCCCGACAGGACAGTTGGCAGTGGGCAGTGAGCAGGTGCCGCCTGTGGGCCCCCGCAGCCCCAAGCTGGGAGGTTTTCCTGCAGAGGGGCTGCTGGGAGGGAGGTTCCCCTCATACCCGGTTGATACCCCACAAGCCCTGGCTGCTGTGCTGGGTTGGCCCCCTGCCTGGCCCGGTCAGGGCACCCCCAAGCCTGTCAGTGAGGAGAGGGCCTGAAGAGCCCCCCAGGGCCCCCAGCCAGGCCCAGAGTCCTGCAGGCTTGGTCCTGCCCACAGCTGTCACCTGGTGTCCTCCAAGAGGGCCCGGAGCCCCCCGGGGTCTGCAGCACCCCTCGGCCCTCAACTGGGTAAACATTAATGGAAGGGCTCGAAACACAGAGGTCACGTGTGCACTCAGCGGACCTTTGACCTGAGGCTGCTCCCGCCCCTCCCCTTCCTGCAGGTGCCCCTCATCACCCACACAGGTAGGAGCTTCTAGAACCTGCCGGAAGAGCTGAGCACTAGGATGGGGCTTGGGTACCTCCAGGACCTCAGGCCCCGCCCTGATTCCCTGGGAGCTGAGGGCAGAAGGATGGCAAGGGTCAGTGAGGTGGGGGACACCAAGCCCCCTGAGACCACTGGGCACTGGGCCAGGGCGGCCAGAGCCCCACTGCACTCCAGGGCTCAGTGGGCCAACGGCACCAGAGGGGTGGTGGGGGCCCGAGCCCCTTCCCTGCCCCCCTGGGGTGGGGCCCTTATCGAGCAGAGGCGTCACCACTTGGTATCAAATGCCAAAGTCTAAGGGGACCATCAGCTGGTTCCTCAGTGACAGCGGAGCGGAGCTCCACACCAGCACCAGGGACCACACGGCCTCCTCCAACAGGACTGGTGAGGAGGCGTGAGCAGGGCCCTGACAGTGGCCTGGGGTCCCTGAGGGGGAGATGCGTCCCCAGGAACTCAGCGAGAGCAGCAGCTCGGGGGGGGGGGGGCACATGCAGGCTGGGGGTGGAGGAGCCGTCTGACCTGTCCTTCCTCTAGCTGGCCCACCCCTGCCTCACATCCATGCCGAACTCCCTCACGGGGACCCAGGTGCCGCACCCCACTCTGGACCCAGTCGTCCTGGTGGACCAGAGCCAGAAAGATGCAGGTACCAGGGGCCGTGTGCTGGCTCCCCACGCTGGCTCCGGCCAGGGCGGAGGGCACCTCGCTTCCTGGGAGCACCTCCTCCTGCCCTCTACCGCCCCCTCTGCTGCCTGCGCTGGGGCCCTCCGTGGGGTGAACAGAGCATAGGTGGCCCCGACCCATCTTCCCCCACCCCCCCACAGAGGCCACGGGTTCTGCCCCTATCATGGAAAATGGAGACACGGACCCCTGGACCATCTCTGAGGAGGACACAAGCCAGCCCTGGAAAGGTGGGTGCGCCACTGTGGGCCCTGGGGCACAACAGGGTACCTGGGCAGAACGAACGAGGGCCCCGGCCCGAGGGGACTTAGCCCCTGCAGTCTGGCCCTTCTGTGAAAGGCCTGCCCTGGGGGACGGGGCAGGGATCTGGTGGAGGGCCCTGCTGCTGAGGATGACCCTTCCCTGTGTCCCCAGAGCTCAGTGTGGCCGGCAGGGCACGCCGGGTGGCCATCGGTTTCCTCAAGGCCTGTGGACTGCTGGGCAGCCTGTACCTCTTCATCTGCTCCCTAGACGTGCTCAGTTCTGCCTTCCAGCTGCTGGGCAGTGAGTGGTGGTGCGCCCAGACAGAGGGGGACCGACGCTCAGCACTGCAGCAGGCTGCATGCTGACACCCCTCTCCCCTGGACACAGGTAAAGTGGCCGGAGACATCTTCAAGGACAATGTAGTACTGTCTAACCCTGTGGCCGGGCTGGTCATCGGCGTGCTGGTCACGGTCCTGGTGCAGAGCTCTAGCACCTCCTCGTCCATCGTGGTCAGCATGGTGGCCTCTGAACGTGAGTGTCGGGCCTTGCTCGGGAGGGAGTTGGCGGGCAGGGCCACAGGGCTGACTCGCTCCCCACAGTGCTGACTGTCCAGGCTTCTGTGCCCATAATTATGGGTGTCAACGTGGGCACCTCCATCACCAGCACCCTAGTGTCCATGGCCCAGTCGGGGGACCGAGATGAGTTCAGGAGGTGAGTGAGGGTAGGGCAGGGGTGGGCCACAGGCTGCAGGGCCAGCTCCCAGCCTGCTCTTATGGTCACAGGGCATTCGGCGGGTCTGCAGTGCACGGCATTTTCAACTGGCTGACGGTGCTGATCTTGCTGCCGCTGGAGAGTGCCGTGGGGGCGCTGGAGAGACTCAGCCAGCTGACCCTGGGTACCATCCACCTGGAGCCGGGGATGCGTACCCCCGACATCCTCAAGGTGCTGACAGAGCCGCTCACACACCTCATTATACAGGTGAGGAGCTATGGGCCCTGTGCTGGGAGGGGATGGGGCCTGGAGGTGGCAGAACCCAGGTCTAGCTGCTCTGTCCCCCAGCTGGACACTGACGCCATCACCGACAGCGCCACGGGCAATGCCACCAACAGCAGCATTATCAAGCGGTGGTGTGGGACCGAGGAGGAGCCGGTGAGTCCCACCCGCCTGCTATGGGTCCCCTTGAACCTGCCAGGCACCCTGCACGCCCAGACGCTAAGCCCTGTCACCTCTGCAGACCCAGGGCAGCGACTGCGGAGACCTCTGCTCCTCCCAGAACAGCTCTACCGTGCTGGTGCCCTGTGAGAACCGGCCCACCCTCCAGCCCGCCGGGACATAGCCCCCCTCCCCCCCATGCCCGGTAGCCATGCCCAGGAGTCCCAGACACGCCCTCCAGGCCCCATCCCTGTAGCCCCGCCTCGCTCCAGTAGCCCCGCCCAGGGGCATGGACACGCCCCCGCCCTCTTTCCCCGCCCACCCTTCCTCTAGCCCCGCCCAGGATACATCCTGTAGGCCCCACCCCTCTAGCCTCGCCCAGGATGCATTCTGCAGGCCCTGCCCCTATTGCCCCACCCAGGATAGATCCTCTGGACCCCACGCCATGCCCCCATAGCCCTGCTCCCGGCCCCCGCGAGGATCCCGGCCTCGAGTCCAGCCCTCTCCTGCCCGCAGGCCACCACCTGTTCACCTACTCATCGCTCAGCGACCTGGCCGTGGGCCTCATCCTGCTGGCCGGCTCCCTGCTGGTGCTGTGCTCCTGCTTGGTGCTCATCGTCAAGCTGCTCAACTCGGTGCTTCGCGGCCGCGTGGCCCAGGCCGTGCGGGCCATCGTCAACGCAGGTGCGTGGGCGGCCCGGGGCGCGGGCGGCGGCGTCGGGCCGCGCTGACCGCACCGTTCCCCGCGCAGACTTCCCCTTCCCCTTCGGCTGGCTCAGCGGCTACCTGGCCATCCTGGTCGGCGCGGGCCTGACCTTCGTGCTCCAGAGCAGCAGCGTCTTCACGGCCGCCATCGTGCCGCTCATGGGTGAGCGCGGGCCCTGGCGGCGGGCGGGGGCGGGGCGGCTTGCGCGGCTGACCCCTGGCTCCCGCAGGGGTCGGCGTGATCAGCCTGGAGCGGGCGTACCCCCTCCTCCTGGGATCCAACATCGGCACCACCACCACGGCCGTGCTGGCGGCCCTGGCCAGCCCCGCGGACAAGCTGCTCTCCGCCGTCCAGGTACTGCCCTGGAGGGTCCTGCCGCCGGCCCTGCGCACCGCGGCCCCTCCCGCGCGCGACCCCACCGTCGGCTCAACTCGGGCACCTCGGAGGACCTCCAGGAGCGCCCACTGTGAGGCCTGAGGCTGCGGGGAGCCCGCCCGAGCCGCTGCGCCCCCAGTCCAGCTGCGGGTCTAGGAGCGGCCAGGGCCTGTGCGGGGCCCTGTGTGGGGCGTGTATGGGGCCGGGCGCGCGCACGTGCGCAGAGCAGGCGGGTCGCCGGGCCAGTTGTGGACACTTTGCAGAGGGGCCAGGTGGGGCGCGGGTTCGGGGGCCATGCGCGTGTTCAGGTGTGGGGCAAGTGCGGGGCCAGGCGCGTGTGCGTGTGTGTGGCTGGGCGAGAGGCAGGTGTAGGGCTGGCGGGGGCGGGTGCGGACGCGTTGCGGGGGGGCCGGGCGCGTGCACATGTGCGGGGTGACTGTGCGGATGGAGGTGCGTGTGGGGGGCAAGTGTGGGCACGTGTGCGGGGCTGGTTGCTGAAAGGGGCGGGCGCAAGTGCGGGGCGCGCGTAGAGGGGCACGGGTGTGAGAATGTGAGCAGGGTTGGGTGCGGGAGGGGGGGCGCCCGGGAGCGTGTGCGTGTGCGGGGCTGGGCTCTGGGCGGGTGCAGGGCGCCGGAGGCCCCCGGGTGTGAGCGCACGTGTAGAGCCTGGCGCTTGTACATGTGAGGGGCGCGTGTGCGGGTGCAAGTGCGTGCGGGGCCGGGCTCGTGTGCGTGGTCAGGCAAGTTACATGTGCGGGTCGCATGTGTGTGTGAGGGGGGACGGTGCGGGTACGTGTGCGGGGCTTGTGTGCGGAGCGGGTGCAGGCACGTACGCGGGGCCGGGTGTGGGAGGGGCACGTGTGCACGGTGGTGCGGGCACTTGCGCGTGGCCGGGTGCCGGGCAGGGCGCATGTGCGTGTGCGCGGCGGGTGCGGGCACGTGCGCCTGACCTGGTGCGGGACCGGGCGCTTGTGCGTGTGCGGGCACGCGTGCGGGGCGGGGCGGGCACGCGCGCGGGCAGGGTCCGCTCCCCGGAGGACGCGGTCGGCGCGCTGACCGTCTGCCCTCGCCCCCAGGTGGCGCTCATCCACTTCTACTTCAACCTGGCGGGCATCCTGCTGTGGTACGTGGTTCCCGTCCTGCGGCTGCCCATCCCGCTGGCCAAGCGCTTCGGGAACGTGACCGCGCGCTACCGCTGGGTGGCCGTCCTGTACCTGCTGCTCAGCTTCCTGCTGCTGCCGCTGGCCGCCTTCGGGCTGTCGCTGGCGGGGGGCGTGGTGCTGGCGGCCGTCGGGGGGCCGCTGCTGGTGCTGCTGCTCCTAGTGATCCTGGTGAACGTGCTGCAGCGGCACCGGCCCGCCTGGCTGCCCCGCCGCCTGCGCTCCTGGGCCTGGCTGCCCCGCTGGATGCGCTCCCTGGAGCCCTGGGACCGCCTGGTGACGCGCTGCTTCCCCTGCGGCATCTGCGGGTCCCCCGCGGGCTCCACCAAGGAAGCCCACTGCTACGACAACCCCGCTGTGCTGGCCTCGCAGTGGCTGTGAGGGCCCCGGAAGGCAGGACTCGGCAAATAAACCACTGCGAGCCGCGTGTGGTGAGCGTCTCTGGCGGGTCGGCGGGGAGCGGCGCTGCCTCCTGCGGTCAGGGCTGGGGCTGCTCCTGCGGGCGCCTGGACAGAGCCCGACAGCTCCGGGGAGCCACCCAGGGCCGCTGGACAGGGATGCGCCGGGGGCCTCTCGCCCAGCGCTGGCACAGGAGTCAGCGGCCGAGAGGGCAAGCCCCTGCTGGAGGTGTGGGCCCCTGGGGCCAGACAATGACAGCCCCTCCAAGACCTGGGCTCTGCACCATCCCCGCAGCCCTTCTAGACCCCCATCCGAGGGTCCTGCATCCCTTGGAGCCACAGACTACCCTGACTGCTGCCACCCCCACCAATTCCTCAGTCTCCAGAGACCCCTGGATCCCGGACTCCTCCTCTCTGCACACAGGGCTCCCGTGGGTGTGCTCAAGTGACCCCAGAGTGCTGGTTCTAGGCGTTCCAAGGGGAAAATGGGCAGCACACCGGGACCAGCACCAGTTTCCAGGGCTGCCTCAGTGGCAGCCTGTTGCCCTCTTGGGTGTGAGATTCAAAGAGAAAGGCGCAGTGGTGTGCAGGACGCGAGTGTCCAGTGGCCGAGAGCTGTTCCCCTGGCTGGTCCATAGCGACAGACGAAGGATCGGGAACAGGGCCCCAGGCTGGTGGGTGGTCAGTTTCTCACTCCTCCCCAGCCAGCCCGATCTCTCCCCTTGCTGCACAATTGTCTTAGTTTTGGTTGTAGTCCAGTAATAGTTCCCTGGTCCTAATCTCCTCGTAAAGCTCAAAGTCCCCTCCTCTAGTCCTGACTTTCTAGTCTCGTTGTAGCCTCATTATCCTCTGCTTCCAGGCATCCTTGTCATCTGGTCCTCCTTCTAGTCCTTCTCTTCAACATAGTCCTCATTCTCAGCTAGTCCTTCGCTCCCACTCTCCCCTCTCCCCCTACAGCATAGCTATATTAGAAATCGTGAAGGGTGGGGGCACGCATAGGTGGGGTTAAACATTGTCATAAGAACAGAGGTAAAGTCACTCCAGGGAAATTAGATTTTTTTTTCTTTTTGGGTCACATTTAGTGATGCTCAGGGGTTATTCCTGGCTCTGCACTTCGGAATTACTCCTGGTGGTGCTTGGGGGACCATATGGGATGCCAGGGATCGAACCCAGGTTGGCCACGTGCAAGGCAAACGCCTTACCCGCTGTACTATCACTCCGGCTCCGGAATTAGGAGATTAACTCAAGGACAAAATCTCATCGGAGCATTCAGCACTCCAGATTACTAGGAGATCCACTCAAGGTCAGGATTCCATCCAGGGTGAATTTCTTTCTCCTTTTCTCAGCTAGTCATCCATTCAAACAATCATAAGTTTAGATTTAGTATAAGAAGTGATTTACTTCTTATATTTCTATTCATTTTGTATGAACACAGTACGAGATATATTAAGCTTAAAGGTTGGCAATTCCTGGGGACATCCGCTATGCATTCCAGGCAACAGTCCTCAGGTCAGGTTAGTCTTTCCTAACCCCATCAGGGTCCTTATTCAGTTATTTCTTTTGTTGGCCAGGTCAGAGTTTGTTCCATGACTGTGCTCTTAGTTTCCTATTCTAATGGCCCTTAGTTTGTCTCCTTTCGATGCCAGAGTACCTTATAGCTTGCCCTGGGTCCATCCAGTCTCTTCGTCAGGACCCTGCTTTTGGAGTGCTAGAAACTAAGGGCAATTGAGGCTTTTTTCTTTTCCTTTTGGGTCACACCTGGCGATGCATAGGGATTACTCCTGGCTCTCCACTCAGGAACTACTCCTAGTGGTGCTCGGGGGACCATATGGGATGCTGGGAATCACCTGTGTGCAAGGCAAATGCCCTACCCGCAGTCCTATCGATCCAGCCCTGCAATTGAGGCTTAAGTCAGGTAAATATGGAAGCTCAGGAGTTTACTTTGGAGTCAATTAACTTCCATGTTCCAAAGTATAGCATGAACGATCTTCCTGTGTCTGTTCAAAAAGGACATTGCTAAATAAGTCATGCAAATGACAAAGAAAAGAGAATAGCAATATAGGATTATTAGTGCTTGATGAAATTGGGTGTGCTTCAGGAGCACTGTTATGAGTAGCTCAATAAACCTTAAATCCCTGCAGGAGGAGTAAGGACAACCCAATGTTATCCAACAGTGGGGGAGGGGGCTGGGCATTAGGCTGTGGGCAGGGGATTAAATCCTGCCGGCTCCCTATAGAACCCTCAGCTGCTCTCTGCCTTGTAGGTTGGTTGGTCCGGGGGCACACTGAGGTGCTCAGAGGTTAACCCTGGCTCTGCACTCATGGGTCATTCCTGGTAGGGTTCAGGGGGACATACAGGGTGCTGGGGATAGAACCCCAGTAGTGCCTTTCAGGCCACATACTGCATTGTGCTTCTTTTTGAGACCCAATTTTTTATTTTCTTCAGGGAGTGACTTGCAAACTGTCATGGAATCCCAGCACCAACCCCACCGCCAGCCTGCCCCTTGACAGGCACATTTGTAAGTTTGGTTGGTGTAGTGTGTGGATAAGGCCCAGTTCTTGCCCAGTGCCCTTTCCAACCGATCTGAACCCCTGGCCCCCTTTGCCTTGCACCCGCACCCTCCTGTGCCCCGTCCCTCCACACCTGATTACTTCTAAAATGCTGCTCAACTTGGGTCCCTTGCTGGAGCCACAGAGCAGGGCCCCCACTGCAGTGCACCTTGAAAGCCTGAAGGTAGCCTGGCCTGGCGAGCCGTGGGTGGGGGAGGGCAGGCCCCTGGCCTCCCCTTCCGGGGCGGCTGAGGCCAGCAACAGAGGCAGCCCCAGGTCCTGTGAGGCCTTGAGCACTGTCTGCCCTGGCTGGCGGCACTGCAGCTCCCCTGGGAGCTCAGCCACTGGGGCACAGAGCAGCCTTTGTGCCACTCCTCCGACAGCTGCAGGGCGGCCAGTGCCTCTCCTGGGCCAGGGTTCTGGGCTTGGCTGGGCCTGCCTGTTAGCCACCAGGGCCCACCTCCTGGGGGCAAGCGGAAGGGCCGTGGCACACTGAGCGTCCAGCCCTGTGGGCATGGTATTTGGGGGTGTTCTGGGGCCCCCTCGTGAGGGGAAGACCAAGCACCCCAGGAAGCACCCTTGGCAATGGGCACCTCAGGGAGGGGAGCTGCCCTTCTCACCCTCCTGTGAGAACTGCCTGCAGCAAACCAGGGCTGCCTGCGGAAACCTTTTCTAGCACTGGGGACCCCCCAGGATGCCAGTTGCCAAGTGAGAGGCTCAGGAGGCCCTAAGCTTGAACCAGGCAAGAGGCTTCCTCCGAGGCATGCTGGGGCAGGAGGAGCCTCAGGGTTGGTTTGGGTTTGCCCCCCACCCCAATACACACACACGTGCTGAGTTTACTCCCCAGGATCTTATGAAAGGTAACTTTTTTTTTTTTTTGCTGGGTCGGAACCCAGGCATCACTCTTGCTGGGGGTGGGGGGGCCCAGATGGGATGCCAGAGAGAAGACTAGTGGACCGTGTCCGAGGGAAAAGGCCTACCCACGTGCTTTCTCTCCGGCCACCGCAACATCTTTACTCCTTTCTTGCTCCCTTAGATCAGGGAGGCTTTTTGGGGCACAAAGTAATTTTTCATCGGAGAAGTGGGAGGCTGGCAAAGTAAGTATGGGAGCCTCTGCTGTAAAGAGAACTCATTTACTAGGTCCTGCCCCCACACATCCGTGGGCCGGGGAGGAGAGGTCAGCGGAGGAAGGTCAGCGCCCCGCGGGACTCCGCGGGACCACAGAGAAAAAAATCAAACCCTCCAGGGCGGAGCGGAGTATCCTCTAGTCTTTCATTCTTTAGAAAATGTCGCAGGGAGCCTGGGCTTTGCGGGCCTGAGCCCCACCCGGGTTCCGGGCCCCGCTGCTCCACGGGGCCCAGGAGTGATCCCTGAGCACGGCCGGGTGTGGTCCCCAAACCAAGAGACTCGCGGAGGCCGGGGCTGGCCGGGCCCGAGCGCGCGTGTCCCCCACCCCCCACCCCCCGCCCCGGCCGTCCGGGGACGCGGTCGCCCCGCGCGCCCGGCGAAAGCACGCGTAGCCTGGACAACGGAGAAGCATTGGCCGGTCGGGCACGCGAGCCGGCCGCCGCCCCCGTCTCCGCGCCCGGGGCCGGCTCCCAGGCGACCGGCGCGGGGCCAGGCCGTCGCCACAACACGGCGCCGTCGCCACGGGCCGGCCGGGGCCCCGCGCCCGCCCGCCCCGCACTGCGGCGGTTACCAGGACGCCGGCGCCGCGGAGCGAATCGCGCCCGCCGCCGGCGCCCTCGCCCGGGACAGCCAATGAGGACACAAATCAATCATTTGAAACACCCAATGGGGCGCGCAGCGCGGCGCCAGAGCGGGACCTTGATAGGGAGCGCGGACGCCGCGACGGACCAATAGGGAGTGAGTGGCGCGGGGAAGGCGTGTGCCCGGAGGCGGGAGTGACGGAATTCGAGCCAATCGGACGCGCGCTCCGGGTAGCCTCTTTCTGACGACCCAATCCGAGGCTGGAGGAGGCGGGCGCGGCGCCTATATAAGCCCTGGCCGCGCGTCGGTTGTGCACTCCCCGCGCCCGCTTTTCAGTTTTCTCGTCGGTCTCCAGCCCGTGTTCCCGCCGCCGCCGCCGCCATGAGGGAGATCGTGCACCTGCAGGCCGGGCAGTGCGGCAACCAGATCGGCGCCAAGGTGAGCGGCGCGGCAAGGGCGGCGGCGGCCGGGGAAGATGGCGGCGGCGGGGGCGGCCGGGACTGCGGGCGGCCGGGCAGGGCAAGGCAGGCGCGGGAGCGGCCCGGGGTGGCGGCGCCGATTGGCGCCGGCCGGGGCGGCCGGAGCGGGCGGAGAGGGTTGGAGCGGCCGGCGCCGGCCGAGAGCCGCCCCGCGTTGAGGCCCCGGGCGCCGGGCCGGGCCGGAGGGCGGCGGGGCGAGGGCGGGCGCCGGGCACGCGGGCCGGGCCGGGGGCTGCGAGGCCCCGGAGCCGCCGCCTCGCGTTGCAGGACCCGCGCGGCCGCGCCGCGGGCCCCGGGGACCCGGCGGGGGAGGGGAGGGCCGGGCCGCGCCCGTCCGGGGCGGGGCCGGCTCCTGCGCACCGGCCGGCGTGACTCAGCCTGGCCGGGCGCGCCCGCCCGCCTCCGGCAGTTCTGGGAGGTAATCAGCGACGAGCACGGCATCGACCCCACCGGCACTTACCACGGGGACAGCGACCTGCAGCTGGAGCGGATCAACGTGTACTACAATGAGGCCACTGGTGAGCCCCTGGCCCTTCCCCGCCGCCACCCCCCGCGGCCCGCCCCCCCCCCTGACCCCTCCTGCCTTCCAGGTGGCAAGTATGTGCCCCGCGCCGTGCTCGTGGACCTGGAGCCCGGAACCATGGATTCTGTGCGCTCGGGACCTTTCGGGCAGATCTTCCGTCCAGACAACTTTGTCTTTGGTGAGTGATCTACTCCAGCCCTACTCGGGCAGCGCAGAGGTCAAGGGATGCCAAGGTCACCTATCCCCCGCCCAGGCTTGGGCTGGGAGGCGCTCCCCCACCTGCTAAATCTCCCAAAGCAGCTTTGGGGAGACCCAGCTGTCTGCACTCTGGCTGGGCACGAGCACTGGAATCTGCAGTTGAGGCAGAGCCAATCGGTTTGGCCTGGCTTGTCCTTGGGAACTGTCAGAGCCAGTAGGGAGAGGCTCACTTCTCAGCTGCCTGAGGGGGTGGCTTTGGAGGGTCACCCTTGGTGTTGGAGTTTGGTGACCACCTGTCCCCCCACAGGTCAGAGTGGAGCCGGCAACAACTGGGCCAAGGGCCATTACACAGAGGGCGCGGAGCTGGTGGACTCGGTCCTGGACGTCGTGAGGAAGGAGGCGGAGAGCTGCGACTGCCTGCAGGGCTTCCAGCTCACGCACTCGCTGGGTGGGGGCACAGGCTCGGGCATGGGCACGCTGCTCATCAGCAAGATCCGCGAGGAGTACCCCGACCGCATCATGAACACCTTCAGCGTGGTGCCCTCGCCCAAGGTGTCGGACACGGTGGTGGAGCCCTACAATGCCACCCTGTCAGTGCACCAGCTGGTGGAGAACACAGACGAGACATACTGCATCGACAACGAGGCACTGTACGACATCTGCTTCCGCACCCTCAAGCTCACCACGCCCACCTATGGCGACCTCAATCACCTGGTGTCAGCCACCATGAGTGGCGTCACCACCTGCCTGCGCTTCCCTGGCCAGCTCAATGCTGACCTGCGCAAGCTGGCCGTGAACATGGTGCCCTTCCCACGCCTGCACTTCTTCATGCCTGGCTTTGCCCCCCTGACCAGCCGGGGCAGCCAGCAGTACCGCGCCCTGACCGTGCCCGAGCTCACCCAGCAGATGTTTGATGCCAAGAACATGATGGCCGCGTGTGATCCGCGCCACGGCCGCTACCTGACGGTGGCTGCCGTCTTCCGTGGCCGCATGTCCATGAAGGAGGTGGACGAGCAGATGCTGAACGTGCAGAACAAGAACAGCAGCTACTTCGTGGAGTGGATCCCCAACAATGTGAAGACGGCCGTGTGCGACATCCCGCCACGGGGGCTCAAGATGTCTGCCACCTTCATTGGCAACAGCACGGCCATCCAGGAGCTGTTCAAGCGCATCTCAGAGCAGTTCACAGCCATGTTCCGCCGCAAGGCCTTCCTGCACTGGTACACGGGCGAGGGCATGGACGAGATGGAGTTCACCGAGGCTGAGAGCAACATGAACGACCTGGTGTCCGAGTACCAGCAGTACCAGGACGCCACGGCCGAAGAGGAGGGCGAGTTTGAGGAGGAGGCGGAGGAGGAGGTGGCCTAGGGCTGTGTACCCGCCACAGCTTGGAAGCCTGTGAACTTTATTCATTCACAACCTGTTCCGGTAGCTGTCACTGCGTGTGCACTTCCTCTTCCTGTCTGACGCGTGCTGTACAGACACATTAAAGCCTTTTCATAGTGTCTGGTTGCGCCTCTCCAGTTCATTCTGATAGGCCTTGCGCGTGCTGTCACCAAGGGTCATTCCGTACTTGTCCTGCATGGCTGTGAGGGCCAGTGCAGCTGCCATGTAGCCAGCCCACCAGCAACTGGCCTGCCTGCACATACCCCCAAGCACCTGATTCTGAGGACCAGCCTGTCCCCTCCCCTCCTCTGGGCCCTTTCTACCAGGAATTTGGGGAGGGGAGTGAGCAAAGTCCCAGTTCTAGGGTCCTGGGGACTGACTACAGGGGGCAGGTGGGTAAGGACTCAGTTGCCCAGCTCCTCCCTGTACATAAGTAGGACCGAGATGGTAGGGAGGATAGCCCCAACTCACATGGTATGAACCCCATGTAGAAGGGTATCTGACCCTGGCTGCGGTAGATGGTCCTGCTAGGCCAGTGGCTTTGGGGCAGCCTCTCGCCCAGGTTACAGATGGGATTTCTGAACAGGAACTGCAAAGGGGCACAAACTGAGTTCTCCAGCCGGTAGCCAGTGAGGAGGTGATGCACACACACACACACACACACGTACTGACACGCACACCCCTGCTCCAACCTGGAGAGCCTGTAGCCAAGGCCTGGGTGTAGGGACTGGGGTGGGTCATCGGGGTATCTACCTGGTTCTTGTCAAATTCGTCCATGGCCTGTGTGACCCCGTCTCGGTAGTTCATACCCATTACCCAGGCAAAGCGGGGGACAAAGCCAGCATAGCCTGGGGGGGCAGGAGAAGTCGGGGTCCAGGCAGAGGACTCACCCCTCAGGCCAGTGCTGGAGCTGTGACCTCCCTCCTGACTCACCGGAGATGGCCTTGCGCTGGACAAGGTTGGGGTGGTCCAGCTGGGGAAGCCTGTGGAAGTGTTGTGGGTCCAGTGTCTCCTGTGGCTGCCTTGGTACGGGGAACTGGTCCCTCCGCCAGTGGTACAGCTGTGGGGTGGCAGGAGCTGTCACTGGCCCAGTCCCCCCTCCCCTGCGCTCCCTGGGGGCTGGCTCCTCCTCTCACCTGGTTGTGCCTGGGTGCTTTGGGCGCTGGGGCTGCCTGTTTCCAGTACTCCTGGGGAGGCAGTCTCAAGCCTGGGTGCCCCAGGTCTCTGGACTCATCCTTCCTGCCTGGTGGGCAGGGGGCGTAGGGGCTGTAGGGCAGGAAGCCTGCGGGCAGTGGGCCCTCATCCTCTGCCTCCAGCTGACCCTGGGAGTCTGGTTCCTGCGCTGGGAATAGGCCCAGGACCCTGAAGTCCTTGTAGGGCTTCAGACCTGAGTGGACAGATGGCCTGAGCGACAGCAGGGGCGGCAGGGCGTGGCCAAGCCCTTGAGCCCTAGCTCACCACTGTAGTGGGGGATGTGGGGCTCCAGGAGGTCTCGGCAGGGCACGAAGGGGGTCTTGGGCTTGCTGTAGTCCTCCGTGAGCTTGGGCTTGGAAATGGGCGAGAGCACAGAGCACGGGCTCTTTTGAACGCTGGGGTCGGTGAGGAGCTGTGCCGTGGTGTGCCCGTACGTGTGCCCCACCTGGAAGCGCAGCTGCGGATAGAAGCCCGCGTAGCTGCCAAGGGGAGAGGAGGCACAGAGCCAGTGGGCAAGAGCAGCATCCCCAGCACAGGCTGTGGGCAGCAGGCCCCATGCACCCGGCCTCACTGCCAGCAGCCCCACACTCCCTGGAGTGTCGCGCCCTCCTGCCAGTGATCCGGGGCTCCCTCCAGCTCACCCTGGGATGTAGTGAGGCTCTGGCGTGAAGAGGGGGTGTTTGGGAGTGGCCGCCATGGTGCTCAGCCCCGCGTCTTGGCTCCAGCCCCCTCACCTACTCTGGAGGAGCAGAGAGGGGGCTACTAAGCTAGAGCTCACCAGGAAAGAGCTTCTGGGGGCAGAGGCTGCCTAGGGGGCCTACCGGGCGGGAGGGGCCCTCAGCTCCTTCAGTCTGGACGGCACTCTTCCCCAGGCCAGTGCCCGGCAACTGCGGGAGGCCAAGGCCGGTGATGTCACAGAAGGCCCTGCTTGGCCGGCAAGTGGCCAGGCCGGAGGCCCGAGGATGAACTTTGACCAGAAGGCCGTGAAGTTCCTGGCGAACTTCTACATCAATGGAGGCAGACACTGGACCCACGGGCCCCTGAGGCTGACACCGCTCCTGCTCCCACAGTGAGAACTGTGGCGGGGAGGAGGCCGGGCTAGGCTGGGCTGAGGTGCGGACTATGGTGCCGTGTCTTTTCCAGACCTGTACACAGGACTGTGGTGCTGTTGAATCTGAAGCAGCATCCCAGGGAGGAGGCCTGGTTCCAGCAGTCAACTGGGCCCCGGCAGCAGATGCTCTCCTGGCCCGTCACCACCCAGGTCCTGCAGAAGCAGTGTAAGTGAGGGACTGGCAGGGGACTGAGCGTGGCTGCTGGATGCTCAGCCTCCCCCCTGCTTCTTGCCAGTGCTGGGGCAGCGACCTCCCATCCTGATGGACCCGGACGTCCCTGGCCCTACCACGTACGAGGCGGCTGATGCATCCATCCGAGAGCCCTCCTCACACCCCAACTTCAGTATTGGCTGCAGGGCCCCTACCCATGGTATGTGCCTGCACCTGCGTCCAGCCGTGGGAGTGGACCACTCCAGTTCCTTTCACGCCTTCCTGTGCCTGCAGAGAGCCAAGGCAGCAGGGTGCAGCGAGGCCGGTGTCTGCAGAGTAAGAGCCCCGTCCTGCAGAGTACTGTCTTTCTGAGGGAGCCAAAGGAGGTGGGCTTCACCCCCAAAGGTCGAGTGCCTTGAGGGCCGGTGGGGACGGGAGACCCCAACTGCCTTCTCTCCTGCATCCTCTGTCTCGGCTTCTGGTGCAGGGGGCACCCCATCGCCTCAGCCTCTCCTCCTAGGCTCCCGCGCAGACACCCAAGGTGGGGAAGCGTCTCAATTCCACCGCCCGTGACATCCTTCCGTGCTGCTGTCTGCAGAGCCTGTGGTCACCACCCTTCTCCAGGCGCCGCTCCTGCTCCTGTAAGGTGGCCCCAGGGATGCGGCCCTTGGAGCTGGGCTGGACCCCAGGGGAGCTTGCAGCCGGGGCAGGGCAGGGTCTTCTCTCTCAGCAGCCTGCACCCCTGACCCCGCCACCTACCGCACAGAGGACTGTGACAAGATGTGCTGTCCCTCGGCGCCTGGGGTGGCCATCCAGGGTGTGCAAAGGTCCAAGCCTCAAGACAAAAGCTTTTTCTGCGCCACCTAGAGCCTATGGCCACAGCCAGCCTGGCCTAGCCCTGGCCAGACACTGAGCCCTGGGCCTCTGAGGCTTGTGCCCCAGCCTGGCCACCTGCCCCTTTGTCCTGGTGGGCCAACCCCTTGCTATACAGAGGCACTGTTTCTTCTGCTCTTGTGTCTGCCTGCCTGGTGTTCCTGGGTGGGTGGGAAACAGCCTGGGTTGAGCAGGACACCCCAGCTAGCTGTGCAGTCCAGGGTCAGGGCATGGCCTGCTGATCTATCTGAGAGACTGGGACAAGTAGTGTCGGGTGAAGACAGTCTGCCTCCCCCCACCCCCGAGCCCCCTGCCAGGGTGAAGCGAAGACCCCTGGGAGGCACAGCCGAGTGGAGCTGTGGCCCAACTCCAGCCTCCAGCTATGGTTTTCCCTCTGCTGCCCCTCCCAGGGCTGCACCTGTGCCAGAGGCACCCAGGCTGTTCCTCACCCTACCCCAGGAGGCCACACCCAGCTGCAGTCTCATGCCCAGAGAACAGCACCCCAGAAAAGTGGCCCCTGGTGCCCCATGAATCAAGCCAGACTGCTCTTACACATCCCTGGCCTCTGGGCTGCCTCCTTCCCGTGGGAACCCAGCCTAGGGGCTTGTTCTGGGCTAGAGGGGCTGGAAGCTCTGCTCCAATTGCTTCACCAAGAACCCCCTTCCTTGGGCTCCCAGCCAGGAGTGGGAGAAGCTGCTCCAGCCATCCCGAGAAAGGCAGAACCCCAGAGAATGCATGGAAGAGTGTTTCCAGGGCAGGGAGAGGGTGTGAAGCCTGCCCTGGCTGAGCGTGTGCGCTGGAGGGCTGGGAGAGACCACTCAGCAGTGCTCACCAGCCTTTGATTCCCTGGCTCTGCAGGGGACCAGCAAACTGCTGACTCAGAGCTGGCCTTCACCTCAGGTGCCTCCCTCACGCTGCTGGTCCCTGCAGAGTGAGAGATGACCAGTCCTCACAGGCCCCACTGCACACCCAAGACGCCCCCGGAGACGTCAGCCATCAGTACTCTCCCCCTTTTTTTTTTTTTAATTAAAAATTATTTATTTATTTATATTTATTTGATTTTTGGGTCACACCCAGCGATGCACAGGGGTTACTCCTGGATCTGCACTCAGGAATTACTCCTGGCGGTGCTCAGGGGACCATATGGGATGCTGGGAATCGAACCCGGGTCGGCCTCGTGCAAGGCAAATGCCCTATCCGCTGTGCTATTGCTCCAGCCCCCAGTACTCTCCCCTTTGACAGGGAAGCAGCTCAGTCTGGCTGGGACCCTGGTGGGTCCAGCACAGAGTTTCACTTCCGCAAACAAAATATTCCCAGGATCAGAGGCTGCTTGAGGTCATAAAAAGCAGACTTGGTGAGAACAACATGGAGAGGTGGGAGGTGGTGCAAAGGGCTGAAGAGCAGTCTCTGAGTTGCATCAGCAACACCAGCCGGTCCCGGAAGCCTCCAGGAGGGACTCTGCAGGGCTTCCTTCCTCCGCAGAAAGCAAGTTTTGTTTTGTTCAGTCTTTTGGGGCACACTTGTCAGTGCTCTGGGCTTACTCCTAGCTCTGTGCTCAGGAATCACCCCTGGCAGTGTTCAGGGGACTATTATGGGGTGCCTGGAATGGACCCCGGGTCAGCGGGAGTGCCAAGCAAGCGCCTTACTAGGGGGTCTTTAAGAAGCTGACAGCACCAGCTCCGCTTCTATAAAGTCTAAGGCCCTGCGGACCCAAACCGCTGGGCGGGTCTTCTGGCATGGGGGCGGGGCTAGAAGGCCTAGTGGGCGGGGCCTGGGTTCCGGTCGGCGGGGCAGTAGACCTGAGTGGGAGAACCCGGCAGACTGATGCGCGTCCTGACGGCCAGTGGGCAGTGCGGGCGGGGTGGGCGGGTCCGAGCGCGGGTCGGGCGCGGGGCGACGGGCTCTGTGGGCGGAGCCTGAGCGGGTTGAGGGGAACCCAGGCACAAGAGGCGGATCCGAACTCCAGGGGCGGGGCCAGCGCTGGTTGGGGAGGGCTGGATCCGGGCTCAGCGAGCGGGCCCGGCCCCGGGGGCGGGGCCATCGTGGATTGGGGGCCCGGCTTAGCGGGCGGGGCCAAGGCGGGTTGGGCCCGGGATCGTGGGCGGGGCCAGCGCGGGTTGGATCCGGGTTCACAGGCCGGGCCCGGCTCCGGGAGAGGGGCCGGCGCGGGTTGGGGCCTGACTCAGTGGGCGGGGCCCGGCGCTACGGGGGCGGACGCGGCGCCCGGCCTGGGCCCGGCGCGGCGGCCGCGCGCTTCCTGGAACCTCTGAGCGGCGGCGGCGCTGTTTCCCGGGAGCGGTTGGCGGGCGGACCGCGCTGACGGAACGGAAGTGGCGGCCGCGGGGGAACGACCGGCGCCGCGGCGGAGCTGGCCGAGCTGGAGGGCGCGGGGGAGCGGGGCGCGGGCGCGGCCCGGGGCCCGGCCGAGCGCGGCGCGGGGGCGCCGGCGGAGCGCGGCGGGGATGTGGCGCCGAGCCGGGCGGGCGCCGGGGCCTCGGCCCTGTTCGCGGGGCTGCAGGACCTGGGCGTGGCCAACGGCGAGGACCTGAAGGAGACGCTGACCAACTGCACTGAGCCGCTCAAAGCCATCGAACAGTTCCAGGTGCGCGGGTGGGGGCGGGGGTGTGGGGGGCGGGGGCCGGGGGAGGCCTGGCGGGGGCCGGGGCCGCGCCGGGCCCCTCGCAGCGTCCTGAGCGCGCCGCCCCGCAGACGGAGAACGGCGTGCTGCTGCCCTCGCTGCAGTCGGCGCTGCCTTTCCTGGACCTGCACGGCACCCCGCGCCTGGAGTTCCACCAGTCGGTGTTCGACGAGCTGCGGGACAAGCTGCTGGAGCGCGTGTCGGCCATCGCCCAGGAGGGCAAGGCCGAGGAGAGGTGCGCGGGCGGGCGGCACGGGGCGGGGGGCGCGGCGCGGCGCGGCGCGGCGCGGCGCAGCACGGCGCGGCGCACGCTCACGGGGCGCACCCGCAGGTACAAGAAGCTGGAGGACCTCCTGGAGAAGAGCTTCTCCCTGGTGCGCATGCCGTCGCTGCAGCCCGTGGTCATGTGCGTCATGAAGCACCTGCCCAAGGTGCGCGGGCTCCGGGGGGCGGCGGGCGGGCCCGAGGCTCCGGGCTGGTTTCGAGGGGCCCCGGCGTCCGCAGGTTCCCGAGAAGAAGCTGAAGCTGGTGATGGCCGACAAGGAGCTGTACCGCGCCTGTGCCGTGGAGGTGAAGCGGCAGATCTGGCAGGACAACCAGGCGCTGTTCGGTGACGAGGTGTCCCCGCTGCTGAAGCAGTACATCCTGGAGAAGGAGAGCGCACTCTTCAGCTCGGACCTGTCCGTGCTGCACAACTTCTTCAGCCCGTCGCCCAGGACGCGGCGCCAGGGTGAGGTGAGCACCCGCCTCTGCAGAGCCCTGTGTGGGCGAGAATGAGATGCACTGGACGGGAGACTCGGGCCAGGGTCCTTAAAGGTGTTCCCGGCCCAGAGCAGGTGGGGTAGGTACAGCCGGTAGGCGAGAGTTCCGTTCCAAGGCCCCACCACTGCAGGGGTGGCCCAGAATCGGGCAGGGTGGTAACTGGTCAGCGGCCCGCCCCCACCGACTTGTTGCTTAGTAACAAGACCCCGCGGCTAGCCGGCCCCTCTCCTGACCTGCACTAGGGCGGAGCCTAGGAGCTCAGCTGTGCCTTCCGGAGAGAAGGGGTGGGGAGAGCCTTTTGTGCTGGCTGTGTGGCACAGTGTGGCGTAGAGGTGGTCCTGCTCTGGGGAAGCTGAGCCAGGCTGCGGCACCGACTCGCTCCCTGCGGCAGCGCTTGGTGGAGTCGCGGGAGGCCGGGCTTGGTCTTTCCTTCCGCGGAATGTGGTCTTTCTCCGCACCTTCTCCTTGCTCATTTCCTTTGGGGACACTTTGGGCCCTATCCGCTGACACACAGGGGCCCCCCTCGTGGGGCCTGGGGGGACCCTGTGTAGTGCCAGGGATGGGACGCAGACTAGCCGTGGGTAGTGTCCTGCTTGCAGTGCCGTCTCTCTGCCCTGTTGCACAAATTTACAGGGTTTCGCCTTTTCCCAAGTGTCTTCCCGACTCTTTTGCCCTTTTTGCTTGTCCAAGCCCTACCTCATGTCCTGCCTGCCAACGTGCCTTTGGCTCGGGTGTCTGAAGGGTTGTTAGACCTGTGTGTTTTGGGGTGTGTTTTGTTTGCAGGCAACAGCAGTGGGCTGACTCCTGGCTCAGTGCTCAGACCATAGGAGGTGCCGGGGATTAAACCAGGTCGGCTCCAGGCAGGCCAGGCGCCCTCCCCGCTGTCCCTTGCCCTCGCCCCGCTGGGGTGTTACATGCAGAGGCTAAGGCAGAAGTTCTGTGTGGGTCTGAGGGAGAGCAGGAGCCCCGTGCGGCCTCCTTTCACTCCCCCTCCCCTGGGGCTTCTGCAGGTGGTGCAGAAGCTGACGCAGATGGTGGGCAGGAGCGTGAAGCTGTACGACATGGTGTTGCAGTTCCTGCGCACGCTCTTTCTGCGCACGCGCAACGTGCACTACTGCACCCTGCGCGCTGAGCTGCTCATGTCCCTGCACGACCTGGATGTCGGCGACATCTGCTCCGTGGACCCCTGCCACAAGGTGCCTGCCCCACCCCACGCACGCCCTGTCCGGCTCAGGGCTGTGCTCCAGCTCCCTCTCCTCCTGCCTGCAGTTCACCTGGTGCCTGGACGCCTGTATCCGCGAGCGCTTTGTGGACGGCAAGCGAGCCCGAGAGCTGCAGGGCTTTCTGGACGGGGTGAAGAAGGGCCAGGAGCAGGTGCTGGGGTGCGTCTCAGCCGGGGCCTGCCTGAAGCCCAGGGTCCCTGTGCTTCTCTCGGGGGGCTCCTCGCCATGTCTGACACCCGGGTAAGGCCTCGAACTAGGGCCAGGCACTTTGCTCTGGGCAGGGTCATGGGGACCACTCCCGGTGGGGGACTGGGCTGATGGGCCTCCCCTGCCCATCGCGCTGACCCCCAGCATCTGCAGCAGGTCCAGGCAAGTTGATGGTCGAGGGTTTCCTGTGGATGGGCAGGTCGGGGTTCCTCCCCAGAGGGCAGGGCCCCGGGCAGGACCAGAGCGCCCTGTGGACCCGCAGCGTCTGCTTGCAGGGACCTGTCCATGATCCTGTGTGACCCCTTTGCCATCAACACACTGTCGCTGAGCACAGTCAGGCACCTGCAGGAGCTGGTGGGCCAGGAGACACTGCCCAGGGTGAGGCCTGGGCGCAGGCTGGGGGTCCCTCAGGAGACGCTGCCCAGGGTGAGGGCCGGGCAGGGGGCCCTCTGGGGCGCCCCTGACGCCTCTTTCCCCAGGACAGCCCTGACCTCCTGCTGCTGCTGCGCCTGCTGGCTCTGGGCCAGGGGGCCTGGGACATGATTGATAGCCAAGTCTTCAAGGAGCCCAAGATGGTGAGGCAGTTTGTTCTGTTGTTGGTTGCCCCGCTGATGAATTGGTTTGGGGGGACCATGGGGCAGGGGCAGACAGTGAACCAAGGTCCCTTCCTGCCCCAGGAGGTGGAGCTGGTCACCAGGTTCCTCCCCATGCTCATGGCCTTTGTGGTGGATGACCACACCTTCAGCGTGGACCAGAAGCTGCCCACCGAGGAGAGGGCCCCAGCCACCTACCCCAACCTTCTTCCTGAGGCTTTCACCAAGTAGGCTGGGTGTTGGAGGGTCCCCCCGCCCACCCCCCTCTTGCCTGACAGCACTGCTGAGGGCCCACCCCCGACCAGGTTCCTGCAGGAGCAGCGCATGGCGTGCGAGGTGGGGCTGTACTATGTGCTGCACTTCACCAAGCAGAGGAACAAGAACGCGCTGCTGCGTCTGCTGCCTGGCCTGGGTGAGGCGGGGGTGGGGGGGGGTGGGGGGGCGCACTCAGGGAGGGGCTCGGGTGGTTGGCTGTCTCCAGCCTGACCCTGCACCTCCCCCTAGCCCTCCCCGACCTGGGTCTGCTCTTTGACATGCTTCACCGCCCTGGGAGGACCTTGGCTGGGCTCTGGGCTTCTACCTGAGAACTGGAAGGGCCCACACATCTCAGCTGTCTGCCCCTGCAACGCTGGATGCAGGCAGGAGGGGACCAGGGGCAGAGTCCTGGTGGCTAGCTTTGAGGTCCCATCCTAAGGTGCTTAAGCTCCTGCAGAGCACAACCCAGCCCCGGGATCCTTCAGTGGGCGCCGGCCTGGTGGCACGGGTCCAGAGCATCTTACCTGCTCTGCTCTGCTGCCCCCTTGGCTGTCCCTGGCCATGTGGGAATGTGGACCCAGTGGGAAGAGTAGAGGCAGGTGTGGTCGGAGTCGACTGGTCTGGGCACAGGTGAACTGTCCACAACGAGTTCTGCAGCACTGCCCCAGTCTGAGGGATACGGCTGACTGCCTGTCTCCTGGCTGCTGGCTCCTGCTGGTCTTTTTGAGTTTCTGGCTCTGAGCTGATTTTCTCCCAAGTACCTTGGCCACTGAGCACGGCTGCGTGGGGCAAGCTTGTCCCCTGCCTCCCCTGTAGCTGCCCAGGTGTCCCTGCTGGACCCCGGCGGGTGCAGCTGAGTGGGGTTGCTGACATGACTCTGCTTACAGCGGAGACTTTTGGTGACCTGGCCTTCGGGGACATCTTCCTGCACCTGCTCACTGGGGGGCTGGCGCTGCTGGCTGATGAGTTCGCCCTGGAGGAGTTCTGTAGCAGCGTCTTTGATGGCTTCCTCCTCACCGCCTGCCCGAGGTAGCCTGGGGCTGGGAGCCAGCCTGGGGGGCTGGGGACACGCCTGGGGGCTGGGGGCCTGGGGCCCTTCCTGCAGCACACCTCTTGCAGGAAGGAGAGTGTGCAGCGCCACGCCCTGCGGCTGCTCCTGCACCTGCACCAGCGTGTGGCCCCTTCCAAGCTGGAGGCTCTGCAGAAGGCGCTGGAGCCCACGGGCCAGGTGGGTGTGTGCCTGGGGCTGGGCCACGGCCCCGAGGCGTGGCTAGCCGCTGACCTGCACCTCCGTGCAGAGTGGAGAGGCCGTGAAGGAGCTCTACTCCCAGCTGGGTGAGAAGCTGGAGCAGCTGGACCACCGGAAGGCCAGCCCTGCCCAGGCCACGGAGACTCCGGCCCTGGACCTGCCCCTGCCTGCTGTGCCTGCCACGGCCGCACTCTGAGGCGCCCTTGCACTGCCGTGCCACCCGCTGGCTGCAGGCCCCGCGCCGCCCTCCACCCCCCACCCTGAACTCTGGCTGGCAGCAACCCGGGTCTGTGCCTAATCTGGGGGCTCAAAGTCCCCCAAGTTGGGTGGAGGCTGGCTGGGCCCTGCCCGGTGCCGTGGGCTGAGTGGCCTGCACTCAGGCCCCATTCTCGGGGACGGGTGCTGCTGGCTCAGGGGTCTGCAGTGGGAGGTTCAGCAGCTCAGATAGGCAAGGCTGCCTGCTGCCTCCATGTCCTCTAGGCTGTGTGACAGCAGCTTCTGGACGTGCTGTAGCCCAATGTGTAAATAAAAGACCTTTTGGTAAACCCAGTGAGTGAGTGGTTTCTGGGCCTGCTTTTGGGAGCCTGAGCTCTCCCACCTCTCCTGCCGCCACAGGACCCCGAGACCTGGTGTGGGGGACACGGAGGTGCCCCCTTCCCACGCACATGGCACAGTGCCACTCGGTGGTACCCAGGGCCTGCTCCTGGCTCTGCGTCCAGGAATCCCTCCTGGGGTGCGGGGATCACAGCTGTGCCCTCCCTAGAGTGCTGGCGTGTCTGAGCCCAAGGCTCCACTCTGCGAAGCTCCGCCCCTTCTGCCAGTGGCGACAGGAGGGTCCAGCGAGGGGCCTGCAGGCTGCTGGGGCAGAGGGTGTAGGACTGTGGGCCCTGGTGATCATCTGGACGCGGGAGATGCAGGCTTTGGCCATCATGCCTCGGCGGACAGTCCTGAGTCTGACCCCACATCCCCAAGGGCCTGGGGCACAGCGCTGATGGGAGGCATTCCTGCACAGTGACGACCGGACGGTGCGGATGCAGGTGAGGCACTAGAGTAGGGTCTGGGGGCCATGGCCAGGGCCCTCACTTCCGGGTGACCTTTGCTGCACCCTGCCCCTCCGGAAAAGCTGAGCCCTGTGTGACAGAGGGCCAGGGGGCAGTGGAGGGGCCGGCCAGGAGGACTTGAAGGGCGTCCAGCTGCCAAGACCCGCCCAGCCGCACCCCTGACTCACTTCCTTTGCATAGAAACGGAAGCCGGCTGCTTCCTCGGCGGCCGCCGAACCTCCCGGGGGCCACACGCAGGTGCCGCCCCGCCGGACCGAACCTCGGCAGCGCTCGGCAGCGGCGGCGGCTCTCCGGGCTGGGGCTGGCAGGTACGGGGTGCGGGGGGAGGGGCAGCTGCGGGACGGCTACCGCACCTCCCTCGCGCTCCCATTGGCCCCCCCGACTCGGCCCGTCTCCCCACCCCGCCCCCGGCGTCACCGGGCTGAGGCCCAGGCGGGGCGCGGGATGACCGCGGCTGGGGCGGGCAGGCGCCACTTCCCGGGGCCCCGGGGCGCCCGGCCGGGGCTCGGGGCCCGCCTTCCCCCGCGGCGGGCCGGGCCGTCGCCCCCAGGAGCTGCGCCCCCGCCCCCACCACTTCCTTCGGGCCGGGAGATTTGCATCGGGAGCGGCTTCCTGCCGGCCGCGCGCAGCTGCTCGCGGCTGGAGGCCGCCCGGCCCGCGCCCACCCCGCCCGCCTTTTGCAGGGAGCGCGAGCTGCATGCCGAGCGCCGCCGCCGCGCCATGGACCCCGGCCCGCCCCGCCGCGAGCCCGCGGGCGCCCGCGTCCTGGCCCCGGTGCGCGCCGTGGTCCGGCTGCGCCGCCGCGCGTGCGTCCTGCGCCAGCGGCGCCTCGTGCCGCCGGCCGCGGGGCCCGCCCCGGCGCCGCAGTTCTTCACCTTCGACGGCCCCGCGGCCCCTGCGGCCGGGGCGCCCCGGAGGCGGCGCCGGCGCAGCCGCGCGGTGCTCTACCCCGAGGGCGCGCGCCGGTGCCGGCCGCGAGCCGAGCGCCGCAGCCGCGCGCAGCGCTGCCTCCTGCTGCTCGTGGCCATCGTGGGCTTCCAGGTGCTGAACGCCATCGAGAACCTGGACGACAACGCCCAGCGCTACGACCTGGACGGGCTGGAGAAGGCACTGCGGCGCGCGGTCTTTGGGCAGCCGGCGGCCGTGGCGCGCATCGTGGAGCTGCTGCGGGACTACCTGGCCACACACGTGCACAGCCGTCCGCTGCTGCTGGCGCTGCACGGGCCCGCGGGCGTGGGCAAGAGCCACGTGGGCCGCCTGCTGGCGCGCCACTTCCGCGCCGTGCTGGACGACGGCGCGCTGGTGCTGCAGTACCACGCGCGGCACCACTGCCCCGAGCCACGCGCCGCGCAGCGCTGCCGCGAGGAGCTGGGCCGCCGCGTGGCCGCCGTGGTGGCGCGCGCCGAGGCCGCGGAGAAGACGCCGCTGGTGGTGCTGGACCAGGCGGAGCTGCTGCCCGCGGCGCTGCTGGACGAGCTTCACGGCCTACTGCAGCCGCAGCGCCCGCACCCATTCCACAATGCCATCTACGTGCTGCTCAGCGGCGCGGGTGGCGCCCAGGTCACGCGCTTCGTGCTGCGGAACGCGACCCGCGCACGCCCCGGCCCGCGGCCCGACGAGGAGCTGCGCGCGGGGCTGCGGGCGCTGCTGGCACGCGCACACCCGCTCTGGCAGGCCGCCGCCGTCGTGCCCTTCCTGCTGCTGGACAGGCATAGCGTGGTCAGCTGCTTCCGCGAGGAGATGGCTGGGGAGGGCTTCTTCCCTGAGCAGGCCCGCGCCGAACTCCTGGCCGCGCAGCTCAGCTACTACCGCGTGGCCGGCCGGGAGTTCGCAGTCACGGGCTGCAAGCAGGTGGTGGCCAAGGTGAACCTCCTGTAGCAGCAGGACTGTGGCTGCCACGGAGCAATGTGGCTTTGCCCAAGGCCCTGAGCCTCCCTCCAATAAACCTGTGTGCCACAGCTGGCGCGTACCTGTCTTCCAGCCACTGCAGCAGGCTAATGTCCTGGCTGTGCAGCCTGCGGTAGGCACGCCGGACTTGGCGGAGGGTCTCCAAGATCCTGGGGGGCCTGCAGTGGCAGGTGCCATCTCCCCCTGCCACTTGCACTGCACCCAGAGGTGTGGGAGCCGCTGCCTGGGTCTCTTCCTGGGCCTGGCGTGCCTGAGAAGGAAATGGTGGGATGGGGCTTCACTTGGGGGAACAGTGCTCAGCGGGAGACTCGGGTGTGAACCTGGGCGGGCAGTGACAATAGGGACAGGACGGAGACCCCGGCCACTCTGGGCCCTCCCTTGTCCCCCCTAGACTCCCCACCCGCCTCAGGAGCCATGTTTAGCTGGGGTGGGGCTGGCTGCTACCCAGCGGGTAGGGATGTCCCCACAGCACCACGGGGCGGGCCTGTCACTTCTGGGATTTTCTCATTTATTGGTTTGGGTGGAGCGATAGCACAGCGGGTAGCGTGTTTGCCTTGCACACAGCCAACCCCGGGGACCTGGGTTCGATTCCTCCGCCCTTCTCGGAGAGCCCGGCAAGCTACTGAGAGTATCTCGCCCGCACAGCAAAGCCTGGCAAGCTGTGCCACGTGACGTATTCGATATGTCAAACACAGTAACAAGTGTCACAATGGAGATGTTACTGGGCCCGCTCGAGCAAATCGATGAACAACGGGAGGACAGTGACAGTGACAGGCGTTTTGGACCAGCTAAGCAGTAATCAGGCTTCACTCCTACACCCGCGCTCAGGGATGGATCCCAGCGGATCGCGGGGCCACACCCAGTCCTGGACCCCTCAGTAGTTCCCCAGCACAGGGCTGTTGTATGAATGCTCCTGGTTTTGCTGCGTCGCATGAAACTGGCTTCTCCCTCCCTTTGCCGTTGCTGTTACTGCGGTGGTGTGTGTGTATATGTGTGTGTGGGGGGTGACACATTCTAATTTTGTATACTTGCACACATGCCATCAAGATTCCTAGGCCCTGGTTGTGGCACCTGGCGCCAGACAGCAGAGCTGCCCACTCCAAAGCCACTCCCCAGCAGCCCCTAGAGTCCCCCATGGCCACCAAGAGTCAGCCCCCAGGCGCAGGAACCATAGTACAGCAGGTAGGGCATCTGCTTTCACGCAGCCAGCCAAGCTCAAAACCCAACACCCAGTATTGTTCCTTGGGCACCCCCAGGAGTAATTCCTGAGCATCTAGCCAGGAGTAAGCCCTGAGCTTTCTGGGTGTGGCGCCAACGACCCCCCATGGCCCAGCCCCCCCCCACAAAAATCATGAATTGCAAAAACTTTGTACAAAACAAAAACAGAAATGACAAAGTGAAAACAAAATTAACCAGTGGTGGCTGTGTGTTGGACACAATTGTGTGCAGGAATGGCTTGATGGCTTTGCCTAAGACCCTGTTTGCTTGGGAGCCACCTGCCAGGTGCCCGGGGCGCCCCCTAGCGGTGCTTCCTGAACTTGGGTCCCTGGCTCCGAGGCCTCCTTCACCTGCTGTACATGGTGGGCCCATCAACTCAGCATACCCCGTGTGTCTTAACTCCCCGTAGAACATCCCTAGGCTTGCAAGTGCTGGGTCACGAGGAAGCTCTCGTTCGTGTGTTTGTTCTGGGCACCTACTGACTCTATGCTCAGGAGAAAGGCCTGGCCGTGCTTGGGGCCCATACATGGGCCTGGGGATGGACGGGTCGGCCACACACAGAGGTCACGCTCGCCTCCTGAAAACCCTACTGTTAACATTTATTTATCTATTTATCTTGGTGTTTAGGTTGCAGCTGGGGGCCCTGGGGCCCTGCAGCCCTACAGCCACTCTGCACTCGAGCCCTTAGCCCTGACCCCAACTCCCACTGTAAGGTGTCTCCTGGCCTCTGCTTCCTGCGTGAGTCCCCAGCAGGGATTCGCCTGTGGGTAGGGCATCCAGAGCTCCCTAAGGAGCTTGCCTGGCCTTTCACTTTTCTCCCTTCCCTCCCTCCCTTCCCCCACCCTTTCATTTTCTCTTTGTTTTTGTTGGTTTTGGGTCACACCCCTCAATGCTCAGACTCCTGGCCTGCATTCAGGGATTAATCCTGGCAGGGCTCAGGGAACCACTCCTGGCCGTGGTGCCGGGATCAGACCCAGTTGCCACATACAGGGCAGCACCCTACCTGCCCTCCGTCTTCTCCCCCCTCCTCTCCCCTGCCTTCCCTCTCCCCCTCCCCTCTCCCTCCTCAGATCCAGTTGCAGTGATAGGCTAAACTGTCCTTTTTTCTTTTCTTTTGGAAGTGCAGAGGGTTTTTGGGCTCAGTGCCCAGGGGCCAGTCAGAAATGAGGCTGCTGAGTGGTCAGCATGACCCTGGCACTGAGAGTGCAGACTTTCCTGGACAAACCTGGACATTCTCTGCTAGGTATAGCAGTGTAAGAGGTGAGAATGAGCAGAAGAGAGGGTGAAGCTGTGCAGTGCCAGTTCCCAACGCCATAGATGTGTGAGGCACAAGAAAAGCACAGGCCAGGCAGGTCCTTCCATAGAATGTTCCAGAGTGACAGCTCACATCCACTAGTGCTGCTGGCAGGGGCTGGCCCACCTCTGCTTCACTGGGTGCTGGATCCCGGCCCCACTGAGAGGCTGCTCACTCCTGCAGGCTGGTGGGGTCAGCATAAGCACCCCACAAGACTGTCGTGACCCCAGGCACATGCCACAGGGGGGCCTTTGCCAAGGGCTCTCGCCTGGAACTGGATCTGCCCCTGTGCAGGGGAGGAGGCAGGAGCTGGGGTGCTGGACACCACACGTGGCTCTGGACTGTTTGGATGGATAGTCACCCTTGCCCTGCCCTCCTTTCTCTGTGAGGTTCTGGGTTGTTTTGTTTGGGTTGGGTTTCCAATACTGGGTGTTGGTTTGAGGCCACACCAAGCTATGCTCAGGGCTTACTCCTGGCTCTGTGCTCGGGGTCACTCCTGGTGGAGCTTGGGGTGTCAGGGACTGAACCTGATTTGGTTGCATACAAAGTAAGCACCTAACCTGCTGCGCTGCTGCTCTGCTCCCTCTGTGGTCAGCACGCACGGTGGGGGAGGCCTGACCCAAAGCCCCTGCCTCCCTTGCTCTGGCCGACGCCCCCAGGGTGCCAGATCCGAACCGCCAGTTTGTGTCCCAAAGAAGCACAGTCCCCAGCCCAGGACAGAGAAGGACATCTGTCTGGGATTTCTACCAGGCCCCTTTGCAAAGTCCATGGGGGGCTTGGCCCTGTTCCAGGCTCCAGTTCATGCCCGTGGGGAGGGTCTCAGCAACCCCTCAGGTAGCAGGTATGTGGCCAGGACTCCTCCAGCAGCTGACTCAGGAGGGTCCAGCAGGGGGAGGTGGGCGCAGCACAGAGAGGGGTGACAGAGGGACTCGACCTTCCTGCAGGTGACCTGAGCACCCCATGGCTGGCCTGCAGGGCGCTGTGAGGGAAGCCCCAGACCCGAAGCCCTCAGCAAGGAGGCGAGAGGGTTGGGGCCGGGGTCCTCAGACCTGCACTGCGGGCTCATCCACCAGGGCCACGCGCTGCCCACGGCGGGCGGTGCGGGACTCAGCCTCCCGGCATGCAGGCCCCCTACCGCCGCCGCTCCGGGCGCAGTGCCGGTCTCGGCCGCTGGGCGGCAGCACGTCCCGCGGCCTCACGCTCCAACTTTTCCCGGCCAGGGGTCCTGGGCACGGGCGGGGGCGCCCCGGGCAGCGCCGGGCCAGGCCGTGACCCCAGAGCCAAGTCGACAGCTGGTCCCTGCCCCTCGCCCCGCACGCCCGAGGTGGGTGCGGCGAGGCCCGCGGCCGGCCCGACCCGAAAGCAAAAGCCCTCCTTTGTGAGCTGCCCCCCCAGCTGGGTCCCCGCCTCATTAGCATAGCAGCTGCTCGCCGAGCGGCCGATGAATGGGGCGGAGAAGAAAGACCGACAGACGGACGCGGGACGGCCGCTGCCCTCGGCCGCACCTGCCCCACCTGGGCCGCTCTCCGGCAGGTCCAGGCCTCAGCGGCCAGCGCTTCCCGGCTCAGCCCAGAGGTGGGGTGTCCTGTCCGCGTGCACCCGGGCTTGCTCCTTCCGCTCAGCCCCTCCTCCCAGGGGTCCCGGATGACCTTGACTCTGGGATCTGGAGGCAGGTGGAGGTGAGTTGGGCTTCTGTGTGGCTACAGGAAGGAGCTCAGCCGGAAGTATGCTGGGCTTGCAAACGGCTGGCCCAGGTTCCATCCCCAGCACTACCCAGAGCCCCAGCATCACCAGGAACCACCTCTGAGCACCATCTGAGGAAAGGAAGGAGGGGTGCGGCACCCACCGGCAGACCTGGAGGGACCCGGGCGCTGTGTACCTCTCTTCCAACTGCCCAGGGTCCTGTGTGAGGGCACCAGGTGGCCTGGTGGGAGAGCATAAAGTCCACTGCGGTAATGCCCAGGGACCCGCTGCCACAGGCCACTGCTATGGTGCTGCCTGTATGCATCTGAATCCGTGGAGTGAAGCCAGGCAGGAAGCCTCTGCCTCCCAGGACACCCTCAGCCCACTCAGCTGGCCCCCACCTCCCACCAGGACCAACAGCTGAGGCATGAAGGGCAGGAGCGACCCGCCATCGCCCCAGCAGAGGGGGCTGGAGGCTCGGAAAGTCGCCTTGTAAGTGAGCAGAGGGTCTGCCCAGGTGCCCTCTCCCTCGCACCCTTGCCCCCTGACCCTTCCAGAGGCTGTGTGTGGCATCCAGACTCAGGCCCGCCTTCTACTCAGGCAGGAGTAGTGGTGCCTCTCCAAGTAGCAGGGACACCCGACCGGGGCGTCTGGGAGTGCCTGGGGGGCAGGCAGGGCTCGGAGCAGAATTTTCCAGATGGAGGCCTGCACCATGCGGGAAGCGGAGCCCACGAACAGGCCGGCAGCAGCCTGACACCCCCCCCCCCACCACATACACACACCACAAGTGCCAAGACCTGGGAGAGAAGCAACAAACGTTCTCATATAAAAAGATCAATGACAAATTTATTTATAAATTTTCCACGCTGGGCTACAGGTCTCTATCGTACATCAGGAGTGCGCTGCAGGCTTTATCCAGTTTGCAGTGAAGAGGAGGACCCAGTCAGGGCTCTGTGCCTGCCTGGAAAGTCTTAACATTAATTAACATAATTAAAAAAGGTATTTTGCATCTAGAAAAAATATACAGGGAAACTCCCTTTGGAGTAATCTGTGCCTCCACTTTAATGTCTGCTTGTTTCAGTGACATTATCAATATATTCTCACCCCAGGTTTCGAAGCCCCAGGGCTGCCGGGTCTGACCCGCCGGGCACAAAGCGCCACGGCCACCTGTGTCCTCAAGTGAGCCCCATTTTTGCGCGAAGGGCCAGCAGTCCTTCAACCCAGGGGGAGCCTCATTTAAATTTGAATAATTCAGCCTCCCTTTTATTTCTCGGGATCAAAACAACAAGGGGTGTGGGGTTGCATAGAAAATTGGACCCTCCGACCAGGAAGAAGCTTTCCGGACGAAAGAGACGCGAAGCCCCGCCCCACCCCGCCGCCTTCGCTCCACCGGTCCTCGAGGCTGTGGAGGGGCAGGGGACGGTCCCCAGTCTCTAGGCATCGGTACGAGAGATTCACAGTCTTATAGGCATTTTATAAAAATATAAATATGGGTACATGTTGCCTTCGCAACGCTGGATACGACGCCCTTTAAAATTGGGGTTATAACCAAGATTCGAGAAGTACACCTAAAACTCGGCTTTAAAAATATGTTAATATTTTATATTGTCATAAATGTTATGACATTTAATCGTGGCAAATCCCTTAACTTTTTTTTAAAAAAAAGTGTGCAACCGACTGTTAACTAGACTAGAATTCGCTAGAAAGGCCTGAGCCCCGACCCGCCCGCCCCCCCCCCCCCCGTCGCGTCACCGCCACGCGCGAGCACCGTGCTCCGGGGAGCTGCAAAACCAGCAGGTCAGCGGGGGTGGGGGCGCGTTCCCGGGACGGCGGGGACCAGGGAGAGCGAGGCGGGGAGGGGGCAGCTCCGAAACCATCCGGCTGGGCGGTATTTTCAGTGCAACCAAGAAAAGACAGACTCAAGTTTTTAGTTTTTAGACTAAGAAAACAACAACAACAAAAACAAGAACCCAAGCATCTTCCCCTCATAACCACATTGATCACGCACAATATTCTCCAAACAAAACCAGGCGCACAGACTTCACCCACAGGGATACACACACGATAAATAGTTTGGAACTCCGGGTCCTGCGCGGGGGCGCCGCGTTGAGCGCGGCGGATCCGGGATCTCGGGATTCGCGCTCGCCGGGGGTCAGACTCGGGCTTCACGGCCGCGGGCGCGCCCCGAGGTAGGTGCCGCGGGCCGGCAGGGTCGACGCGCGCGGGCCGGAGCCGGTCCCGGCCTCGGCGCCATCACCGGCCGCTGCCCGCGTACTTGGCCTTGGTGATGAGATAGAGCACGATGTCCTGGTGGCCGCCGAAGGCCGCGATGTGCAGCGCGCTCCAGCCGTCGCGGTTGGCCAGGCGGATGTCTGCGCCGAACTTGACCAGCAGCTTCACGAGCTCCAGGTTGCCGTCGATGACCGACTGGTGCAGCGCCGTCTGGCCCTCGGGCCCGAACGAGTTCACGTTGAACTCGCAGCTGGTCATGTTCTGCAGCAGCGACTGCAGCTCCTGCGTGTTGCCCCTGCGCACGGCCTCCTGGAAGATGCGCTGCGTCTGCGGCGCGGAGCAGGTGGACAGCTCCGCCTGGCTCATGCTGGCGCCGGGCGCGGGCCGGGGCTCAGAGCGGGCCCCGCGCGGTGTCCGCGACCGCCTCGGCGCATGGGGGGCGCGGCGCCCCGGGGCCCCGCACGCCGCCCGTCGGCGCTGCGGGCGCTCGGGGCCGGGGGCCGCCGCCGCGGGGCCCCCGCCTCATCCAGCCGCGCCCCGGCGGGCGGGCGACGGGCGCGGGCGCTGCCTCGCGGGGGCCCGGCCGGGGCGGCGTGCGCGCGTGTCCCGATGCTGCTCCCTCGGCTGCGGTTCCCGCTCGTCTCCCCCCGCGCCGCGGCACTCGCCGGCCCGCCGCGCCGGGCCGCCTTTTACCCCCTTTATATTTGCATGACAATGGGGCGCCCGTGACGTGCGCGCCGGCCGCCCGGCCATTGGGCCGCACCCGCGTGGGGGCGGGCCGGCGTGCGCGCGCCTCCGCCCGGGCGCTGGCCGCGGGCCGCCCGCGCCCCCACCGCTCCAGCCGCCCGGCCACGCGGGCCCTTCGCGGCTCGCGGCGTGACTCCGGCGGGGTCCGTGCCCGGCCCGCTCCCGGCCGCGGCCGCTGGCCCTGCAGCCCTGCGCCGCAGGCCCGCCCCCCGCGTTGCGCGCCGACGGGAGGAGCGGGTGTCTGGCCCGGCGCCTTCCCGCGCGGCAGCCAGCGAAGGGCTGGTCGGGCCTGGCCAGGTGAGCCGCCAGGTGAGGCGCCGAGAGCCGCCCTGCAGGGGAGCTTTGAAAGAACTCGTCTCCAGCCCGAGCCCTTGATTGCCACCAGCAGGGCCGCCCAACCTCCTCATTAGGCTTTACAGTTCACAGCTCGCCGTGGCCGCTGGAGACGCAGGCGGCTGCGGCGCCCAGGCCCCCTGCGGCGCGGCACGCAGGGACTTGAATCCAGCCGCAGCCCGGGCGGGCGGGAATCCCCAGGAGGCGGCCCCGGGCCGGCTGGGGAGCCCACCCCGAGAGGCGGGCCCCGCCCCTGTGCAACCCCCACCCAGCGCCCCGCTCAGGGGAGAGGCGCCTGGACCCGAGGGGACCCGCACAGGGCCGCGCACCCAGTGCCCCGCTTTGCTCTCCCTGGCGGCACCTCCGTGCGGGCCTTGCTCCTGCCCCCAGCCCGCCGCGGCGCCCCGGGGAACTCCCGCACTGCACCCACGTGGGCCAACCCCGGCGTGGCTTCCTGCCGGTGGGTGACCGCGGCCGCCCCCACAGGGAACACGGCGGCCAGGAGGGTGCTGAGCGCGGGGGTGGGCGCAGGCCCTGCTGTCCTGGCAGCACAGGCCAGGAGACAAAGGGCGGCCACCACAGCCAGGAACGGGGAGCAGGGCGGGCTGGAGCCTCGGACAGGGGCTGACCAGGGGCTGGCCGGGGTCGGGACTCACACCTCGTCCGGAGCGGGCCGCGGGGGGAGGGGCGCCGCACCCCGTCTACTCAGGATGTACCCAAAAGGCAGGCATTTGGCGCAAAAGTGCTGGGGCGGGGTGTGCCCCAGGCGGCACACAGGCCAGGAGGCCGTCGGTTCTTTCAGAGCCCTGGCCTGAGGCCCTGGGGGCAGCCCCAGCTCCACAGTGGCCGGACCCGGTTTTCTCCCACCTGCCCACTGCTGCTGCCCGGGTCTGCCACCCAAGGTCCAGGCGCAGTGTGCCCTCTGGGCTTGCCTGGGACTCGGCCGGGAGCACTCGGGCTGGGCTGGGGAAGGCGGTCTGGAAGGGTTCGGCCAGCTCTGGCTGGCCAGTCCTGCGGCCACCTTAAAGGCACAAGGCGAGGGCGGGGGGCCGGCGGGCAGGGGGCGGGGCTTGCAGCTAATTCATTAAAATGTGTCGGGGAGCGTGGGAAAGAGGAGAGCGTTTCTTCCCAGCGGCCCAGACACCTGGTAGAAGGGCCCAGAGGATAGAGATCAAATAACAAACACTCAGCTCCTGGCCAGCAAGGCCGGCCAGCGGCGGACAGGAGGAAGGAGGCCCCGAGCAGGAACTGCTGCAGACAATCCTGGCTGGGCAGGGCTGGGCACCAGGGCCAGCTCTGCCGCAGTGGCCTGGTGTCGGACCTGGCTGGGGAGGTGGTCCTCGATGACTCAGGACTCGGAGCAGTCCTGGCCAGGGGCGGCTCCAGAAGCTGGGGTTAGTGTGAGTGGGGTCCTGTGGGCAGCCCTGACCCTAGGCCCGGCTGCTGTCCACGCCACGCTGCGGAGGGGTTGGAAGCCACAGCGTGCCCTAGTATACTCCAAGCCCGACACAGCGGGGCTGGGGGTGGGTTTGTGCCAGTCCTGGGTAACCCCAGTTAGACCCCCCGACCTCTGCACGGGCCAGTGAGCAAGTGGTGCCCCATCCTCTCAGGCCTTGCTGGGAGAGGATGGAAAGGAGGATCAGAAGGGCCCGCCGGCATCATAGCAGGCCGCAGCCCTGGGCGCCTGGCGGCTCCACCGGGGATAGAGCAGGCTGGTGCCCAGGGACCGGACACTTGGGCCTACAGATGCCCCTGCATAGGCCCAGCTCTCCTCGGTTTCCGCCGCTGGAGCAGGAAGCACAGGAAAGGGATGTGGGGGGTGCACATTCCTGGGGGTGGGCTGTCTGCACCAGGCTCCCTGCCTGGCACCCTCGGGCCTCACCCCCACGTGGGGGGGGCCTGCCTCTTCCTTTCCGAAAGTTCAGCGGGGGCTCTGTACAGGGCCAGGGGCGGCAATGAGCACACGGCAGGCGGGCGTCCCACGTTTACTGGGCAGGGGCGTCGTCCAGCAGCTGGTGGAGGCTGGCCAGCACGCGGCCCAGGTGCGAGCCCTCCCAGAACACTTTGCCGCAGCCAGCGCAGCAGAAGAAACAGCGCAGGTCCGGCCTGCGCAGAACGGCGGTGGGCACGGTGGCCAGCTGCAGGGGGGCGCCGCTGGGCAGCGTGGCCGGCGTGCGGCTCCGCAGGTCCGACAGCTCCAGCCAGCGGCATGGCGTGTCATAGGTGCAGCCTCCCAGGGCCTCCTCTGGGGTCGAGCCTGGAGAAAGGGGCGGGGCGTCACGTCTTGGCCCTGACCGGGCCCCCTCCACTCCCGCTCGGCCCATCCCGGTGGGTGGTCCCAGGGCTCACCTGGCTCCTCTCTCTGGGTGGTCTCATCCCCTGTCAATCAAGAGCAGCGCCTCAGCGCGGCCTGCCCCAGCGGAGAGGGCAGAGGGCAGGTGGGAGGGCCCCCTCCCACGGGAACTCGCACCTTGGAACGTTCTTGGGGCCCAAAGGTCCTTGGGAAGCATGGGGGGGGGGGGTTGGCGCGGGGGCGGCCCATCTGCTGATGAGCTGATAAACCCGCTGCCAAGGCGCTTTCGCAACGTGCCAGCCTGGTGGGAGGAGCCGCCGTCCTGGTTAGGGAGGGACAGGCTGGGGGGCACCCTCGAGCGCCCCTCGACCCCGAACCGCTCAAGGCCGGTGCCGGCCGCGGGTCCTCCTGGCCCCTAACCCGGAGACCGAGCCTGCCTGGGCCACCCATCCCTGGCGGGGCGTGGTCCCGGCTGCCTCCGGCCTGGCTCTGCGCTCGCACCTGCACGGCCCGGACTGGGTCCCGCCAGCTGCTCCATGGTCTCCCGGGAGATCTTCAGGTACTGGTCAGAGTTACAGGCCTGCGGGCAGAGCGCAGCTGAGGGTCCAAGCCCCACGCCCCCAACACTCCGTGGATGGAGCCAGGCCTGGTTCCCGCTCCAGTGGGAGGCACCGCAAGGCCCGTGTGGCACAGGAAGTTTTGGTGTCCAGCCCTTGGTGCCCCCACGCAGGGAGCGGGGCCCCGCAGCGGGGGGTGGCCGGCTCTGGTGCCCTGCCCAGACCGGACACTCCTAGGACTCGGCCCACCACCTGCCACAGCCTGGGCCGGGGGCACGGTCTCCCCACCCCCACCCCCGCTCAGGGGCCAGGGTCCTGGGGGCCCAGGGCCCTGAGTAATGCGTCAGCTGGGGGCGGTGGCCGGTGCCACGGGGTGTGAGCACGTCAGGGGCGGTGCCCTTTTCCCACGGGCTTTCGACATGGGCTGGTTTTTCCTGTGGCGGCCCCTCCTTCAGCGCGGCCAGGCTGGCCAGGGCAGAGCCCCCCTCGGGCTTCCCGCCCTGAAGGGCCAGTCGGGCTGCGGGCGCCCGGCCGCAGGTGCGGGAAGGCGCAGCGCGCGGGGCGGGGCCTCTTCCGGGGGCCGAGGCCTTCCCAGGCCCCGCGTGCTGAGTCATGCACACACTCAGCTCCGGGTCCGGGCCTGGCCCCACCCTCGGGAACCACCGGGGCCGGATTTCCCACGGTCCGTTGGCTGGTCGGTGCTGCCCGCCGCCGGCCTTTCTCCCCAGTATGGCCCGGGAAGCCAGCCCCCGCCCCCAGCTGGAAAAGCCGGTTCTGTGTGCTCGCCGGGCCCGGCCCGCTCGCAGCCTCCTGACCACCCAGCGGGAGGTGAGGGGCGTGCCCAGCTCCCACGCCCCTCGGACGCGCGGAAGCCCCTCCCCCTCCGTGAGGGGGCTGGTTTCCGGGCTGGGCGGGTCCTCAGCCTTGCCTGGCGGGCGGCACAGGCCGTGACTTCCGGTGGCCCAGGGCTCCAGGGGGTCTCTCCCGCTTGCAGAGGGGCTGGGTCCCACAGCTCCCTGGGCGATGGACCCGCCCGCCTGACTCAGGTGCTGTGCCTGGGCTGGGCTGGGGGACTGCTGGGCACCTCTGCAGAGGCCGGAGGGGGAGGGGGCCGCAGGGGCTTGCACAGGAATGGACCGGCTCCCAGCCACACCTGCCAGTGGGCAGAGACCGGGCAAGGTCTGGCCTGAGCAGTATCTGCGCCCGCCGAGCATGGCAGGGGGGTGCAGGGCTCCAGCACTGCCCGGAAAGCAGTGTGGGGCCAGTCACCAAGCCTGTGGACACCACCAACCCACTGGCCCACACCCTGGGCCGCACTGCTGGACACGGCCACGCCACTGCCAGGGACAGTGCCAGGCAGCCTGGCTTCTAGGGATAGAGTGGCAGGAAGGGAGACCTGTCCGGGCCAGCTCCCCCAGACACGCCACTGCACACCTCACACCCAGCAGAGGCCGAAGAGGGACTTACTCAGGGGATCTGGGGTCCGCCCCATCCCGCTGGGGCTGGGTGGGTAGACCACTGGGTTAGCACAAGGCAGAAACCTAAAGGCAGAGGTCGCCACCGCGCCCCCCATTAGAGAGGTGTGAGGGGGTTCCCATGCTGTCTTGGGCCACTGCCTGGGTGGGAGTGGAGTGACCTCTGCACCAGGCTGTTTGCTGCCCATTTGGTCCAGCCATGTGTCACTCCACACAGATGGCTGTCCGGGGGGTCCTCAAAGAGCTCATCCACCCTGACCCCATCTGCCCAACTTCATACCCTGGAGAGAGACAGGAAGGAGGTGGGCGGGCAGGAAGCCATTAGAGCACCACCTGGCCCAGCTCTGGCCCCTGTGCTGGGTTGACCGCCGCTGAGGTCAGGCCCCTGGGCTGCTGTCCCCTGGTCATGGTCCAGACCCTCCGGGGTCTGTGGGTGGGGTTCAGCATCCAGTGCCTGTGTGTCATGTGAGCAGTGGGGATGCTGTGACCTCTGTGGGGCACGTTCCCATCTGCAGAGAGGGTCCTGGGTGAACCTCTGCCCGGGACCTCGAGGCTGCACCCAGCGCAGGGGCAGGCGCTGGCCTACCCCCGGCACAGCACAGGGTCTCCAGGGCCCTTCAGGAGTGCCCCTGAGCTCAGAGCCAGAGTGACCATGAGCAGGCAGAATCCCACCCTATGCACTGCCTGGTGTGGCCCCAAACCAAAACCCAAGGCCAGCCAGGCCCTGCACCCCGGGAGACGGTGTGGGTGGCGGCCTCACGTCCCTCCCCTGAACTTCCCGAGTGTGGAGACACTGGGCAAGCCCGGGGCAAGGATCAGCCCTGGCCGCCCGCCGGCCCCACCTGCAGGCACCCCCGGCTGGGGGCGGGGGCGGTCTACGTGGGCCGCGCTCCCGCACCTCCAGGCCCCGCGCAGACCCAGGGCAAAGTCCCTGCACAGGGCGCTTGGGACTCCTACCCGTGCGTTGTAGTCTGGGTGGGTGGCCTGGGCCTGGGCAGGGTGGGCGACGCCGGGAAGGCCAGGCCCCCGACGCTCGGGCGGGCGCGCACCCCAGCCGGCGGCGGCCTTTCCCAGACGGGGGAGGGGCGCGGGCCGTGAGAACCGGCGGCGGCGGCGCGTGGGAAAGTGGGAGGAGGGCGGCGGGGCGGGGCCCTGGGAACTGCCCGCCGGCCTTTGAAAGGGCCACTCAGGGCGCCGCCGATTCAAAAGCAAACGGCCGGCAGCCAGCCTTCCCGCGCCCCGGGGGCGGGCTGCGGGGGGCGCGCGGGGGGCGCGCGGGGCGGGGGCAGCGCACCCTGCGGTACCCCGGAGGGGGCGGCGCCGGGTAGGAGGCCCCGCAGCACTCTGAACGGGTGCAAGGCTCATCCCCGAGGACTTCCTGGAGGAAGCTGTGTGTGCTAGTGGCCCAGGGCGGAGCTTTCTGCAGAGGGGGCAGGGCAAGGGTCCCAGAGTGCGGACCCCGAGCGACGCCAACCTCCCCATACGGGGGGAGGGGCTGGGGGCGTGGTTCCTGCACCCCCATCCTCATCACTGTGTGGGGTGGGGGCCAGCTCCTAAGAAGCAGGAGGCGCCCCCATCTCGGACAGGACTCAAGCTGGGGTCATGTGGCTGGCAGGGGGCAGGCCAGGCCCACCCCACACCTGACCTCCTCCCCCGGCCCTGCAGCCCTGCAGCTGGTGAGGGACCTCTCCTGGGACGGTCACCTGAGTCCTTCCCAGGTCACATGTCTCACCAGGGGTGGGCCCCCTGTTCTGTGGTGGTCGATGGGCAGCACCATGGGACCCCACTCTGCCACAGCCCCCAGTGCATGTCCCTCAGGGGGCAGATGTCAGCACTCTCGGCGCCCCCACTCCCACGGGACACGGAGGGGGAACAGTAAAAATAGGCAGGCAGGGGTCGGCAGGCCTTTTTTTAACTGGAGTCTCTGTGATAAAGTATTTTCCCAGGCTGTGCTGGGAACGGCCTCTTGGCGGCCACTGCTGTGAGCTGGCCCTTGGTCCTTGGCTCCAGGGTCACCACTTGGGTCCCTGCCCCTGGCCCTCACCCTGGACCTGGGCAGGCAGGGCTGTCTGTGCTCCAGCTCACAGCCCCTCCTGCAGGCACAGGCAGACACCCAGAAGGGGACGGCACTGGCCAGTGGGTATATGGTGGGGGTGGGGGAATGCGAGGGTCTCTGGGTGCTGGGATGGGGGAAGTCTCGGGGGTGTCCGGAGATATGAGATGTGGATTACAGCCAGCGTATATGGGGGGTGAGGTGTGTATGGGTCAGCGGGTACATGTGCATATGGGTGTGGGGTGTGGGGGTGTGAGATGTAGATTACAGCATACGGGGGATGAGGTGTGTATCATACTGGGCAGTGGGTACGTGTGGTCTATGGAGTGTGTGGGGGGTGGGAGTACGTGTGATGTATAGAGTGTGTGTGGAGGGGATGGTAGATGTGGTGTATAGAGTACGAGGGCTTGGGGGTACGTGTGTGGTATACAGAATATGTGCGGGGTGTGGTATATGGAGTGGGGGGTGTAGCATAGAGAATGTGTGGGTGTGGTGTGGTACGTGTGGTGTATAGAGTGGGTGGGGTGTAGTATGTGCGGTGTATAGTGTGGGGGGATGCTGTACGTGTGGTATAGAGTGTGTGTGCGGGGTGTGGTACATGTGGTGTTTAGAGTGTGTGAGGTGTGATGCGTGTGGTGTATACAGTGTGTGCGGGGTGTGGTACATGTGGCGTATAGAGTGTGTGCAGGGTGGTACTTGCAGCTGGGGCCTGCCCCGGAGCCTCTGGCTGTCTCCCACCACCCACCTGGCCCCCTGTATAGCTGCCCAGGCCCACACCAGCGAGCAGAGTGGGCGCTCGCAGCCTTCCCTCTCCCTGGGCCGGGAGGGGGGTGCCTGCCTGGCTCTGGCCCCAGCCCCTCCCAGCCGCCCACTTCCTGTTTTCTTAAGCCAGGCCGGCAGTGCTGGAAGCTCATTAAAATGCCGCCTGGGCAGGCGGGCGGGCGGCTGGCCGGACGTCCTGGGGTCTCTGCAGCACAAAGAGGTTGCGGAAGACCCGGCTGGGCCTGCAGCAGGAGGAAAGGCCAGGCCGCCCCAGTGGGTGCCCTGTGCTCCCAGGGCTAGACACAGGCACTGCTCAGCTGGACATGGTTGCGAGGAGGCAGCGGCCCTTCAGGCCAGCCCGAGCAGGCTCCAGGCCCCGCACTGCCCCGCAGGCTCGCACTGGGGACGATGCACCTACCTGACAGCGGTGGAAGATGTCCGCAGGGGTCACGCGCACACGGAAGTGCTTGAGCACGGCGGCCGCCTGCTGCCGGATCTTGAGGGAGCAGTCGACTGAGAGGCAGCGGCCAGGGCCCACCAGCGACCGCAGCTGCAGAACAGGGCCCAAATGTCCCCGCGCCCGGCCAGGGCTCCTGAGTTTCCTCACACCCCCAGCCAAAGCCCCTGTAGTCCCGTGTCCGGTCAGGGTTCCTGAGTTCCCCGTGCCTGGCCACAGCCCCCGGTGTCTCTGTAGTCCCGTGTCCGGTCAGGGTCCCTGAGTTTCCCCGTGCCTGGCTGCAGCCCCCAGTGTCCACAGAGTCACATCCCCCTCCAGAGTCCCTGAACATCCCAGCAGCTGGTCGTAGCCTTAAGCAGTGACAGCCAGGAATGGGGCTCACCTGGTGGTAAGGCTGCCCGGATGTCAGGATGATCCTTTCTTCCTGGAGGGCCACCTGTGCAGAAGAGAGGGCCTCGAGGGCCATCCCGAAGGAAACAGCAGGCTGGGCCAGAGGCCCACGGCACAGCCAGTGGGGGTCCATGAAACCGGCACCTGCCCTGCCCCCTGGGGCACCGACTAGAGCCATACGTGGGATGAGTGTGATCTTCAAGTGTGCCCGTGCATGTGTGTACAGTGAATGCACATATACATGCATATGTAAACTTGTGTGTGAACACTTACTTGTGCATGCACACACGACTGCAAATGTTCACATGTGTACATGCCTGGTCCGAGCACCGAATGCGAGAATGAGAACGTAGCCATGTGTGCACATATGTATAGTAAATGAGCGTGCACGAATACATTGTGGGAGTGTCACGGTGGACATGTGTGTATGCAGGTGAGCATGTGTGGGCAACCATGCTGGCGTGCGGACATGTGTGTGTTTGCAGGTCAGCACATGTCTGAACATGTAAGTGAGCACTGAGTGTGCAAGAATCTGGATCTGAGCAAGTGAGTGTGGAGAGGACACAGGTCCCAGGGGCTTTTGACAGCTGTCACTCAGCAGTGTAGAGATGTCAGGCAGGTGTGCAGGCCACATGGCTGAGTGCCAGCCGTGTAGTGGACGGCCTGGTCCCTGAACACCACCAGTCCCAAAAAACAAGAAAAGAAATGAACATTAAAGAAAATGCAGGGGGGCAGGGGCGAGAAATAAGACAGCAGGGAGAATGCTTTCCTTACCGCTGACCTGGGCTCATCCCTGGCACCACATACAGTCCCCTGAGCACTACCCGAAGGGATTCCTGAGTGCAAAGTCAGGAATGACCCCTGACCAGGTGTGGCCCAAAAACCATACCGATTTTTTTTTCTTTTTGGGTCATACCCAGAGATGCTCAGAGGCTCTGCACTCGGCAATTACTCCTGGTGCTGCTCAGGGGACCATATGGGATGCTGGGGATCGAACCTGGGTTGGCCGCGTGCAAGGCAAACACCCTACCCGCTGTACTATAGCTCCAGCCCCTAAAATTTTAAGTAAATGCAAGGCCACAGAGCTGGGGTTTGAGGCACTCGCCTGGCACATGGCCAACTCCAGTTTGATCCCCTGAACCATGTTTGGCCCCCAGAACCCCAGCAGGAGTAATTCCTAAGTGCAGAGCCAGGAGTAGGCCCTGAAGACAGCCAGGTGAAACAAAAAGATTCCTTAAAACAAAAGAGTATAACGAAAACTGAGAGCTGAAAACAGACAAGCTACCAGGAGCACCCCATGTGGCGCAAAGAGCGCTCTGAAATCCAGGGTCCGTGTGGACGTCCACCTCGCCAACAGCCGAGGGGCAGCCGGGCTGGCGACAACAGAGGGTGTGGGTGCTTGCCCGGCTCACAGATCCCGCACGGCTGCACGGCCAGGGGGCTCCATGCTGGACACCAGCCTCATCCCAAAGCAGAAAAGTTCCTGGTGCCAAGCTTCATGCCCAAAGTCGGGACGAGGGTCTCCCCACATCCGAGGAGTCTCTTCTCCACTGAGGCCAGTGTGGGTACCGGGGCCTGCCTATGGGCGAGGGGCTGCGGGGGCACAGGTGGGCCGGTGAGGGTGTGAGCATGGGACCACGGTGGGGGTGGCAAGTGGCTGCAAGCCCAAGGGGTTTTGGCCAGGGTCTGGGGAGGAAGGAAATCCTGGCTCCAAGGAGGGCCTGTGGGTCAGGACCTGGGGAGGGAGCATCCGGGTGGAGGACCACCCAGCAGGGCGGGGCGAGAGGGGCCCACCAGCCACGTGTACCCCACGGCTGCTTCTCCTGGGCTGTCCCACACCCACCAGTGTCTGGGCTGGACTGTGCAGGAGGCACCACCGGCACTCACCTCGGCCGCCCGGCGGTGGCTGTCGCGGGCACCCAGCAGGTGCACATCGGCGCCCAGGCAGCGGAGGCAGCGCGCCAGGCCCCCCAGCATGTTGTCACAGACCACACGGAAGGCGCGGACTGGCACCTCCAGGGGTGTGGGTGGGCCCGCAGCTTCGGGCTCCTGCAACACAGCGGGCTCAGGATCCCACGGGCACTGTCCATAGCCCGCCCCCAGGTCTTCCCCAGGCGCTAGGGCTTATTCCTGGCCTTGCACTCAGAAACGCATTACTGCAGACAGTACGGGGGCCATGGGGGTGCCAGGACCCCAGGTCAGGCGCACAAGGCAGCGGCCCTACCCGCTGCAGTCAGCTCTCCTTCGGCATTGCTGCCTCCCAGCAGGCGTCAGCCTTGCTTCCAACCCCCCCATCCTGCAAGGAGCCCCTGTCTCCTGCCAGACCAAGGGCCCCCGGGGACCCCACCCACCTGTGGGGGCAGGGCTGCAGCCTCCTGTGGGGCGTGGCTCTCCCTGCTCTCTGGTCTGGGGTTCGAGGCCAGGTCCCCTGCCAGTTCCCGGTACACCTCCAGCAGGCTGTAGACGTCAGCCGCTGCGGGAGGGTAGGGCCGTGGGGCGCAGTGCGGGGGAGCCGGGGGGCGGGGGTGTGGGCCGGGCGGCTACCTGCATAGACCTGCTGCCCCTCGCTAAGCGGCCGCCGGTCCCAGTTGGAAAGCTGCTGAGCCTTGTCCAGGGGCTTCCCGAGCACCTGCTGGACCAGGAGGCTGAGGCCCCGCGGCCCGCCAGGAGCCTCCACATCGGTTTTCTCTCTCTCCCGCATCTGCCGGGACAGAACCTAGGGGTGAGGGCCGGAACTGCCCTGCGGGAGCCTGCAAATAACCGCACTGTCCCTGCGCGCTGACCACTGACCTGCCGGTGCACCAGCTGCAGGTCCACGGCCCCCCGGAGCTGCCTGCCAGCGTGGGCCAGGCTGGGGTCGAGAGTGCCCAGACTGCGCAGGTCTCCCGCCAGCTCGTAGCCTGCGGGCAGGGCCGTCAGCATGACTGGGCACCCTGAGGCCGCCTCCAGGGGCACACCCGCAGGTGGGGCTGGCCAGGCCAGGCTCACCCAGCTTGGTGATGGAGGGGTCCGAGAGCAGCCGGGACACCAGCTGGCAGAAGGCCCGGGCCCCCGGCCCCCCTGGCGGCTGCCAGAGCCGCAGCAGGTCCAGCAGGAACACGTGACCGTCCACGGCCAGCTGCATGAGCGACGGCCGGGGCCGGTACCCCACTCCGAAGAAGGGTCTCCACTCCAGATCCAGGCCGACCACCTGGCCAGGCTGAGACAGGGCTGGTGTGAGCAGTGAGACTGGGCTGCCCACATCAGCACCGAGGGCTTGACGCTGGCATTGCGGGGTCCTGACTGGCGAGAGGCCGGGGCCGGCCGTCGTGCCCAGCACTGGGGGCAGCTTCCCTCCCAGAGCAGGGGGCTAGGGGATGCTGGTGCGGCGTGGACAAAGCAGCCACGGGCTGTCAGGAGCCCACCTGCAGGAGGCGGGCTGCATGCTGGGCCAGGTCCTCTGAGGAGGTCAGGACGTGGATGGCACCTCTGGGTATGGGGAGCTGGTAGTAGTTGTCCATCTGGTCCTCAAAAGCTACCTCCACTGTCCTGGGGGCGGGGACAGAGCTGCTGGCTCCCTGAGGGCCACCTCAGGGGGCAGTCCCCCCCCTCCTCACCACAGCCCTGGGCTATCAGGCCACGCCCATCTGCCCAGTAGGGCAGATGAGATGCCGTCTCTGGGGTTCCCCACACCCCACCAGCACGGTGCTCACCTCTCTTCCAGCTGGAGCCGGCCCAGTTCTGCTGCAGCGGCAGCTGGCAGGCACGTGGCGGGCAGCGAGAGGTCCAGGGCACAGCGGGCCACAGTGGCTGCGTCGTTGTGGACATCCAGCTGTCGGAGCAGCTGCTTCTGCAACCACTCGCTCTGGCCCACCAGGTCCTGGGGCAGGGGCAGGACAGGCGCTGTGGGGCGGGCTCTGGCCCCATACTGAGAACTGGGGGCTGGGGCTGCCTCCCCGGAACCTGCGGCCCTCCTGTTCCTAACTGCGGCTGTTCTTGGAGCTGGGGCTGAGCTGAGGCCCAGAACAGGCAGGGAGGGCCAGTGGGCTCAGCTGGGGAAGTGGGAAAGAGGCCCCGTGGCCCCTGCCCTGCCCCCACCAGGGCCTGCTGGCCACAGGGCCCACTCCCCAGATGGCCACCACCCTAGCTGCGCGGTTCCCACGTGGACAATAAGTGGAAGCCCCACATTCCTCAGGATGTCCGTTGCTCTTCCGGCCTGCGCAGCCTTGGCACCCAGGGGGACAGCCTTCCGGGCCTTGCCCAGCGGGGGGCGGGGGCTGCGTTCCTCTCTGATGACTCACACCCCACCCCACCCCCACCCCCGCCGGGGCAGCTCAGCACTGCCACCCAGTGGGTGCACCCTCTTGTCCACACGGACCCCACTTCGTGCATCCTGGGCCCTGAGGCATTGGGGTGACCCCAGGCCTGGGCAGCCCACCCTGTGTGACCGGAGAGGCAACTCTAGGGAGCGGGCTTGGGGCGGAGCAAGCAGACACATGGCCCCTTGGGGACTGCAAATTCTCCGACTCCTCTTCAGGGCTCTGCATACCTCCTGAAGGCACAGCTGAGGATAAGCCTGCCCAGCCCTCAGGCAGCGGAACGGTGGGGGGGTGGGAGGGGCCCAAGGGGGAGTAGGAGCCAGCAGGAGGCCCCGCCCTCAGTGGGAGGGACCAATAGGAGACCCACCCCATGGGAGGGGTCAGCAGGTCACCACGCCCCACCCTCGGGAGGGACGAATCAGACGCCACGCCAGTGGGCGGGACCTTCAGGGCGCCACACCCACCGTGGGAGGGGGATCAGGACGCCCCGCCCCCGACGGCGGGTGTGGCCAGGAGGACGCCCGCCCAGGCCTCTCTGGGTTCACAGGGACTCAGGGTCTCACCTGCACAAAGTCCACCCAATCCTCCTGAGACAGGCTTCCCTGTAGGAGTGAGGTGAAGGTGGCCTTTCCCAGCAGGCACTGGCACCCCTCCCTCGGCGCCCCGGGGCACACAGGGACACACACCTCTACAAACCGCTTGTGACACAGGTAGCGAAGGGCAGCCAGGCGCCGCTGGGTGACCGCATGAGGGCACAGAGCTGGAAGAAAGGCCAGGCTCAGTGCAGGCGGGCATGGGGGCCCCTGTCCACGGAGCTCCAGCACCCACCCACACAGCAGCCCCCCTGCTCCCTGCCCCGAGTGCCTTCGCTCTTCTACAGAGCCCATCGGCAGTGTTCCAGGGTGCTGTTCTGCTCACAGATACACACCTCCCATCTCCCCTTCGGACCTGGGAGAGCTGCCCTGTCCTGCTCCCACTACCCCCAACACCATCTGCACTAGAGCCTGGGGGTGCAGCTTGGGGATGCTCCCACACACAAGCTCCCACAGCTGAGGTCAAGGGCACTGGGCACCTCAGAGACTGCAGTCTGAGGTGTGAGCCAGCCCATCAGGAAGAAGCTGAGAGCATAGGGAAGACAGGCTGGGTTGAGCAGATGGGAGCTGAACATGGCAGACTGTTGGGGGGGAGGGCATGGGATAGCCAGCGAGATGGCGTGGCAGGGGCCCCGGGCTCAATCTGGGTAGCACACAGTGGTCCTGAGTGGCCCGAGCACGGATGGGTGTGGCCCCTCCAAGAAGTCAACCAGCAGAAACAGCAGAGGCAGCAGAAGATGAGACAGACTGGTGACACTGAATTAAAAAGCTCCTGCCCAGGAAAGGGAACCTGGACCCATAAATGGGTTGTGCGGGGCATGTGGCTAATGGAGCACTGTCCTCAGCACAGCAGGGAACCCACAGCCCAACAGGGGACACGCAGTCCTGGGAAGGGCTGAGACAGACACACCAGGGGCCACAAGCAGGTCAGCACAAAGTGGTGGCCCCTCATGCCTGCGAGAAACAGACAAGAGACACCATGTGGCTGTGGGGACACCTGTGGCCAGTGAGGAGGGCTCCGTGTGCGAGCCAGCAGGACAGAGCCAGCGGAACAGCACAGGTCGCAGTCTGCATGCTAGCAAACAGGAGATCAGGATCTTTTTGTTTTGTTTTGTTTTGTTTTGGGCCAACCCTGGCGATGCTCAGGGGTTACTCCTGGCTCTGCACTCAGGAATCACTTTTGGTACTGCTCAGGGGACACATGGGATGTCGGGGATTGAACCCAGGTTGGCTGCATGCAAGTCAAGCACCCTACCACTGCAGTATCCCTCTGGCCCCAGAGAACAGGAGCTTTCCGAGCATCTTCACCCTGCAGGCAACACTCAGGACTCACAACAGCTGAGAAGGGAAGCTGGAGCAAGCAAAAGCTGAACAGACAAACTGGTGCCACATGCACACACACACACACGTGTACACATGGCTCACACACATCCATACATGTGCAGTCACAACCACGCTCACCCACACATGTGCACCTGTGCAATACTCTACACGGGTGCTCACATATGCACAGAACACGCATGTGCATATATTCTCTTACAGTCATGTGCATATTCACACATACATTGCACACATCACACACACACACGCATTAATACGAGCACACACTCCCACCACATTCACACGCACACACCTATGTACACCTATGTACATGTGAATACACGTGTGCACTCGGACATGTACTCAAGTGTGAAACCAGTCACCCATATGCACACACACATATGCATACAACATACGTGCACATTCATACTCACATGTATTCACACACATACATTCACAGATTCCAATGCATGTGCACATTCAGACATGTGCATATATCCCCCATACACCTGCACATTTACACACAGTATCATATTCACACACAATTCCCACACATGTGAATTCACATGTGTGCATGCTGGAACATGACCCGGTCACACGGCAAAGAAGTGCTGTCACTTGAGAACACATTGGGAGCGGGCCCTGTGCTGGCTGATGGGCCACAGTCCAGGCGCCACTGCAGGGGAGCCCCAAGCACAGGCCTGGGCTGCCAGAGGCGGGCAGGGTGGCTGCAGGCCCAGATCCAATGGACAGGAGTCTGGGATGTGTCCAGGTAACTACATCAGGTTTGAGTGTCATTATGTGAGGATGATGACAGCAGACAAGGCCTCAAACACAGGTGAAGACCAAGACCCTGTGATTATCATCAGTCATAGCAAGAGTCTGTTCTGTGAAACGGCTGAATTTTGCAGTCTGGCTAATGGGGAGAAGCGGAGAAGCACTGAGAACAGACTCTGACTCGTCGCAGCCTCGGGCCTTGGTGAAGCTGACCGGGCATCAAGAGTGACCTGGGGCCTGAGCCACAGCACAGCGGGGAGGGCAACTGCCCTGCACGCAGCCCACTAGGGTCCAGCCCCCGCACCACATGGTGTCCCCTGAGCCTGTCAGGAGTAAGCCCTGAGCACTGCTGGGTGTGGTCCCAACACAAAACAGAACATAAGTGGCCCAGGCGTGCTGGGGCTTCATGTGGAAGACCCACAGGGGAGTTCCAGCCAGCCCTGCCTTGGCAGGAAGTGGGCACAGTGACTCTGGGTCACCCAGGGGGAAGAAGGAGCAGGGCAACCCACTCCCTGAGGCCTGGGCTGGGCTGTGGTGCTGGGTGCTCAGCTTCCAGGAATGCCCAGTCCGGCCTGGTGCCAGCACACAGCCAGGCACCTCCGTAAGAGCATGCTGGCAAACTTAGCAGTCCTAGGGGCACTCGGGAGCGCGGGGGTTCTCAGACCCTCACTTTCACGCACAGAAAGGGCACCTGCTTAAGCGCGGCGCCATGCCACCCTGAGCAACCTCAGGGGGGAGTGGCAGGTCACAGGGGCCCAGTGTGGTGTGCGGGGGCGGGGCGGCATGGCAGGGAGGTGTCTCACCGGGGTCCAGGCCATAGAGCTTCTGGAGGCGCAGCACCTGCCGGCTCAGCTCTCTGGGGTTCAGCCGCTCCAGTTTCCGGCAGGCCACATGTGGGTATTGTCTATCGGAGAACACCAAAATTAATTCACCACTAAGTTCTCTGTCCAGCTGTTATATGCACACACAGTTTAGGGGTCAGGTAACTGCCTTGTACAAAAAGCAGCTGCAGTCCAGCCCAGGATCAGTCATATGTACAGGCCTTGAAAAGATCCAATTTGTGCCTCTACTTCCCGGGGCATTTTGTGTTCAAGGCTGCTCCCTCCCCCTGGTCAGATGACACTGACAAGCTCTGTTTGGGCAGAAGCTCGGCCATTACCACAGTACAGCTGGTAGCACTGCTGACATCCCTGCAATAGTGCAGCATTACTATAACCCTGCAATAGCGTGGCACTGTAATACCCCTGAAATATTACAGCATTACTACACCCCTGTCATAGTAGTATGGCACTAAAATACCCCTGCAACACGACAGCATTATTACACCCCTGCAATAACGCAGCATGACTGACTCTGCAATAGAGTGGCGTGCAGTTTTGTGATGTTTTTTGTCCCTCACCCCCACCCTGGGAAGGCCCGTCCCTTGGCTCAGGCCCCAAGCTCATGCCTTTCCCTTCCTGCCCTTCCTGACTCTAGGTCTGACTTGCTCTTCTAAAGTTTGGAGGGTTCCCACCGCCCACTGGGCCTCTCTCAGGCCATCCTACACACCTGCCCCAGGCAGCACTCAGACAAATCCTTGTCCTGCATTTTTCCTTCAGGAAGCTCCCTTGACAGAACCTCACTGTTTCCCCTCTATCTCTAACTTCCCCCTCTTCTGTGTTTGGGCCACTCCCAGTGATGTTCAGGGTTACTCCTGGCTCGGCGCTCAGAAATCATTCGTGGGGCTGGAGAGATAGCACAGCGGGTAGGGTGTTTGCGGCCGACCCGGGTTCGATTCCCAGCATCCCATATGGTCCCCTGAGCACCGCCAGGAGTACTTCCTGAGCACAGAGCCAGGAGTAACCCCTGTGCATCGCCGGGTGTGACCCAAAAACCAAAAAAAAAAAAAAAATCATTCATGATGTTGCTCGGGGGAACCATAGAGGATGCCGGGATTGGACTCAGGTCAGCCACATACAAGTGTCCTCCCCACTGTCCTATCACCCCGCCCCCTTCTCTTCGTCTGTCTTATATTATTGGGGGGATAGTATCTTCAATATTGGAGCTTTCATCTGACATTATGTGCTTAAGAATACGGGCTCTCCAGAAAGTCCTGCTGGTGAATTAAGATTTGCCTTGCTCCCTCAAGAAGCTAAAACTGGAGCTACCCCAGACCTCGCAATCCCCGTTCTGGGAATCGATCCAGGAATAGAAAAGCATGAACACAGAAGGCTGCACTCAGGACCCCACATGCGCCTCAGAGGCAAGCACAGGCCTGGCACGTGCGAGGTCCTGGGCCTGATCTCTGGCTCCACTGGGTCTGACCCTTAGAAGCCACAGGGCAGGGAAATCTATGCACCGCTCCCTGCGCCTTCCGAGCACTGGGTTCAATCCTGTCCTGGAAGCAGGCAGCTTCCAGCAGTGCTAGGTGTATCCTGGAGACCCCCAGCACCCCAGGTGTGGATGGAGACCCCAGCACCACCAGGTGTAGCCTAAAGACCCCCAGCACCCCAGTATGGCCCGAAGACCCCCCCAGTACCTCAGGTACAGCCTGGAGACCCCCCATCACCCCAGGTATGTCCTGAAGACCCCCAGTGCCCCCAGGTATGAGGGGAAGACCCCTAATACCCCAGGTATAGCCTAAAGAACCCCAGCACCCCAGGTATGGCCCGGAGACCCCCCCAGTGCCCCAGGTATGAGCACTGCCTCTGTGCACAGGGCTCACTCCTGGTGAGCTTGGGGTACCCTTTGTCGTGCTGGGGATGGAACCCTTGTGCAAGGCAAGCACCTTCCCTGCTGTCCTCTCTTGGCCCTTATTTTATTTTTTTTTGCTTTTTTGGGTCACATCCGGCGATGCACAGGGGTTACTCCTGGTTCATGCATTCAGGAATTAATCCTGGCGGTGCTCAGGGGAACATATGGGATGCTGGGAATCGAACCTGGGTCGGCTGCGTGCAAGGCAAATGCCCTACCCGCTGTGCTATCGCTCCAGCCCTCGGCTCTTATTTTGAACCAGCACAAACTGAAAAGCATCAGTGTCCTATGGGCTGAACCCCTTGGTGGACACAGCCATGCTTGGATCTGGAGCTCCTTCACTTGGCCAAGTTCAGCTGCCTTTGCTGAGAAGGGAGCTAGCTTCGTCCCTCCCTCTCCTTCATTTTTTTGAAGGCCACACCCTGACGGTGCTCAGGGCTTCCCTCTGGCTCTCCACTCAGGGATGACGGATGGCTCCTGGTGGTGCCCGGGGCACTGTCTGCCAGGATGGCTGCGTGCAAGGCACGGCTGCATGCCAGCTGTCTCTCTGCTGTCCCATCCCTCCAGCCCCTGTCCTACTTTTCCACGGCTAATGAGCACTCTGTTTCCTTCCTTTGCCATAGCTGGTGACCAGTTTAAGGTCGTGGGTCGTGTTGTTCACACACATGTGTGGCAGGTGCCCGTGGGGGTCTGTGACCTTGCCAGCTAGCGTCCCTTTATTCTCTGACCCAGTTCACTCAAGAACCAGGTGCACACGCACACTAACTTATACACAATGCACCCCCACATGCACACACATACATACTGCATGTATACCCACTGCATGCACACAAATACCCACTGCATATACACAAGCTCACATGCACCCACTGCATGCATGTACCAGCTGCATGTACACACATACACCCACTATGTACATGCGCACCCAGTTCACACACATGCATGCACACGCGCCCAGTGTGCACACACACACAAGCTCAGGGCATGTGCAATGTATGCACGGCCTGTCCTCTGTGGCAGCTGGACATGTGTCACGCGGGTATAAGAAACCTCCCCGGGTCGGGAGGGCCCGGCAGTGTGGCCTCCGGTTCGCAGAGAAGAGCCGCCACCCCTCCTGGCTTCCCGCAGTGCCCAGGCCTCACCTCACCACCATGCTGATCTTGAAGCCAGGACGGCACCAGGAGTCCATGAGGCCCAGCAGCCAGCGCTGCAGCTCCGGGAAGCCGGCCACGTAGCGCTCCACCAGGCTCAGGTCGTTCTGGAGCAGCAGGGGCACACTCATCTGCGGGAGAGGATCCTGCTGCACTCTGCACCAGAGCCCCAGCCCCACGCGGGCCAGGGCATCTGTCGAGAGAGCAGGGGCCCCGCGGGAACCCCCTCTTCCATAAGCAGGGGCTCCCCGAGAACAGGAGTGCCATGGTGAGGCCAGACACAGCGGCACTGGTGGCCCAGGTGACTCACGGTGTTGCCGCACCTCCCTCCTGCTAGACTGTGCGCTGCCCAGCCCTCCTGTCCCCAGGGGCCACACAGGCCAGGCCGCCAGAGGCCTGACACAGGGGCCCAAATCTGAGTCCGCGGGTCCTGGCCAGGCTCTATAGCCAGGCCCCCAGGTGGGGAGAGGAAGCACAGCCCAGTACCCAAAACCACTTTGGGAGTCTCAGCTGGACCTGGCTACACTCACCTTCTCCACATCCAGTTCTGGCTGCAGCTTCAGTTTCATGCCCAACAGCACAGCCTGGCGGGCAGGGGGTGGGTTAGGGGGTGCAGAGGGACAAGGTCCACCTCTGCCTGTAAACCCAGGAGGCCCAGCTGCAGCAGAGCCCAGCCAAGGCTGCTCGGGACCCCCGGGCTCTGCCTCCAGGCAGTCTCATCACAAACCACCAGAAGTCACATGGGGGGGGGGGCTGGCCAGCGTGGGCTTAAGGGGGCTGGTAGGGGTCTAATTGCGGGGGCAGGTCTGTAGGGTGCTGGTAGGGGTTTAATTGTGGGGGCTGCTTATGGGGCCTGGTGGGGATCTGGTTTGTCGGGGCTGGCTGAGTCTGGCTGTGTGGGGGCTGGTGGTGCGGGGCGCTAGCGGAGGCGGGGGTGGGGGGGGCCGAGGCAACCCTGACACCTGCGCAGCAGGTACCGCCGAGCCCGGGAGCCCGGCGGCCGAGTGCCTGCACGTCCTGCTGGCACCTTTCACTCTCTCCCGAGCGGCGAGGCCCGCACCCAGAATAGCGGTCTGGGAAAGGGCGGGTCCACCCGCGGCTGGCGCTGGCCGGGCCACCGCTTTGCCACACCCCAGCAGGGCCCAGAGCCCAGGGGCGCATGTGTGGGCGGGGCCCGAGCGGGCGCGGGAAGGGGCGGGGCCGGGGGCTGGCAGATGCCTGCCTGTTCTTGGAGCTCTGGGCTCTCTCAGGATCTCAGAACCTCCAGCCCGCGCAGTCTGGCCATGGAGAGGTGTCCCCAGGGGCGTCCACACTCCCGGTCAGGCACCGGGCTAGCGCCCTGAGGGCAGGGTGGGCACAGCATCCAGCTCCCAAGCCCTTCCTTGGATGGTGCTCTGCGCCCCAGAGGCAGGGGTGTGGTTAGGGGGTGCAGCCTGTAGGGAGAGGTCTCCCATGCATCTCTGGGCCCTCACCTGCAGAGGATGGTGGCACCATGGAGAGGACAATTCCCACGGGGGGGTCGGGGGGAAACACACCACTCTACAGGGGCCCAAACTCCCACCCAGGATGCTCCCTGGAGGCTGGAGTCGGGAACAGGAGCCCCGAGAGCCCCTGTGGGGTCCAGAGGAAGGTGTGTACTGGCCCCCTACAGGGCCGACTCCAGCTGGGCTGTGGGAACCTCTGGCAGCCAGTGTGGTGAAATGACAAAAACAGGGGCAGGATGGTAAGGGGCACGACTGGGCACTGGGGCCAGCAGGTGTCCCAGTGTCCCCCACCCAGCACAGGCCAGTCCACAAGGCCTCTCACCTCCAGAGCTGGAGTCAGGAGCATTTTTTTTTTTTTAGCAAAGCTATCTTTTTACCTTGATAAGCTGTTTAAAAAAGGTAAATAAAATAACTGGGCAGACAAAAGCCGCATTCATGCTGCCCAGTGCTGGCCTCAGCTGGCCACGCAGCGGCGCAGCGCTGGGCTTGGGCGCCTGCTAATCCGAGCGGACAGGCCTCAATGCGGCTCCCGGCGGGCCGGTGGGCACTGGGGCATGCAGGCTGCGCGGGACAATGGCCTTTCTTCACAGAAGGGGCCCGCGCAGGACAAGAGCGCCCTTTGTGTAGGATCCGCGCCCGCGGCCCAGACGCTCTTTGAAAGGCTCGGGAACTGAGGCCTCCGGAACACTGGCCGCCTTCTGCTGGGCCCTGTGGGCTGCGGGGCCGCCGCATTGTCCTGGGCCCGGCGCCTCTCAACACCTCGGCCACTGTGCCAGGCCCCGCACTGGTGCCCCCCAGTCCTTCCCTCCGGCAGGGACTGCACTGGAGGTGTGGTGGGGTGAGTGGACAGAAGGGACTCAGTGACAGTCAGGATCTGCCTCTGGGACCCCAGGGATCTGAAGGGCCCCATCTTCCTCTCTCAGAATCTTCTGGGATAAAAGGAGTCAATAGCACTCACAAGGACTCGCCCCACCCCACAGATGACATGCGCTCTCTGACCCAGCGCTTCCCAGGAGCTTGTATCCAAGTGCGGCTGAGGGGTCAGCCACTGACCACAGGGGCAGCAAGGTCCCCAGGCTGCCCCGCGCCTGTGCAGACAGTGAATGTGCTCAGATGAGACCCCCAAAGAGGAGGCCCACCCCTGAGTTTCTGGGGCTGCTGGGAGACTGGGCTTGGGCCAGCATCAAGTCTCACAATGTCCAGGCCAGCACTGGGTGACCCCCGTGGCCCTGCTGTGGGCAGGCGCCTCCTCAGAGGAGGGAGAGAGGCACCAAGTTGCCAGGCTCTCCTGACCGGACCTCACCCCTGCAGGGCACCAAACCCTCTGCAGCAGGCCCGCAGGTGAGAGGCGGCTGGCCACTCACCTCTTTGAACTTGCCCTCCTGCTGCAGGCGCTGGATGTGGCCCAGCAGGGGTCTCTGTGCTGCGTCCTGCAGCTCGAAGATGCTGACCAGGGGCTCCACCAGGTCTGGGGGGCTGTCAATGATCAGGCAGCAGGCCCGGGCCTGCAGCTGTGTCAGCTCTGCATCCCCCTGTGAGAAGCAAAACCACCTGTGTCGGCACAGCTGCGTGGACTGGGGGTTCTGAGGACAGGGTGCTGTGTGAAGCGGGTGTTTTATGGAGAGGGGGTGCTGTGTGGACGGGGTGCTGTGAGACGGGTGCTCTGAGGGCCTGGGGAGAAAGCTCAGCAGCACTTGGGCCCTGAGCTGGCTTGGCGGGGAAGGCTCACCTGGGTAAGGCAGGCCCCAGGCAGGGGTGCTCCCTGCAGCCAGTGCTGAAGCTCGTGGGTCACCCAGGCCTCTGGGGAGGAGTTCTTGGAGCGCCACCGCTTCCTGCCTTCCAGAAGGTCCAGCAGCTGCGCCCGAGGGTTGTCCAGGGTAGCAAAGACCTGCCAGGCCTCCTCCTAGAGTCAGAACATAGGACTCGTCTGACCAGGCCAGTGGTGCGCCGCTCCCGGCCTCGAGGCTGAGCACGTTACACCTGGGCCGAGAGGCAGGGCAGCAGTTGGCACGCGCTTGTCCTGCACACAGCTGATACCAGTCTGATCGATGTCTGGCATCACATGGGCCCCCAAGCACCACAGAGCATGGCCAGGAACCCAAAACAGATTCTAAAAATGTTGGGAGGGGCGGGCAGCACCAAGCCCACTCGCGAGGTCCCGCTGCGGGCCTTGGCAGAGCCGCTGGGAGTCCTGGCAGCACAAGACTTGGACTCAGCCACCAAGGCCGAGCACCACTGAAGACCAGAACAGAGAAACGGCAGCCCCTGGTTCAGTCTCCGAATGCGGGAGACCAGCGGTCAGCCAGGCCCTGTGGATGTGACCCCCAAACCCAGACAAGTAGACCCAGCCCCAGGCTTCAGCAACAGCCCTGCACTCAGAGGCCTGAGCACAGGCCACACACGTGGGGACCGCACTGACGCTGGGAGCCCCCACTCACCTGCTGCTGGTTTCCAGAGAGACATAGCGAGTGCAGGGGCTGCAGACATGGGCGGGGGTCCTGGCCTGGGGGGAGACGTGGGCTGGGAAAGGCCCTGCAGAGCCCTCCGGAGCTGCTGCAGACAGGGGCCCTGGCCAGGGCTGCCCCACCTGCCACCGTGACCGCACAGCCCAGGGGAGCCTGGCTGTAGGCCCTGCCACACTCGGGGCCTGCAGGGGAGACCTGTGTCACCAGGATCCCTCCAGAGACACCCAGCTGGGGCCAGGGGTCAGCCTTCAGAACCCCATGCAGTGTGCCGGCCTCTCCACACCCAGGCTCATGGCAGTGCACTCCCCGTGGTCCCGCAGTACTCACCCCTGAGAGGACACTCAGAAACAGGGTCCCCGGCAGGCTCAGTGGCCAGATTGGGGCTGCTGGGGTCTCCTGGGTCCATTCTGAGAGGAAGCAGAGGTGACGGACGTCACAGGGGTGGGGCCCCTCGCGTTCCCTAGGGTCTGTGGGGTTCACTGGAGGCTGAAGCACCCACACTCTGCCCCTCTGACACCAATGGGCACCCCCAAAGCTGCAGCTGCACCAGCCTCCCGCCTGGCCTTTCAGCTGGGCCCAGGCCAGCAGCCATGACTCTGCCTTCTCGGGGGTGTCCGAGCTTCCTGTGTCCAGTCTCCTTGCTCTCCATTACCCAGTGCACCCCGGATGACTCATGCGGCCACCTGTCCTTCTGCTCTGCCTCTGGCCCTCACTGGCCAGGGTCTCGAGTGAGTGGTCAGGCACCTGCAGGCTTGCAGCTGTGAGCAGACACCCGGACGTGGGCAGGCTGGTTTGGGGACTGGGAGCGTCTCTCGGTCCCTCCTAGTCTCTACCTGCCTGCCTGCCCCAGGGACCCAGGCGGCAGTCAGGCTCAGTGCATGAGACTCCCAGGAATGGAGTTTCTGGGAGCCTAAAGCACAGGGGTCCTAGTTCTGATCAGTGTCCCTGGTTAGGCCGCCCTGTGCACATGACACTGACGGGGCCCAGCCCCTGGAGCCCACTGCCAGTGTACAGGGCGAGCCCTGACCTCACCATGCAGGCTTCACCCTTCGCACTTGCTCTCGTAGTGACACCCTTGGCCTGGGCCACCCCTTCCCCAGCTCAGAGCCTGGCCCTGCGCTGGGGTGGGCTCCCCTCCCTTCCTTCTCTTTCCTTTGCTCTGTTTTTGAGGCCACACCCAGTTGTGCTCAGGGGCCGGTCCTGGCAGGGGCCCTTGTTTGGTGCCACGCAAGAAGCAGTGCTGCCCCCCCTGCGAGGCCACGCGGGCACAGTGACCCCAGCTGCAGCCCGCCGCAGGGACCCTTTTGTGACCGCCCGACTCCCGCCAGCTGAGTCCAAGTGCCACGTGGTCATGCGGCTCCCATGTGCCCCCTGCGTGGGTCTCCCCTCGATCGGGAGAGGGCCACGCCGCCCTGCCCAGCCTCCTGGCCGCGGGGCTCGGGCGCCCTCTGCTGGCCGCGGCGGGCGGGCCGCGTGACGTCACGGGGGGGGGTGGACCGGCCGCAGCCACCAGTACCACCGACCTGGCGTGCCCAGCCTCGCCTCGGCATCCGGGTCCGCCGCGACCCCAGCGAGCGCCGCCCTGGCCCTCCCGTGGGCCCCACCTGCTGCCCCGCCCCTGCAGCACCCCGAAGCTGGGGAGGGCCTTCCAGGTGGTTGTGGCTGGGGGTGAGGGAGCTTCAGCGGCCCCACAAGACCATGGGGGGGGGCCTCAAATGCCTTCCTAGGGGCGGAGCAGTGACCCCGAGGGGTGTGCCTTGCGGTCCATCTCTTCCCCAGGCCAGCTTCCCGGAACCACGCCCCTGCCCTAGAGTGGGTCCGCAGGGGACAAGGGGCAGTGCCCCTGCTGGGCCTCCTGGAGGAGCTGTCAGGGCTGGAGCCTTACCAGCTGTCCTGCCCCAGGACAAGGCCCACTGCTGGTTCAGGACTAGAGGTCCCCCACTGCCTGTGGCCGCACCCAGTGTTGAGGCTGCGTCCGGGTGCTGTTTGGGGTTCCTATGTAAATGAGACCAGTTAAAGCTAGCACTGGAGTCCAGGCCTCCCGTGGCGAGGACTTGGGTGCCATCCTGGTGGACAGAGAGAAAAGGGAAGCTACCAATGATCTCCTCTGTCCAGTGCTTCAGGCTAAGAAGGGCCAGGTCAGAGGCAGAGGCCCTCCTGCCCAGGCCAAGCTGAGGCTGGTCTCCCAGCAGCTGCCCACCCACTCCAGATGTGGGCAGCAGTGTACTTCCCAGGAACAGGAGTGGAAGGAGGAGGCCCAGACTCATTAACACTGACCCTCTGTGTTTCCTGGTTTCCATGGGCAGGGAGAGGGCAGGGCTGGCCACCTCCGGTTCCCCAAGCACGGTCAGGTGTGACCTGGAGGCCTCTGCCCACCACCAGAGGTACTTATCTGTCTTTTTTTTGTTGTTTTTTTTTGCCTTTTTGGTTCATACCTTTTTGTGTCAGGGGTTCCTCCTGGCTCTGCACTCAGGAATCACTCCTGATGGTGTCTTTCAAAAGCTGAGGTGCCTGTCTGTGGCCCTGGAATCAAACGGGCTCCTCTGAGCGGAGACTGTCTTGGGGCCCCTCCTGGCACCCCAGTCTCTAGTGAAGGTTGATGCCTGCAACCAAGCCCCCCACAGCACACAGGCCAGCTGGCTCCATGGCCGGGGAGGGGTGGGAAACAAGTCCTCGATCCTTGGGGACCAAAGGCTCAAGGACACAGGATGCGCTCCCAAGGGCCTGCATTGTGGGGTCCCCAGGACCTGCAGGGGGCTTGGCACGCTGTCGCTGGGGCCTTGGGAAGCGTGTTCTTCCTCCAGTGGTTTGGGGGAATCTGGTGTGGGGCTGGTGTCCCTTCTGGTCAGCCCCTTCCAGGGCCTGTTACAGGATGCTGGGTGGGGACCAGGGCAGTGGTCCGGCTCTGGAGGCCCTGGGGGCTGCAATGTCTCGGGTTCTCACCCAACGCGCACCCTTCCTGCTGTCAGAGGCTGTCACCACTGCATTATCGACTTCGCACTGTTGCCCAATCCTCTGCTTAGATGGTTTCTTGAGAGCTTCCTCCTGGAGCCATCTTCCCCAGGGCCTCGGCACTCAGGGCGTGTCCTTGGCATTGTGTTGGGCTGTGCCCGGGGACACAGGTGCCACCCTGTGCCGGGTTGTCCCTGCTGCCTCGCCCCACTCCTGCTGCTAAGAGGGTCCACCCAGATGGGCTCAGACAGAAGGCCCTGGCAGGTCAGAGGTGGGCAGCAAGAGCACATTCCTTCTCTGGGGGGCTCTTGGGCCACACCCAGGGAGGGCTTACTCCTGGCTCTGTGCTCAGTGACTGCTCCTGGCAGGCTCTAGGGACTGGGATGCCAGGGATCAAGCCTGGGTGGACCGCATGCCAGGCGAGCTCCCTCCCCGCCATCCCATCACTCTAGCCCTAGCAACAGCGCAGGAAGGCCAGAGGGCTGCATGGTTCCCCTGGGTCACCCACAGCCCCACAAAGTTGAAGCAAAACTTCCTAGTTCAGCTCTGAATGGGGAAGTGATGCAGGCAAGCAGGTAGATAGGAAAGGGCCCCTCATGGCAGTGGAACTCCCGGGAAACGGTGCTCCTGAGGCTGCAAAAAGTGAGCACAGAAATTAAGGCCTGGCAAGAATCGCCTGGCGCCCAGAGACTCTGAGCAGGCTGGATCCTCTGCGAGAAGCTCCAGCAGGAACAGGCCAAGAAAGGAATTTCAAAGAGGACCACTGACCACTCCTAACTACACCCGTGGCACCACCTCTCAACAGGCTCTCACGCGGGGGCAGGTTGTAGAGCCCCATAAAACCCCCTTGACCGTGGCTGGAGCGATAGCACAGCGGGTAGGGCGTTTGCCTTGCACGCGGCTGACCTGGGTTCGATCCCCGGCATCCCATCTGGTCCCCCAAGCACTGCCAGGAGGAATTCCTGAGTGCAGAGCCAGGAATAACCTCTGAGCATCGCTGGGTGTGACCCAAAAAAGCAAAAAAAAAAAAAAAAAAAAAAACCCTTGACCCAAGGAAGTGTGTGCCTGCCTGCCGGGCCCCTGTGCTACTACCCATGGCCGAGCACCAGATGTGGACTGGCGTGAGGTCCACACGTGCAGGACTGATGTCTGTCTCTGGGCTGAGTTTTCTCTTTCTCTCCCTCCTCCCCCTTCCTATCAGGATCACGATCACCATCATCCTGTTGTTCACATCCATTGCCTGTTGTTCACATCCATTGCCTCGAGCAGGCACCAGTAACGTCTCCTTCGTCCTAGCCCTGAGATTTTAAAAAGTGCCATAAAAAAATAAATAAAAATAAAATAAATAGTGCCATATTCAAGGCTCTTTCAGGGTTAGGAGAATGAGACCCATCATTGTTACTGGTATTTGGCATATTGGGTACGCCACGGGAAGTTTGCTAGACTCTGCCGTGTGGGCAGGTTACATTCAGATCCTCCCCCTTCCTAAAAGTCTCCAAATAAAACTGTTTTCACTTCACCGCTGTCTACTCTCAAAATTCCTTCCCCCCCCCCCCCCCCCCCCCCCCCCCCCCCGAGCAAAGACAAGGAGGCACGTCTGGGCAAGGCCTGGGGCAGACACTCAGCACAAGGTCCCCCCCCCCCCTCCAGCCTGCTCGGGGGTCCCTGAGAAACCCGGCGACGGGTGGAGAGGACAGGCCAAGCGGTGGGCAGTGTGGCGTGAGGTCCACTCGTGCTGGACTGATGTCCGCCCTGACCCATCCCAGCCTTCCCAGCAGACCAGGTGGACTGGGCGGCCTGGGAGAAGTGACCATCTCGCATAAGCCAGCCGCGGCGGGGGGTGGGGGTGGACACCGACATCGGGAGACTGATGCCCATTGCATCCGTGTGGGCTAGCGGGGTCCGGCCGCTCGTCCCTGGTCCCTTTCTGGGCTGGACCCTCGCGGGGGTCCGGAGCAGCCCGCGGCGCCCAGGCCTTCAGAGGGCGGGGCCCGGGCACGCCGTCGGAGTTCACCGCAAGCAGCTTGGAGCTGGAGGCCTCCGCCTCGGGTTCCCCACCGGAACGAGCGACCCGGGCGGGGACCTCCAACCTGCAGGCGCGGTCCCGCGCCCTCCACCCGCCGGCCCGGCCCGCTCACCTGACCCAGCGGAGCCTCCGGAACCTTGGCCCGGCGGCAGCTGCAGCGTCCGGGCACGCACGGACGACTTTCCCGGAGCACCAGCACGGACAGCTTTCCCGGGGCGCCACTGCGGGCCGGAAGCGCGCCGGGTGCAAGCGGGGCGGGGCGGGGCGTGCGGGGCGAGGCAGGGCCTGCTGGAGGGGGCCTGCCGGGAGCGGGGC